TTTTGATTATTTCTCATTGTCGATTCCACGTGTATCGGGCCAGCCCGAGTGAATTGTAGCCGATTGGGAACGCTTTAAGCCTCAAATCCCCATCGCTATCCGTGTCCCTTTGCCATCACGGATCGGGCAAGAATGGCGGTAGCCGTTCGTCACAGCTTCGTGTTCAATTACACGACGTTGGTTGTGCACCGTTCTCTCGATTAATTGCGCACGCGATATCCCTCGATGCAGTTTTCTCCGGGCCGCCGCGTAATTATCAATTAACTCGCCGCCTCGTTAAGTGGAACCTTTAACGTCATTATTCCGCGGACCTTCGCGTGCACCGCGTTCGTCCACCGTTATCTGCTTTCATCGAAATAATTGCGCGAACGAGGAAGCGAGAAGTCTCGACCTTTGATTCCTGTCGGGTTGCTTTTTCCATTTTTTTCCCCCTTTTTTTTTGGGCGCCCATTAACGTTGCCACGCTTTCAACGAGTTCGCCAGGCTTGTTAGTCTTCGACCAGTGCTCTCGTGCTATCGATACTTTCCAGGAAACCGTGTATTTCCAGCGTGGCCGAAAGATCTCGTATCGGATGGGCTCGGTTTCTTTCCCGATACTTTCGCGATATACGTCCAACTTTTACGATTACTTACAACCAGCGTCGCTTTGGTTAGAACACGATTTTATTTATCTACAAGTTCCACGGTGAAGACGTTAAATTTACCTGCCATTTATATCGATAAACGCTTTTAAAACTACTCCAATAATTTACATTCTGGACTAGCAAAATAACACAATCTGTTTGTTTGCATTCCCTAGCAAGTGTTTAACATACTCTGTGCATGTTACGGGCTATAACGAAAACAAGAAAGCTACTGTTGTAACTTGTTCCGTGTCGGAAATGCAGAAACATCGCGGGCGTTTGAAACGCCAAGAAGTTGAGAGCTGTGGGACGAGTTCTGGTATAGTTTTCGCACGCTAGAGCACCCGGGCTCTCTTTCAGTATCACGGTCGCTTTTAAGCGTTCGTTCGAACAGTGCACCGGGTCCTCGAATCTTAGCATCGAAAGAGCCTAAGGGCCTGTGCACAATGTGCGTTCCACGCTAACTGGATCCCAGCACCCGTAACGAGTGGTAAAAAACACATCTGTCGTTTTGTGCCCTCGAGGGTATCGCTTTGTGCATCGCTCGAGTGGGCCTTAAGCACTTCGCTATAATCCTTCCGCCAAGCACGCTTACTCCATACAAGATGAATCGCTTCCATTATGAGCTATTTTCTCAAGAACTAATTATTTAACAATCTTTCTAGGCGTCTTAAACTTGGCCCACTTACGAAATTATTCACCATCCTCGATTACAGCCACTGTAGTTTAAAGAAGTTGTACATGGCGGCACTGACGTTGCAAACAAGTTGTTGATTTAAAGATGGCGGTCATCGATGAGTTTCAAAGAAGTTGTAGATTTAAAGATGGCGGTCATCGATGAGTTTCAAAGAAGTTGTTGATTTAAAGATGGCGGTCACTGATGAGTTTTAGAGAAGTTGTAGATTTAAAGATGGCGGCCACTGATGAGTACTCGTCATTTTGTGGTATCCCTACAAAATTAAGATTATTAGAAAATGTACAAATATTAAGATTTACTTACATTTTGAAGAAGTTGTAGGTTCAAAGATGGCGTTGTTGATGAGTTTTAGAGAAGTTGTAGATTCAAAGATGGCGGTCACTGACGAGTACTCTCCATTTTGTAGTATCCCCACAGAATTAACATTATTAAAAAATGTACAAGTATTAAGATTTACTTACGTTTTGAAGAAGTTGTAGATTTAAAGATGGCGGTCATTGACGAGTTTCAAAGAAGTTGTAGATTTAAAGATGGCGGTCACTGACGAGTACTCTTCATTCTGTAGTATCCCTAAAAAAATTAACATTATTAATAAATGTGGAAGTATTAAAGTTTATTTACGTTTGAAAGAAGTTGTAGATTTCAAGATGGCGGTCACTGACAAGTACTCCTAACATCATTATTAGAAAATTGTACAGTTATTAAGGTTCCATTAATGGCAAACGTTTTAAAGATGGTGGCGACTAGCGACCAGCATGATAGTCGACTCGTTAAGGATTGCTTTACTCGATTTAGGTGAACGACGACCGCGAGGATCGGGCGAGAAATTGACCAAATGGTAATTGAAGTGGTATCAGCGGCGTATCGTTTGAACGAAAATATCGAAGTGTTCGCGACGGCGTGGGCGCGGCGACACATGAAAAGGTTAACGGTGCCCCACATCGCCATTAATAAATGAACGTATGAAAATCGATAGACCGGCCGTCGTAGATACGGGAGTTCGCCGCACAAGTTGTAGGTGCTGGTTTCTCGGTCTACGGTCGGCCTGTTGTATTTTTAAATCGTTCCTGTCCGTTTTCGATCGCCTGCATTAAAGATTTTTCCAAATTAATAATTCAAACGCGACGAAAATCGTCCATTCTCCATCGAAACCCAAGGAAACCGTCGCCTGAAACTACTTCACGTACAAATTAAGATTTCTACCGCAGCCATTTTGAAAATCGTATGAAATTATTTAAATTATTCGAGGGGGCAGAATTTTTCTCGTGGAAAGTGGCGGAGAATAGGTAATCTTCTTTATGAAAAGCCTCGAGAACGAATAAATAAAAAGCTCGGACGGAGCGGGGAATCCCGAACACGGCCCCGATATTATAAAACGGGGCTTTTCCTTTCTTTTTTCTTTTATTTCTGTTTTCCACCGGAGGGGGATCCAATTGAGAAGATTAAAAAAATATACAGCTTCGACGTCGGCAGTATCGCGGCTCAAATTACAATAATTATTCGCAGCTCGAAAGACATATGAGCCTAAAGCTTTTGCAAATGGATTATGGAGAAGCCCCAAGCATCGACCTGTCTGTCTATCTATCGAAACCTTGCAGCATGTTTTAATTGGTACAATGAACGCCGGATACAACGTTGAATATGTTCCACCGGGATCGTCTGTTCCAACAAATAATTGCGTCACGATCGCCATTTATTATTTATTAACGTTCCTCTTCCTCGACAACAACAAAAAATTATAAAAACGACTGTGATATCGAATCGCGTTATTCAATATACCTCGACGCAATGGCGTTCGTGGCCAATTACTAAATTTCTCATTAAAATTCTCGATGAGATGTTGCTGTACAAGGCACTGCATTAATGTATGCACGTTTATTCCGTCGTTCTTGATATTTGATTTGTCCGAGTCGCCCAGAAAACACGCTCCTCCAATTATTTCGAGCAGCGCAATTACACTTGTCGAGTATAAAATGAACGGGAACGTACGAAGGCCGTACCCGTACAGACCCCGGGTTCGAAAGAACAACGAACAAACCATTGTCGTCATTTTTCTTTGTCCCTTCTTGTCGAAAAGAAATGAAAACACTCCGAAAAGAGTACACACGCGTCGAGATTGTTTCACCCCGGGGCGGAATCGCGTTGTCCCGTCTGCGTTTCTGCCCCGAGTCCGACTCTATCTGGGTTAAGTAACTAAATCAATCAACTCTGAGAAAACAGGACAACGCAATTAGCGATGCCGCGCGAATCCGACAGATTCGTAAAAAATAAGAAGAAAATCACTGAAAAGACAAACGTCGACCTCTCGATCGCTGACAAGCGAAGAATCTTGTCTCTTTTCCTTTCGTTGTGGACAAGTTTGGACAGGTTTGGACAAGTTTGGACAGGTTTGAACAAGTTTGGACAAGTTTGGACAAGTTTGTACAAGTTTGGATAAGTGTGGACAAGTATGAACAAGTTTGGACAAGTTTGGACAAGCTTGAACAAGTTTGGACAAGTTTGGACAAGTTTGTATAAGTATGGACAAGTTTGTACAAGCTTGAACACAAGTAGAAACAAGTTTGAACAAGTTTGGACAAGCTTGAACAAGTTTGGACAAGTATGGACAAGTTTGTATAAGTTTGTAAAAGTTTAAACCCAAATATGAACAAGTTTACACAAATATGGACAAGTTTGTACAAGTCTGAACAAGTTTGTACAAGTCCGAACAAGTCTGAACGAGTTTGTAGCGGAGGAAACAAGCAGTTTTTACGACTTTCCAGCTCCGAAGGGTCCGTGCCCCGTCCTGGGAATCCGGAAAAACGTTTTTCCCTTCGTTCTACGTCTCCAAGACGACTAATAGGAAATTCGCGCGGCTAAGACGCGCCATTTAGTCCCGTTTTATTGGCACCTTCGCGAAGCCAACGTTATTTCTCTATTGTGCGGACGACGTGCATTCACCGAGCCGGATCGATCGTCCGTTGAAACTGTTTTGAGAGGTAAAGAAAAGGAATCTCTGGTCGTTCCGTGGGCCGATGTGCAACTTCATTGTGCTCGATTGTACGTGGGACTGGCTGACAATGCCAGGCGAGTCCCGTGTTTTATGCGATGCGTTCGAACGAAGCGTTCTTGTCACCCGCAGATGCGATTTCTTTTTTTTTTTATCCCCGTTTAAAGTGTACGTATCAGACGACGGCGTTCAGTTTCATCGTATTTAGATTTTACCGTGGATTCGGACCGTTCATTGTTCCCCGCGGTCCCTTTTGATATTGTCAACGAATTGGAAACCGACGTTGCATCGAAACCTTCTGCCCGATTACCTCGAGACGGGCTTGCAAGTTACGAAAGTCCTCTGTGTTTGTTATTCGATCGAAACAATGATAGCTTTGCTGATATTAATTCTCGATACAAACTGTTTTGTTGTGTCAAATTTACCTTATAATTTCATTGTTCTCGCGATCTATTTTGATATTGTTACGAGTCCTCTGTTTGGAGACTCTGCTTTAGACGACTCGGTTAACCGGTTGCGAGAAAGACAAGAGCAGCGTGGCCCTCTAGTGGCGAGTACAGGAACCAACATACTAGTTTTTCTGGTATTAACTGCTGATGCAAACTGTGTTTATCGGGTACTTTGTAATTTATATTTTATGATTGTTGTTAGATGTTTTGTGCTGATTTGTTGCGTTAATTTTTTATTGCAGCAGCTCCATTCAGAGTATAGGAGCACGTACACATGGCACGAATACACTGGGCCGCACCAGGAGCATACGGTCGTCCGTCGAGCGCCGCAACCACCGCCGACGTCGAGTAAGTTAACCCCTGTTTCTTGTTAAAATAGTTTTCATATACTGCATACAGGTTGTCCCATGCGACTGGATCGAGCTGCATCGTCCCTACGGTTCAGTATAGCAAACGTACACGAGATAAAAGCAAATAGATTCGACGCCTCCAACGTCCACAACACTATAAACAATACTCACAAATATAAACACACTTTATTATAAATTTATGCACTTTTCAGTCCATTATTCTTGATCAAAGGGTTCCACTGAATTCTCTGACCCACGATTTCCTACCAGATTGTAATTTCAAAATATAGTAATGTATAGAGGAATAGTTGGAGGCCTTCGAAACCATTTAACTTTGCCTCCGGGCAGTCTTTGCTATTTAAAACCGTCGGAAGGACTCGATTTGACCCAATTGCACGGGACACTTCGTATAATTTCTTCTTCTCACGATCTAGCGAAATCAGTTTCTTGATCAGATAGTCTCATTAGCTATATCGTCGCATAGTTGGCTCGGTACCGATGTCTGAGCAAACAGAGACCTAAATGTCGAACCATTCGGGACCGAGATTTTGCTCAGCTATTCGTACCATGCTGGTTAAAAGTTAATTGTCTTCACAAACTCGTTGGAATCATGTTATCCGGCCGCGAGCGTGAAAAAAAAAAGAAAATGGCCGCCGCGCAGCCACCCGGCAAGATATGCAAATTCCTTGGAAATTCATCGTCGCCTAAGCGTGATGATCACCCGGGAATGATATAAAATTTAGCGAGATTCTCGCTACGCGGAAGTACATCCGGGCACCGGCGTTTCCGTTCTCCCGCCGCGTAATTAAGAAAATCGACGCGTCCACTGGTTAACGAATTGCGTGGCGAGACGTGCAATTTTGATATCTCGAGTACGTGGACTTTCCATTCTGCACGTTTCCGCCAGGTAAACGAAATTCACGCTCGTCAATGATTCGCATTTTATCGACTGTTTTTTTTATCATTTTCGTTTTCTTTTCATATTTTCTCTCCCTTTTTTAGTATTTGTAAAGGTGTTTAGTGACTTTTCTTTGATCGTGCTGCCACTCGTATGTATAATTATATATATATCGTATCGATATATCGCACATGCTCTGTCGTCACGTTTCACCCAACGGGTTCACAACCACGCCATGTCTCACCCTCGTGACTCGTTTACGTGCCATAAGTATGTATAATAATTTTCTATCACTACGTCTATATTATACTCCAACCGAACACGTATCTATACGCAGGCTCGCCATTAGATATTGTCGCGATCTCAGATCACAACACTGTGACGCCATATTGGAAGACGCCATGTTGGAACCAAGGCGCCATATTGGAAACACAAACTTCGTAACTTCGCGAAGGTAATTTGAACCCACGAGCGTTTGTAAATTTTTGTGGGTAGGAAAACTTCGATTTTTCAAAATGGCGTCGCAGGAATTGGCTCAGATATCAGCTAATAACAAGAATAACTTTGATTTTATGTAAAATAGCTTCCAAACAATTTCTCTGGCGCGTCCTGCGTGTACACTCGTCGGATCGTCTCGATGTTGTGAAGCATCACGTTTTTTCTTACTCTTTTCTTCGATTGTTTTTTTTTTTTGTTCTTATTCCGATGCCTGCGTGACCAAAGCGAGTAGATCGCCTAGAATTCAGCGACACAGACCCCGGAATGTTCGCCTAGTTTTTTCGTCCCGGTCGAAAAATAATTAGCCCCGTTCGAATTTATCGGGTATCGGTGATCCGGTAAAGCATTTCGCAAAACGATTCACGGTTCGATTTGGCAACGAGTCCGGCCCCCGTCGACGATGGACGTCGGTTTTTTTTTTTGTTGGGAGCAGCATCGAAAATCGAAAACGAGAATAGACGAATCGTGGCGATGGGAGAGATAATAAAAAAAGAAAAAAACTAAGGAAAAATAGAGAAAAGACCACACGGTGCCAGCTGCGAATTTTGATTGCAGCGACGCAAGCGAGCGCGAAGCTACAATCGGCCAAGTCGACCGAGGATGAGAACAACGAAGGTAAGACGAACGATCGGAGCTACGCAAACATCTCTAGATTATTACGGTTTATTTCGCTCGTTTTTTAGCCCCTTATTCACCACTCCCCTCAGGGGAATTTCCGCTGGCCTTGCTCCATTTTACCTTTTTTCTTTTCTCACCCCTGCTCGCCCCCCTTTTTTCTCCCCAGTTTCGCGAGCAACCCTTTTTCCGTAAAACATTCGCTTTCGGGGGTCCTCGCGAGGCTCCAAAGCGATCTTGGCGATGAATTTTCGCATGCTTGCTTCCTGGTGCATCGATCATGCGTTTGCGAGCCTGGTTCGCGCTGATGCATCCAGTATCGACAGCTTTTATCAACCAGTAAATGATCGATCGATCCTGAAGAGTGGTATTTTTTATTATTTCAGAACAAAAAGCTTCTTCTCGGTCGATAACAGCGCGAACCAGGTCTAAATGTTTTCATCCACCCCCCCTCGACGTGCTTTCCATAAATTCAGCGTCGAAATGCAACCCATTAGGCTGTGTTTAGGTTTCCATGAATGTGAATAGGAACTTTCGAGCGATCGTAAAAGGAGAAAGAAACGCGACGATCGAAGGTGCATCTCGAATCTCGTTCGTTTCGAACGCTTCCGCATTTGTTTGCACGAAATTCCACAGTGCGCTCACACGCCTACGCAATCATTGAATTCCACGGCTCGTTGTGGGAGAACTGGAGCAACGACGGTTTCTAAATTATTTACCTCGAGTTTTTATTTTCGGTGAAAGTTTGGAACGAGTCCAATTACCTGGGCGCGAAAAGGAGGACCGTTGATCACGTAATTATCATTCTGCTCGCGGAGCAAACGCTTCTCGGGGGGGTTCTTAGCGTCGATTCCCGTCGATAGAGCAAAGTAGTCTCGCATTTCAGCCTTTCTCATCGTTCTCGAAAGATGTGCATCTAGCCGCCTGCACGAAAATATTTTTCACGGCTGCTTGGGCTGTGTCTCTGTGCATACGGCTCTTTCAAACGAGACGCTCTCGACGACTGACGGCCCTTTAAGCCCAGTCGAGCGAACTTCGAAACGAAAAGAATAAATAGGTCTCGAAATTTACCAAACATAACAAAAAAAATTCAAACGATACGAAAATTAATTAAAGATAATGTAATTAAAACATCCCCATTTATTCTTTTGGACTACTCTGACTACTTGAAAAGTAACCTCATAAAGGACGTTGGCTTCTGTAGGCAAACGATCATTCTCTTTGCAATCAAAAACTATTATTCTTCTGTTTATTTTTTTTAAATCATACATACATACGTCTAACATCTCGAATAATTTGTAAATTATGCGTTGTACGGAAATTTCGATTGCTTTTCCGAGCCTTTAATACTCTATTAACCACAGTTTTCCATACAACGCATATTTTATATTCAAGGACAGCATGTTAGGTGTTTTTAATCTATTTAATTACGCTGCTAAAAAAACTTGCATCGCCTGAATTACTCTGAATAGTAGTCGTAATATTAAAAATTTTGTATCTTCGTTAAAATTTGCCCGAAAACTCGCGACAGAGATTAAATTAAAGACACTTTTAATTGCTCGCCCCTTCAGCCAACTTCGTTCGTGTCTAAGGTGCGATCCTCGCTCGAGAATGTTCAGAAATTTGAAGAAAAGACGACTTTTAAAGCCCCTTTGATGTGTGACACGTCCACCGTGGCGTGCAATAATTTATCCCCCGACCCTGACGTTTAGTGTCGCGATCCTTCGAAACAAACCGAAACAGCACGAAGGATTTATAACCGGGGACCTTTAAAAAGCGTCCGCCATTCTCTACGGTTTTACGTCGTTCAACATTTTTCGAGCATTGTCGGACCTCGCGAGAACAAGAAACAACGGTTTTTTCATTTACGAACAGAAAACTATTCGATATTCTCCGTAGCCTACAAAGAGAACGCGTTTCCACGCATGCTTGTACAATTTAAAGTCGATTGCTGCGTTACTTCGAGATATTCAGGTCACTTTTTAGTAAAACGGCTTTAAAGTTTCAATCACGGTCTTTGGAAGGGATGCATTCATTGTATTTTGTTCCCTTTATACTCTTCAAACCTTTATAATGAAAATCAAAGACCGCCATATTATATAGACCTATCGAATATCGAAGTATCGAAGCATCGATATATCGGAGTATCGAAGTATCGAAGTATCGAAGTATCGAAGCATCGATATATCGACGTATCGACGTATCGAAGTATCGAAGTATCGAAGTATCGAAGTATCGAAGCATTGATATATCGACGTATCGAAGTATCGAAGCATTGATATATCGACATATCGAAGTATCGAAGCATCGACATATCGATGTATCGACGTATCGAAGTATCGAAACATCGATATATCGCCGTATCGACATATCAAAGTATCGATATATCGAAGCATCGACCAGTAATGAACGCACAAGTGGAAGGGTCGTCCAATTTGATTACCGTAATAAGTTTTGGACAAATTTTAACGAAGATACGAGACAGTAAAGTCTGGCCACTTTTCAGAGAACGATGCGGAGCATTTGTTTCGGCAGCGTGGCTTCAGTATCTCGAGCTTAATCGCAGTAAAAAGCGTCTCGTCTGAAAGAGCGTTAAAGGTGCGCGCCTCCCCTTGGACTTCAGGCCGATTGTAGCGATTAATCGTTGCAATTAGACCGCAGCAATTAATATCGCAGCGATTCTCGATCGTTCCCCGCCCCTCGCGTACGTCGAAAAGTCTCGATCATCAAATTGCGACGATTAATCGTCCCTGCGATCGGGCGAGACAATCACCAGAGACAATTAATCTCGTGTTGCGCACGGGAGACCAGGTGCCAGTGTAATCGCGTCGCCCGGATAATGAGCGACGAATTTAATTAACGTCGCGGTACACGAGAACACGTTAGACGGAGTCCGGTGAAAATTGGCCCCCCCCACCCCCCCACCCCTGGCAAGGAGAACGAAGAGAACCACGATTAAAGATAATTTCCCTTTATTCTTTTCATCGAAGGCTATTCGTATTCGTCGCGAACGCTCGCGGAAATGTTTAAAACGTTTAAACATCCCTTTTTTTATTTGTCTCCGGAGGATGGACTCATCGATCGTTGCCTCGCGGAACGACGTAAAACTTTTATCGCGCTGATATTCCGTAATTCTCGCGGTGCAAGAAACCCGAGTGTTTCGGAAGACTCGCGAGGCGACCCACTTTTTCGGTAACGATCACACTTTGTTCCCACTGAAAATCATTCCTCCCCGTTCTGACCTGTTTTCCCCAGCCGGCCAGATGACTAACCAATGTTTCCCGACGTGCGTGCTCCACATTGCAACGAATCTCTACAATCGTTCCACGACGCGAACTTCCCGGCTATTTTAAAACCAGGATCGATCCGCAAGGAAACCTTCGAGCGAAACTCGTCAACTGCCAATTTTTTTCACCTCTCCAAGGACCCCTATCCGCGGAACGTTCCCCTGTTGCGATTAAAAACACCCCGTTGGAGACCAACGCGGCGCTTGACTCCGCGAGGAATCGATGTGCAAGCACAGGTGGACGTTTAAATACTTTTTCTAGGCTCTCTCTAGGTTTCGCGCTAACCTCGCGACACTTTCGCGGCAGGTGTCCTCAATTGCTATCGACTCGATTCGATCAACCTGATGAATCGTACCGGCGATTCGTTATCGCTGTTTGAACGTAACAAACCGCGCGTAATCATACGTTCCTCCCCCCCCCGTATTTGTACTCGTTCCAACCCCTAAAACCGATCAACACCGTCGTTCGTTAAGTTCCAACCTCGAACATCGATCGAACGCAAATCTCGAAAGATCGTTTGACTCGATCGTATCGAATCAGACAGAGTCAGGAAAAATAGGAAACAAAGTGTAGCCACCTATTTCGGTGTCTTCGCTCGTAAAAGCACTACAGTCTGTCCCAGATTCTGGAATCCACGTTTCATTGTCTGATTCTATTCCTCTAGGCGCATTTGTTTCGCAAAACAACTTTTCGTAAACATTTGTATCTCGATGTGACCAATTTTACGGTGACTCCCCCGGTGGAATTCCTCCCGTACCTTTTTTTTTTTCTCTGTTTTCTTTGTTCCGCCCATCGCGAAACTTTTACTTTCGACGATCTCGAGGCATTCAGAGCGGCGGGCACGAGTTGTTCCATTGGCAGAAATGAAAACGTCGGTGATAATTGATTCATAGCCAGCGAGTCGAGCGACGCTTGGAAATCGAGAAAGGAGAGACAGAGAGGAGGTACTTATCAGTTTCATTCACGGCTGCTATTGATACACGCGGAAATCCTCCTCACGGTTTTCTGGGCTAAACTACAACTTCGCGACGCGGCTGACCGAGAAAAGACCGGCCAGCCAACCGTGTACTGGCTGCTCCAACAGAAACTGACACGAATTCTACACTGTCGCAAGCCTTTTTCCTATGGATTTTTCCAACCAAAAGCTGTTTTTAGCTGGACACCCCGTATTACCGGGCCGCGTCGCAAATGGAATTCCAATTAAATGAAAATGGCGAAAGTTTTCAGCGACCCTTTCGTTCCGACTCGATGAACCGAAAAAAAAGCGTGGAAACGTGCCCGTCGCGCTATTGCTTTCCATCCTTCGATCCTATACCCCCGTTTCTGCCATTGGTTCTCGCCTTGGCCCGCGATCGATCGCTCCGCAGCGTGTTTCTTTTCAGATTCCATCAATCTTCCATGCACCTTCGCTCGTCCGTCTCGAACAGTTAGTAACTTGCACGTTGCACGACATTTACGACCGTCCACGGGGTAGCCTCGAGAGGGTTGAAACCAGGGAATCGCATGTGTTTGCAAAGAACCCCTTTGGCCAACGAATTACAACTCCAAACTTTCAAACCTCCATATATGTATGTATGTTCTCCTAAAAATTATGTTCAGTAACAAGCATAGACAAGTTTGTACAAGTACATAGTAGGGGAAACGAGCTGTTTTTACGACTTCCTGGTATTGTTTGGCGCCCATAGTTCTATCAACAAAGTGCTGGTCCGCATCGTTACTGGTTTACGGATGTTTCGCAGATTGCACCGGTGCAATCTTAATGGAATCGCTTCTCCTTACAAATTGAGCCCTTTCCGTAACTGTCTGCAAGGTTTTGCGCTCCAAATTCACCGTTTCGCGGCCGTAAATTAACTCCATTGGTCGTACACCTCCCCGCGGATCGGATCCAGAGACTTCCGAGGGTAATCCCCGTTCGAAACTGTGCAAATCGTGGTAGTTCGTTGCACGTGGTCCTAACTCGATGGCCAGGGTCTGCACCATCCGCATCGCACGACATTTTCCGTATTAGTCGTTTCCGGAGGAACGAGGACGATATGCATCTCTTCGTGCACGATCTAATAATTCAGGCCCTCCCCCCCTCCCCGCCCCCGTAAAACGAAGCATTCCCTTACGGATTTCCATTCAGCTACGCAACTGGAGCACAAAGCCGGGATCCATCCGATGCGATTACCTTTGAGCGAGATGCGCCGCGAGAGTCGTCGTTATCTGCTTTTTTTTTGTTCACTTCCCTTTGCCCCGTCGATGATTTCTTAAAGCGGGCCTACCCCCCGAAAGGGATCGATTTTTTCGTCCCGCGGAACGGAAAACGAGGCTTGGGCGCGGGTATCGATCGATCGTTTCGTCGCGGGGGACCGATCGAACGCGAGACTGGAGCCGCGGAATCGAGACTCCGGCGATAAAACCGAGACGCCGGGATCGTCGGGGCTCGTTCGATCGGAAAATAGAGACGTAACGTTGATTTCATTGATCAACGAGCCGGGGATGTTGGAACGTAGCCACCGAAACACGATCGAGACTCGAATCACGCTTATTTTTAGGAGAAATTCTCCCTCGAATTTACCCGCTTATCATTTATCACACGCTTGTGCAAACGAGTCAACATTCCAAGGACGAAATCTCTGGCAACGAGAGGACTCGTGATAGTTACCAAAAAATGTAGAAGATCAGTAAGTTCTTGTACTCGATGGGGGGGGCTCGAACGCAAAATTCTTTACAGGATCGTGATAAACAAAGGTGATAATCTAGAATTAAAAGGAGACACATCCTTTAAAGAAATTTTCTTTTTCCAAGCTCAGAGCCCCCCCCCCGAAATAGTCGCCATTTTGTTTCCTGAGCGAACGTCCCCGGGGAGACGGTGCATTAAAATTGCAAAGACGGTTACATAACCGAGTCAATATTCCACGCACCGTGACACACACACACACACGTGATTATTCGAGCACATACGCTGCTGACGCACGCAGACACGCGTCTACGGACGCCTGGCGTCGCATCGATCTTTCGTCGTGTGCATTGTCGCCTCTGGCGACGTCCGGCGAGAATAGCCGCGTTCTAAAAGCGTGGCTGTCGCGCGCGGCCCGACCGGAAATAACGGAACGCGCGCGGTGACGTTCCGGTAGCCATTTCGCGGGGAAGTCCTCGCGAAAGGCGGGCAGGAAGCCGCGAGGACGAGCGTGTCGTACGACGCCCCGCCGTGCTTTCCAGACAACTTGACCCCCCCGTCGTTCAACTTCACCCCGCTCAACGATATACCGTTCGAATCCGATTTCCGTTGACCTTAATTCACCGTGTAAAGCGTAAGGGCTCTCGCGGACCGCTCCCCTGGCGTGCCACGAGAAAAATAACTGTTTCGAATCTTCGCACGCGATGTTTCAAATCGTTAGACTTTCAAAAGAAACAAAAAGTACGGTCGGTGTTTCGTAATCGATATTACGGCTGCCGTTGATACACCGGAGCCCCGGTTGTGCGATAAAAAGTAAAGAAAACTTCGCCATTGAGGAAACTCTGGCGCGAGCGCCACCTGCCGGAAGGACCTTTCGCGACTCGAGTCCCATTATTTTACCCCAGAACCGTTTATCCGCGAGACCACGACCCTCTCGAGACGCTCGTCGCTTTGTCGTTTTGATCGTATTTCAGAGATTCTTGCGTTCGAGCGAAAAGAGACCACTTCCGGTTGCAGGTATCCCCCCCGCAGGGCGTATAGCGTGCAAACAGTGCCTGAGTACGGTTTGTAAAGCGCGAGTTTGGGCATCTCGCGCAACCGCCGTGGACATTGCTGAACACTTTGTTTTGCTTCTTCTTCTAGAGAGAATGCTTTGTTTATCGTGCGAACGATTTGTAGCAGCTTCCGCTTGTTCAACATGCTTTTGCCTCGAGAAGTTCGCTCATTTGTGAGTTCGTGTTGTCTTTTTTTTTTTTGTTTTCTCTCTCTCTCTCTCTCTCTCTCTCTGTGGCGAACACGCGCAACACACACGAGCGCGAGCACGCACACGCTCTCGACCGCCGATGTTAATTAGTCCATTAACAGAAATCGATTTTCGCTTCGAGCGAAGCCTCGAGCGTGTTTCGGCCACTCGAGACTTCGTCGAACCGCACCGGGAATGTCGAGGGTGGGGGAAAGGGGGTGGAGAAGGGACAGCGAAAGCTTTCGAGTTTGAAACGATAAACGATCGAATCGATTCGAATTCGATTCGACTCGAGGGTGAATCGTTCTCTGTTAATCGAAGCGGTCGAGATGGGTGAAGAGACGGTCGATGAACGCGCGATTTGGAGGCTTTCAACGGGGCACGATGTTCGTTTCAGGACCCACCTTGGAACCGCCGTTGCCGAGACGAAAGAAATGCCCGGAGCTCGCGTACAAGACGCACGAGTTCATAACGGCGGCCGACGGAGGTGGCATAGACGCCGTCGACTCGAACGTTGTAGCTGACAAAGTTCGGGTACGTGTGCAAAAGGCAATTAACTATAGTATACGATAGTAAAATTCCGATCATCTGGGGCAATCACGAAAAATTCGATATACCGGATAACTGGAATACAGCTACGTACGAAGTGATAAAAGCAAGGAATGTAATCACTGCCGAGGGATACAACCTTACATTCAATAGTATTTTTTTCGCCCATTTTTCTGGTATTTAATATTCTTAGAATTTCTACATATTCCACGCCTAAATACGCGTCGATTGCATTTTGAAACATTAGAATCCTCCAATCCGTTCGGAAGTTATGGTATTTTAAAGATAAACACGAAATTTAAGGGGAATGTATCAACGGTATGGTCAGACATTGTATTTTCGGTAAGGAATTTTTTTCTCGAAACTGCGTAGGATTTCGAGGGTATGTATAATCACCGAAAATGATTGTAATAGATCCATGCAACTAGAAATAATTTTTTCATAGTGATTCAAAACATTTTAATTTTTATGAAAATTTCACAAATTCTCCAATTTTTTTCTCGGAATTGGCTAGGAATTCGGGGTTATACCCATTGACCAAAAATGAGTGTAATTAACCCCTCTAGCTAAAAATAATTTTTTTAGAACGATTTGAAATTTTTTTTTTTCGGCGAAAAATTTCACAACTTCTCGAATTTTTTTCTGGAATATGGCTAGGAATTCGGTGTTATGCCTATTGACCAAAAATGAGTGTAATTAACCCCCCTAGCTAAAAATAATTTTTGTAGAACGATTTGAAATTTTTTAATTTTGACGAAAAATTTCACAAGTTCTCCAATTTTTTTCTCGAAAGTGGGTAGGATTTCGAGGTTATGTCTATTGACAAAAAATGATTGTAATTAACCCCCCTAGCTAAAAATAATTTTTGTAGAACGATTTGAAATTTTTTTTTTTCGGCGAAAAATTTAGGGACTTCCCCCTGTCGATTTTTCTTGAAAACTAGTTTTTCATTTTTAATAAATTTGTTTGATGCCGTACGGAAATTTTGTTTAATACTTTTTTGTAGGTACTGATGGGCTCTACTTCAGAAAAAAGTTTCATTGAAATATATTAACTCTTGTAGGAGTTATGGCTGTTTGAAAATTGGGGAATTTTTATGGGGTTTTTCTAAGTATACAGGGTTAAAGAACATCTCTTTCAATATTTTTATAATTTCTACATATACTTGACCAAAATACACGTCGTTTGCCGCCTCAAACATTAAAATCCTTCCATCCGTTCAGAAGTTATGATTTTTTAAACGAATGCATGAAATCTCGAGAGACCATTTCTGACCTCAGATTATATTTTCGGTAAAGAATTTTTTTCTCGAAACTGCGCAGGATTTCGATGTTATGTCTATTGACAAAAAATGATTGTAATTAACCCCCCTAGCTAAAAATAATTTTTTTAGAACTATTTGAAATTTTTTAATTTTGACGAAAAATTTCACAACTTCTCGAATTTTTTTCTCGAAAGTGGGTAGGATTTCGAGGTTATGTCTATCGACAAAAAATGATTGTAATTAACCCCCCTAGCTAAAAATAATTTTTGTAGAACGATTTGAAATTTTTTTTTTTCGGCGAAAAATTTAGGGACTTCCCCCCTGTCGATTTTTCTTGAAAACTAGTTTTACATTTTTAATAAATTTGTTTGATGCCGTACGGAAATTTTGTTTAATACTTTTTTGTAGGTACTCATAGGCTCTACTTCAGAAAAAAGTTTCATTGAAATATATTAACTATTGTAGGAGTTATGGCTGTTTGAAAATTGTGGAATTTTTATGGGGTTTTTCTAAGTATACAGGGTTAAAGAACAACTTTTTCAATATTTTTCGGGGGGGCTTCGGGGGTACATGTATTCACCAAAAATGATTGCAATTGACCCCCTGCAACCGACCAACCGGATGTCCTATAATCAAACCTCCACCGTACCATACTCTCCAAGCTACTCGTTAAACCAAAGGGTGGGGATTAAGATCTCTGACGGAGCGTTCGAAAATTTCCGTTTAACACCGGTGTGTGCACACATTAAGCATATTCACTGAACCCCGTGTACGGGTCAATGCACCCGTTGCACCGGTCGACCGGACGCTCGCAAGCCATCCACAGCGCCGGAAGGGTTACACAGATTCCTCCAAGGGCTGTAGTGTGTTACTCGTACCGAAACTTCCATCATCCAACGGGACTTTACCGCTACAATAACTGTACGATCGTATTGCAGGAAGTTACAGCGCAGTCGAGTTTGCCGCCTAGTCAGCTGAGCAAAGCGATATCCAGAATCAGCACCGAGTATCGGCTGCAGTTCGCCTGGCCTAGACGACCTCAGCTTACAAATGGCGAGACAGTGCCGCCGGGAGTGACGGCCGCGGGAGCGCCTGCAGGTACGACAGGACCACCTAGAAAGTCTCTCAGCATGGGAGCTCTTAAGCAGGGTATCGCGCCTACAGGACCTGCCCCGGTTCACAAGAAACGACCCGGCGATGTCGATCATAAACGCGATGGTAAATGCCTCTTGGATTATATCCCGACATACCATCTGGATGTTTCGTTCCACAGAGATCGCTCGACCATCGACGCACCATTCTAACCCCCCCAACCCCTTCGAAAATGGCCGCCTCCAACCGGTACACCGAGCAAAGCTCCGGTCTCACTTAGGGGTGGGATCAAGTTACTCGATCTTTCGTGTCCTTTTATCAGTAGACTGGAGCTTTGTAGAGGTCTCCATCCCCTAAATATGATAAGTGGAGGAACTGGAAAGAGGTCAAACAGAGCACCCTGATCTGAGAGTACCCTGGATCTCACCCCTAATTTGAGTATTTCAAAAATAAACCTGATGACGTCTCGTTAGAGTGTTCTAGATAAACGGAGATTGCCAATTTCTGTAGCTCTCGACTTCTTTGTTTGTTAAGTTTTCGCGAGAGCTAAGGGGCATTTGTTTTTAATGACCCGCAGGAGTGCAGGCATCGGAACTGGAGCCCCTGGTCGGAGGAACTGGCACGGACATCATCGACGGGGTGGTGCCCGAGGGCGACGAGCGCGAGGAGGATATTTCGGACTTGAAAATAGCTTTCAGGTCAGAGATTTAAGACGACGTAGGGGATCTCCATTCATCGCGAACACCTTTGAATATCGCGGAGGCGGCAGAAAAAAAAGTTATAAAAACTTATTTTTTGTTGGTGAACTTTAACGTTTAGCCGGTGACTATAGTCATCTTCGAGCCCTGAAACTTTGAATATCGAAGGTAGTCGCGATGGAGAAGACTCCGTACAGTATTAAAGAGAGTAGTGCCCACGGATATCGCGATTAAAGGGAAGAACAAAAGCATCTACGACGAACCTAATCGCTGTGAAGCCGCGCTACAATCACGATTGATTCTTTTCAGGGGTAAAAAGTCAGGTAAAACCGTAATGATAGTGGATGATAAAGGGCCGAGCAAACAGCAGGAGAAAGCTACGTTTCCTACGACAGACGTGATCGAGCTTAGGCGACTCGCTGACGAGTACAAGGTAATTCGACTATTCGAAGACCGCGGACTGTGATTCCGTCCTTTGTTCTTCTGACTTACTGGAGACAGTACTCCCTTCGTTGTGTTACAAATCATTCCACCCCAGGACTTCGTAGTTCTTTCTCACGAACATTCTCACGAAGTCGGTTTACGGTATTCGTTCGATGTTTGCATGCACGTCCATCCAACGTCGTGTTATTTTTTTATATCATTCACACGTTTAGAAAGAAATAAATGGGAGGATCTGTGAGGGCATTATCGTGCATGCGTTCCTCCGAGCGAGAGATTCTGTGTCTTCCAAAGCATGCTCAGTGTTCTATAGTGTGTGCGTTAGTGTCGCCACGATCGCGTTATGTTAGAAGACTGCGTGCAAAACGCAACAGAATGATTCGTTCTGATTTGTACATTAGCATCGCGACTGGGGTTGCGGTCTGGCAGCCGAGGACGAAGCTTCGCTGTGGAAACGAGTCTCCAGTAACCACGCTCTCAACGCGCTGTCCCTTGCCAGGCCAGTACACTATACTAAAATCGGTCCATTTTGCAACCCTAACTACGCTCAACCTGAACACCAGCACCTCCCGCCGAATTCGACTCGCTAAATTTCGATGGGACATTAGTTTTCTGAATTTAACGAGACCAGGCTGTAATTGTCCGATTCTCCAAAATTCGGAACGAGAGATCGGAGCCGAGTATAAAAGAGTCAACCGTAGTTGTGCGTGGAATGAATCGGGTACTCGAGTCTTTTGATTCAAAAGATCCGGGTCGAAACTTCACACGATTTTTGTCGTAGTTGCGTTTTATTTCTTCCGCCGCGATCGTGTCTAGCAACGGGGGTGGGACTGGTTCGAGGAGTGACGAGTGATTGCGTGTGTAGGTCAGTGACGAAGGAAGAGAAAGAGAAGGAGAACACGAGGAAGGTAGCGCCGATCACTATGACGATGACGATGCCTCCCGCGGGACGACCGTCGTCGGTGCAGGCTAGACCTATGCACGGACTGTTGCAGGACGATGCCAAAGCGGTACGCCAAACAACAGTTTAAAAGTTTCATCCACGGTTTTCATCGTGCATCCTTTTTGCAGGATACTGAAAGAGCCATCGCTCGCGCAAGAAAGGATTTCTTGATCCGCCACCACCTGGATCGTACCACCGGTGTCGGTAAGTGTACAAGATGATAAAAAAAGTAGAAGACTTAGAGCGTAGAAATTGATGTACAAAGTGTTTCGTAGCAAAGGTCTCCTCAAAGATGGATTACAAGGCAAGGTCCAAAGCTTAGAGTCTGATTTCACTGCGTTCTCGAACCACTGTACGCTCTGTTTTTTGCAAATTATTCGCGATTACGGTTACAAAGGAGTCGTACAGTGTTTGATTTTGGCCAGTGAACGTCGACTGTTCGAGCACACGGGACACTATTTTCTGATCCGTCTTTGAAGTCCTCCTAGGTGATGACGATTTGTTTGCAACAGGCGACGGAGCACTGCTTCCCTCTCCGACGAGAGAGAAGCTGGAGCCCGTGATACCGCGACGTAGAGAGGACACGAAGGAGCATCGCGAGGAGGTACAGCCTAAGACCAAGTCCAGCCCCAAGAACAGTCCTAGAACCGGACGTTCTCAGAGTCTTGGACCCTGTGTCACCGAGCGTCGGTCACCGAAACGCCAACCGCCGCGCGCGCCCTCTGTCACCAAAGACACTAGGGTATTTTTTTTCTCACCATACTCTAGCGTAAAGGAGTTGATTTTTTAACGAAAGATAGAACTTCCAAGGTGAACGGCGAACTTGGACGCAAGATAACGTTTCACCAAAAGAAAATAGGGGTATATTTTTGATCCTGACACAAAAGAGTTAATTTTTAACGATGAAAGGACGATTTTGCGAGTGACCCGTAGGAAGAAGATAATGTTTCCGTTGTTTTTGTTTAGGAGAAGGAAAAGGAGCCAAAGGATAAAGAGAAGGAGCTGAGGGACAAGAGCGGTGAGCCAGAAAGGCATCCACGACCGAGTAAGTAGCACCGAGCGAGCATCCACGACATCCCCCTATCGACATATCCTTCTCGTATCGATACATATCTAGTATCGATCGATTTAGTATCCATGAGACCGTACCCCAGATCGATTGGCGCTCGTTGTCTGTCACAAGTTCCGTTTGCATATCCGTGCATAAACTGGAATTTGGATAGAAGTCTCGTACATATATTTTGGATTGCTGTTTTTTTGCTCTTGTGGGCTTCGAAAGCCGAACGTTCGTTATTAATTATTATTATTACCTTGTTCGGAACGTGTCGCAAGAGACATCCACCGCTTCGAAAGAGTACGGCGGTCTTTTCTTCGTGGAAAAGACTGTCACCGCGTGTTCCGTACCGGAGGATCGATTCTTTGAGCGGTGTGTGTCCGTTGAATCGTCGTTAATGTATTTTTTATTATTTTTTTTTTTTTTTTTTTAGGCAGATGCATGACACTCGTGTTTTAATCGTTTCTATCTCTCTGTCTCTGCCTAATCTAGTAACCAAGTAGCTCTTATTTGATTGTCCGTACAGAAAGTTTTGCGACATGTTGTTTCCCCACATCCTGAACGGCCTCCAGTTAAATCGCGAGTAGCCTTAAACGACGCGTCTTCCACCCCCCCCCTCGTGTGTTAACGTTCGGTAGCAACGAGAACTAGACGTTGATGTGTATTTTGAAACCCCCTCGACTAGATGTTTTTTTACGAACGCCATAGCAAAGTAAACCATCCGCCATCTTCGTCATCGACAATTCTCTCATCATCGACGCTAAATCTTGTCACGTTCAAATCTGATCTCATCCGTCATAAAGCTCACGTTCTCCGCTAAACGACCTCCTCGTTTCGTGCGCCATCTTTCATCATCGTCGCCATTCTCTCTAGTTCATCGACCCGCCACCGATGAGCGCTCGCGTCTCACGATCTTCCTCTCGAACATCCAGCCATCTCATTCATGCTCAATCGGGTCAGATCGGTGACTGGACACGGCATCGTGCTAGACAGCCCTCGAAAGCACACCACACCCCCCCGGTGCAGACCGTGTTTCTCTCACTTATTAAAATCAGGCTTAGTTGCTCGCGCGAGACGAAACCGCGACGATCAGATTGATCAGGAGTGGCAGCGGGTGTTTCAGTCACGGGCCCCGGCCGCGTACGTTGGAGCATACGGGAACCCTCGACGATTTCCTCAACGGGTCCGTCGACCAGCGTGCCGCCATTACCGCCACCACCCTCGGGCCCAGGGCCTACTCCGTTCCACAGGAGGCCCCCACAGGTCCATCGGAAATGTACGTTCTCTGTACCACGTACCTGCTGCCCGCTAGCCCAAACTTTCACGTATCTCGGTTCTCTACCCTCTCGTCCTGCACCCCCGACACTACCACCACTATCTTCTCCAACCCTTCCAACCCAAATAACCCTTTAACAATTTAAACGTCGACCGACGGATTGCAATTTCTCTCTGCTCTTTTCCATCTGTCTTTACTCGATCACCTTTTTCGCGGTATCGTTAAATTGTTAAAGGGTTCACGTGCCGAATTCTCGGTCCCGACGTCTCGGGGTATATTCCTCTGTAAAGTAAAAATTTCCTTGCTCGATTCACGTTTACGTTTACGGGGGGCTCGTAATTAGCAACGACTTGGCCGATCTGTTTGAAAATAGTTGCTAAGGGGATCGATGTTGGGGCGGAGAATACCGCAATGAAATTCCGCGGTCGACTCTCCGTCGATGCGCGACCGCAACAACTGAAACACGCGATTGCAAGGGAAGAACCTCTGTGTTCGAACGCGATTCTGCGCGGGAACCTTCAGCCCTCGATAACCTCTCCAATAAGAAGCGACGCAGCCTTGCTTAAAATGTTTGATAATCGGCCCCGCACTACTGTGCCCCGACTGATATCGAACTTGGAAGGTTCTGCAAAAGAGTGCAACTCTTGCCACCTTTTCAAAGAAAACATTTCTGCATCGATGTATCTGGGAGATTTGGGGCAAGATGGGTGCCTTGGTATTGTGGCGTCAACTCCCGTGCTCGTCGCCAGAGGGGTCGCTCTCTCGCAAGCGCGACTGACCTCTCCGGTGGCGCTGCCTTCCGTACTCGCCGCTAGAGGGCTCGCTTTCTCGCAAGCGTTCGACCTCTCTCCTCTCTTTCTCCTTGATTTTTCTCACTTCCTCTAATAGGAAAGCACGCCACAGTATCTTGGACACTATTGCTCTTCCGTTTTTATGGTTTCTGGTGAGCTATAAGGCTCAATAATGAATCGTACTAGTGGCAACTGTTACTAGAAGACATTTTAAGCAGGGTGGTCCACGGACGCGATTGTGTTTCGCGTAAGATCCCGAAGGACGGTGGCCTTAATTCATCATTGTACTTTGTGTACGGTATGTTCTAGCCTTCCTCGCAACCACCGCTCCTCCCCATCGCCCTCTTCATCACGCCAAACCCTCAACCACCACCACCACAACCACCAACACAAGTACCACTGTAAAACCCCCGGTAAAGCATTCAGTTCATACGAGTGTCCATCACCCACCTGCGTCGAGCGCTGCCGCTGCGGCCAGGCCGGACCGTGTTAAAGATATAAGCCGGTGCCAAGGTCCAAACGAAGCTCAGCCAAAAACGGCCCGCGACGATCCAGCTGCGGCTGCGGCCGCAGCCGCCGCCGCCGATCCATCCAAATCATCCTCCGATAGTCGATACGCGTCAAACCAAGCCGCTACCGCCGTCCAACCTAGTAAGTAGCATGCTCTCTGCCGTTCGGCCTGTTGCTAATTTGTTTCGCTCGAACATATATCTAACGCTTTTCGTGTTCGTTGTTGTGTATCTATCTACGTAGGTTGTCCCATAAGTAGCACGCTCTTTCTTCGGTAAACCCCCCACGTGCACCAAAACTACGTCAACGACTTCATGATATTCTTTCTCTCGAAAGACTCCTCCACACAACCCCCTCGACAATCATTCTTTCAGCCTGCAAGGAAGCATACCCGGATGGTCGACTGCTCGCAAGCTACACATATCTTTGCACGATCCACTCAGGGAACACTTCTCCAGGATCTTCCTATTGTACAATCTTCAGGTGCATTACCTCCATCGTTATACCCACAACATCTACACTTTTGAACGAACTTGAACAACGACGGTTGTTGGCTCTAGAATCCGTTGCACTCGAGAAAAGCTGCATTATTTATGGGATGACCTAATATCTCTCTCTTGCATTGGTTCTTTAAAATCCTTGCTCTCTATTCTGTATTTCACTTTCCGCCTTTCTGTCTGTGTTACTCCGTGCCTTTCAGAGCAACGTCGAGGATGGCCTCTGGCAACATGAAGACTCGTACATTATTTTTTTTTTCTTTTTTTTTCATGTACCTCTTTTCTCGCGCGAAAAAATAGAGCGCGGTTTCCTTGCACTTTCGTCGCGAAGCATGTAACCGACGCTCTATGTTTTACATGCTCGCCGGGGACCTCCCCAGAACGAATCTTTCTCGTTGTTTCTTCCCTGCGATCACGAGGACACGCGCCTCGTGGAAGCTTCGCATTTCTCACGACCGACGTCGCGCCAAGATCTATCATCAGCTTTCCAACACGACACCCTGCGACTTTACAGTGACGGGTATTTATTAAGCGAATCGACGTGATCGGAGGCCAGTAAACGTAAGTGTGCCTTCCTAAGGTGAAACGCGCATCGTTGAATCGGCCGAATCGCGATTCGTTCGCTTGATGTTCGATGTCTTGCGATCTCTGCGTCCGCTGGATCATGCTTTCCGGCGTGGATCGACGATATCGGACAGTTTCGTGTTAAATTAATCGCTTTTCCACCCTCTTTACTGGTCAGGGATTTTTAGATTTGCTCATAGTCGATTAAAATATTGAAAAGTTGGAATTTACAGCGTGCTGTACGATGGAGATTCTTAACCCCTGGGGGTAGAAAAATGATCGATTCGGCGTGAAACGGTCCCATACATCGTCCGTCGCGCGATCGAGAAAACGTTTCCGCGGTAGAGAGAGAACAATAGCCTGTAAACGTTAGAGCCCTTTGTCAACCTGTTGCGTGCTCGCAACACAGCCACGGCTCACATCTACACACACCACCGTCACACAAGATCTAGTACTGTCTCTGCCTTCACTCGTGTCTCTCTGTGTGTGTATATCTGTACGTGTGTTTCCTGCATTCTGAGTACGCTAGTGTACTTTCTCTATGGGAAATGCTCTCTGTGTCCACTGTGTAGACCTCCTGGTAAACCGCGGCTCGACGGGTTTCCGGTGTCTGCGCTCGATGACTCGATCAAGCCCAAACCGAACGTCCATTGATTAAAATTCTTCTCCATGCTGCTCGAATTAAGACTCTTCGTTGCTTTCGACGAAAGCGGCGAAGAGTCCTCGAGCGTCAATAAACGTTCCAAGTTTGATCCTTCGCGAAGTCTTCGAACTCGCCAGGGAACCGCTCGAAACGTCCAACCGTTTGCTTCGAAAGGGTTCCGAACAGGGTTTTCTGGAGCAACGAGTGTTCGACACTTGACGCGGTTCTCCGGCGCAAGTGACACGCGAGGACTCGATGCATCGAGTGCAAGCTTCCCCGGGGGGTGGGCGACCAAGCAGAGCAACGTATACCTTGTCGCTAAAGCTACGCTAAAACGTTCCAGTGACGGCGGAGCCGCAAATAAACGGGGACGCAACCGGCGGGGACTCGAGCATCGCCTCGACCCCACCGTCGCAAACCCAGCCACCGGTCTCTGCCACCGCCGTAAGCCCGTGGATCGACGACGAGCCGGTGGTGAAAAGCCCGCCGGAACCGACCAGGGTAAAGTCCCCGGAGCAGATGATCATGCGGTCACCGGAACCGGTAAACTGGACCGTGCCCCTCGACACCGGGAAAACGTTCACTGTCACCCAAAACGTCAGAGAAGGTACTTTCAAGAGAAGTGAATATTGTTTGCCTAAATTCGAGAAAAAAAACACGCGATTGACTGTGATTTTGCCAAAGAACGAAGTGCAAGGGAGTATTCTGTTTGGAAGCGTGTAACTTTTTTGTTATATTTTTGGTAACTTTGCTTTGTTTTCAAGAACCCCTGACGCGTCCGCACAGCGAGGCGAAAACATGGGCACCGTCTTCCCTGCCCTCGGCGCCTCAGTCAGCACCACCCGAGCTGGCGGCACAGCACAAGTCGCAGCACTCTCAGCACTCCGGGTACAAATCGCCGGAGAGCGAGAGCGTGTCCATCGGTAGCTTCAGCGGCTTGAACGGGCACAAGGACATGGACTCGGAAAGAGACAGCCCGTTGCCCACCATCGCTCAGGGTACCAGCACACCCACGCAGGGTGAAAAGGTCAGGCCCTGCTCTAGAGGAACTCTACAGTTGCCTATGAATCATTTCTGGTGATTATTTACTTCAGAAGACCTAGACTCTGCTGTTAATTTTGCAAATATCTGGGGGAAACTAGGTCTGTTGAAGTCAAAGTGGAGGTAGCCTGAAGTAAATAGTTACCCTGTTCGCCTGTAATTAAAACAAGGAGCTGATTGCAGGAACCGGGAGGATCGGAGAAGGAGTCGAAAGACCAGCCTAGACCAGAGCCATCGATAAAGCCTGTAGCAGGAACGAATCTGAGATGTCTGGACGATCCAGGGTTCGAGTACGAGAGAAAGGAGGCAGGTCAACAGCCAGCGACGACGACAACGATGACGACACCGTCGTCGTCGTCGGTTCCTCAGCCGGGTTACCGTATCCTGGAGGCCGAGTCGCCTCAGGGTAGTACCGGGGGTGGCGTGGGAGGAGTCGGGGGCAGCAGCGGGGGTAGTTATCACGTGCTGGAGGCGCCCACGGTCGTCCCGGGTACGGCGCAACGCTCAGCGGCGAGCGAGGCGCTGGAGAAGGCGCGAAATCGCTTCGACAAGTTCTGGGGAAAGGGCAGCGGCTCGGAGAATTAGAACGTTCACGCGGAGAAACGAACAGCGACATCCTCGAAACCGGAGGAGCACGCGGAACAATGAAGAAGGGGGGAAGTTTAGGGAAGAACTCGAGGAAGAGGAAAGAGAAACGGGGAACGAAAATGGCTCCTTTCGTGGTTCGTCTGCTCGTCCCTGATAGCATTGTTTCATCGGGAGCGATAATCGAAATCTCGTTGGTCCCTTTACGTCTTACCAGTCACCTGTCGAGCGTTCTTCGTCGAGATGTATGAGAGAAGGATATTAACAGCCAAAAGGGAGTTTTATGAACGAGTGTCGAAGAACTGGGCGACGATCGATCGGTAAGACGAGCGAGGATTACGAAGACGGAGCGTGCAGGCAACGCGTCGGTCTCGTTGAAACTCGGAGGATGCGGATCCAAAATGGAGGATACGCGAGCACGCGAGGTTCTCGACCACCTGAGAGCTGGCTCCTTCGACCAACAAGTGATCTTGAGACGAAGAGAGTATTTAGAAGGAAATAAACGAAACTATACACATACACGCAGGACACACGGACGAATCGAACATGTACACATATATTTACACGGACACGAGGGGACAGGTACAGGGGGGGCGACACGTACAATAGGAAGACACGCACCTAGACGAACACACACGCGAGTCAGTAATGTTTCTAGGATATCCAAGTGATCTCGAGGGATCCGCCGTAGTTAAGCCCAAATTCTTTTTCCATTGATAAGAAAAAAAACAAAAAAAAAAAAAAATAATAAAAAACGAGATACCGTGAATGAATCGAATCGCGAGGAAAGGCTTTGTCGCTATAAATAAAGAGAGAAGGAATAAAGTAGCCTTCAGCCGCTTCGTGCGTTTTATATAACGTCTATATACGGAAAACAATTATACACGTGTACACCGTATGTACATCTACATTATGGGTATCGCACTCGCGGATTATACGTGATCGCGGTACCGAGACGATTTCGCGGATCTTCGCCTTGGGGGGGGCGGTAGAACGAGGGATTAAAACGGTTTAAAAAAAAAAATGGGTATAAAGGGTAACGAGGTCCGCAAAATTGTCGAGGGTACCGCGGGAAAAGAGATTAGTCTCTTTCGGAAAACACGGAACGTCTCTCTCTGTGTGTGTGGAAAAATTAATAATCCATTCCATTTTTCGATAAGAACCTCGACCGTTCCGGGAGAAACGAAGAAACGACGAATTTCTAGGTAATTTCCTGCACACGAATATGATTTTTCGCGCTGGTACCTTGGAGACCGGCTGGTGGTTCGCGAGAACGCCGAGGGTGGCTCTGAACGTCTCGAAGTTCACCGTCGCGCCACCTGCTGGAAGTTTATCCTTTCAAGACAGAAATTCGAAAAGCTCGACGCATTCTCCGGTTCCTATTAGTTTCAAGGGTAAACGGTGGCTTAGTTTCGCGTTTTTACGTATCTCGGGGAACGGTCGAGCCGCGTCTGGCGAGGAACTCCCCGGAAACCACGAACGGAACGAATTACTGTAGTGAGGCGTAGTGTTTGTATTCCGCGCGTAACCGGCGAGATTCGAATTCCCCGCGAGTTTCGCGCGTCGAGACCAACGACAGAAACCGGTGCCAAGTCGGTGACAACATCGAAGACACGCCGCTTACGGGGGAATCGTTGCAAGGTAACCGAGAAGAGAAAGGAAGGGTGGACGCTACCTTCCCGATCGCACGCTGCACACATTCCGTCTCTAATTTTCTTACGCGAGAACCTCGTTCGTGCGTTCCTCTTTCGAACGAAAAGAAGATGAGACGCGGGTGATGCCCCGTGACTCGATAAAACGAGTATCGTTCTGTCGTCGTTGGATCCGTTACGCGTTGAAACGATCGTCGATGTGGAAAGGGAGGTAATGCCGTCCCTTCCTTAACCCTGTCGGTGCTAAAGGGTCGAACGTCGAGCGTACTCGCAGGCCGCGGCGCTAAAAAGGGCTAAACGAGAACGGGAAGAGAAAGAGTTTACGATAGAACGCGAAGAAAGTAGCGAGAGGAGAGAACGACGAACGCAAAGACGCATCTTTTTCCTGATCGACAAGAGACAGAGGCGAAAGACTTTTTGTTTGGACATTTGGGGGGGGGGCCCCGTTGTTCTCGCTTCGGGGACGATGGAAGGGAGGAAGGGAAAGATGAGAACAGAGATGATGAAGATCGAACGACGGAGCTTTTCTCTCTTTCACGCGCATTTTGGTACACACCGGTACACCACACTCCATCCAGATCCACGTCCAAGAGTCAACCAACCGTAGTGAAGCAGTATAACGATAATGATTAATGATAACGATAAACTCTAATGATAAAGAAGAAAAAAAAAAAAACCGTTAAGGGAATAAAAAATGATGAAAAACGACAAAAAAAGCAAAAATACGAAATACAGAAGCGAACGACTGACGAGGGACTCGATGAAAACTAAAACCGTAGGAAGAATTCATGATGTCGACGAGAGATCGGGGCTAATTTCCGTTTTATTTTTTTCAGCTTGTCCGCGCGGGGATAGTCGATCGATGACGATGGGCGAAAGAATAAAGATTCTTTATTCGTTAGATCGTTTATACGCGTACGATCGGTGGAAGAAATATATAGAAATTCCCTTAAACATCGTTCTTGTTTCTAATCGAATCGATATGTATCTCGATTATCTAACGAGTTCGCGGTATTTCTAACATCGATCGTGCCTCTGTTTCGTCGTAGTTTGCTCGAAATTCTCAATCGTGCGGCCTATCCTCTCCGTCTCACACGACGCAAAAGACAATCGCGACGAATCTCGATGACACGAAAGATCGAGAGATTTATACGTCATCGACATCGATCGCACTATCGATACAAACGATTCGAGATCGTACCTATCGAAGAGGACCGGCTGCATCCCGAATTTTTCTTTCTTTAACCTATCCTCGAGTCTCCCTCCCCCACCCCATGATTGCGTTTAGAAACACGATTAGATCACTGCTTACACCGATCTGTTTGAGGAAGCTACCGGAAGGACCGTGTAAACCGATTCGAGGAATCTGTAGTTTTAATTCGGTGTTATAGTTTGTATATCGTTACGTTCTTCGACGCGGTGGCGGATCGAATCGTCTAATTTCATTCCCGGGTGACACTCAAATCATTTAGTTTCGAGTACGTTGAAGAGAACAGATATACCGTGAGATCCGCCTCTGCTTCGACGTTCAATTTCGCGGCTCTTGCCTAGACGACGATTCGACTGTGCTGAGGGATAGAAAAAGGTTTTCGAGGTCACGGAGGCGTGGCTATCCCCCACCACTCCGCCCGGCCACGCCCTCTTTCGCGCTACGCCCCGCCCATTTGTGGTCAAAGTGGGAGGGGAGAGTGACCTTGAGCCGGCAATTCGACTGCGCTGAGGGATAGAAAAAGGTTTTCGAGGTCACGGAGGCGTGGCTATCCCCCACCACTCCGCCCGGCCACGCCCTCTTTCGCCCTACGCCCCGCCCATTTGTGGTCAAAGTGGGAGGGGAGAGTGACCTTGGGCCGACGATACATCCCAAGCACGATGTTTCATTTTAGCGAAAGCGTATCGAATATCGAAGGCTGTTTTTAACGCGCTTACCACCGCCGCCCGGTGACCGCGACCTATTGTGATAAGTGTTGAATTATTGCATTCCATATAATAACCGTGCAACTCGATGTACGAGTTGATCGAATCATTGAGTAATCGACGAGCAAGGCGTCGTCGATAAAAAGTTTATAGATTATTTCGAGCGACATTCACTCGGAACAGTGGCGTAGCACGCCTGGATCGTTCAACGATCGGACTTCTCATCGATGATTTCCACGTGTAGACGTTATTTACCGTCGCGCTGTTATTACGATGATTATTATTATAATTGCCTCGTTGTGATAATTGTAATATGATGTGTACGTTTCATTGTTGCCACACGGTTATTGGAGAAACCTTTGCGCGCCACTGATTCGACGAATCACTTCGTTCGAACGGGCTCGTCCTTCTTACGTCTATTGTTGAACGAACGACGAAGAAGGGAAAGTACGCGCGACAGGGGGAAAACTCGAGAAACAGCTTGGTGTAAGCAACGAAGGTAGAGAGCGGTTGGAGCGTTCGTACGCGTCGGATCAAGCACCTCGCAGAAGCTTACACTGCCCATCCGAATTTAGAAGCTGATTCCTCCTGTGATTTCCAGAACGTTGTACCCACGGTTAGGGTCACGACAAACAACTCGACAACGTGAGCGAGCAATTCGCTGAACAAACGTCGACGATTATTATCGTGAACGATCGGAGAAACGTATCGCTCGTCGCCGCGGATTCAAAGACTGTTTCTGTTTTTTTGGAAGAACCGAAGCGAATACCCAAATGTTGCACCTTTCGTTTATCCATTTGTCGAGTTTCCGGTTTCAATTACGGATTATTTCGCTCGCGAGATTAGAGTTGACCTTTTGCTAGGCGAGGCTCGAATGTTTCTTTCGCGAGTGTAGAGAGACGCTGGGGGAAGAAAGGCTTGTAAATGATTTTATTTTACAAGCCTTTTCTTTCTTTCGAAATCTCGTACACGCGTAGACTCACACATTGGGATTTATGATTCTGTCGAGGACAAGTTGTAAGACCATCGATCAACGGGCCTTAAGAAGCGACAGAACCGTGAACGTGCTGGCCACGTTCCGAAAACGTGCGTTTTCTATTCGACGAACCGAGATACAGAGGAAATGCGAAGCAGAATTTCTCGAAATCTACTTTGATTCGTATGTAAATTCGTTTTTATCGCAAGTAAACTAAAAGAGAACTTCGAGAGCAACAGAACTTTGGATCCAAACGAAACCGCGCACGCGATAAAAATGGAAGATTGAAAACCGCTTTTCTTTTTGTTTCGCGCTTTAGAACCGGAATTAACGAGACTTCGTTTTCTTTCGCGACGAAGATAAAAATAAAAAATAATAATAATACTAAACAAAAAAAAAAATAAAAAAAAAAAAACACAAAGGACTATATTGTTCGGAGTTTCGCCTGTATTCTCGCCTCAGTCTTTATGCCTACTTATACATAGATAGGTCGTAACTATATTAAAATGCGACGATTATATACAAAGTATATATATATATATATAAATATATCTATATACATTATACATAATATATTATTAAAAATGATGCGGGCGGATAGGAACTGATGTTCGAACAACGATGGTATTATAAACGAAGTGAAACGGAGGAGGGTAGATCGAAGGGAGGAGAAGCTGTTTTGTCGGAATAAAATTTGAATGATTGTTGCAGGGACGACGAGATGTTTTGATACAACGAAACGACGGCGAACCGATCATCTCGTAGAATTTTCTATTTCGGTTATTTTAAACGTTGCTCGGAATCCACGGAATCAGACGCGTAGAAACCCATTTTTTACCGGGTCAGATCGCTGACAACGGATCAATCGATTTATTTCGCCAGGGATCAGCTTCCTCGATATTCTACAAAACGAATCGACAGTAGCGAGAAATCGAGCAAGTGGCGCGAAACTTAAAACGGTCCGTGATCCAAGATGGCGGAGGTCTATGGAAGCTCGTGTTTCGTGTCCTCTAAAAAGAAAACAATCTGCTCGTTATTGACAAAATTGAACGAAAAAACGAGAAAAAAAAATCGCTTGCTCGATTTACTGCCAAATCGTGTTACGATTTTAGCAACCCTCCGCCCCCCCTTTTACGCGAACCAACACGATCGGTTTTGGTAACGGATGTACACCAGCCTCGATCCTGATAGCAAAAGGGTGCATACGGACACGGCAAGCGGCTGGAAATTTCAGGAAACCGACTTCTTCTTTCGCGAGACTATGTAATTTTGTTCTTTTACACCCCCCCCCCCTCCACGCGCTCGACGCGCACACTCCGGGAGCGATACGATGACGATGATAATAAAAGAAAAAACAGAAAAAAAAAAAATGAAACACTATGCATTTATAAAAACGAGCAAGCAAGCAAGAAATCCAACGGGATAATATTCGAAACCACCACGGCGAGCGTAAACGTAAGCATTACGTGACACTACGGTAACTTTTGCGCATCCCCTTCTCGTCCAAAAAAAAGTTGCGTTTTTACTCTCCGATTGCATCGTAGAGGAGGATCATTTATTACAATAATTGCAGATTATTATGACTATTATATATATATATTATATATATAAATATATATATTATATATTAGAAATTGAAATACTCGTAATAAAGAACACGCCGACGCTTCCTGTGACCCTGGACTATTTTCATTCGCTCCAACTATTAACTATTTTTCCTTCCTCGATTACCATTCGATCAACTAACCGGACACTAACTGGGCACTAACATGCATAAACGCGTACGATCTCATCGTTGTTTAAACATTATAATAAATTTATTGTCCGTACACACGGATTTCGGTGAGAACAAAGATATATACATTGCCGTACAGTGCTCAACTAGCAGCTTGTAAGTATCACCAATAATCGAGTACCAAAAGGAATTTACAATTCTTATAAAACAATTATACGTTAATAAATAGGTCCATCGTCCAAATTATCGTCTTCGTCGTCGTAACCTTCTCCGTTATCGAAGTAATTATTCACGTAATCCGTGCCTTCGTCCATTTCCTCATCGAGTTCCTCCTCTTCGTCCTCGATATGCTCATCCTCCTTCTCCTCCGTCTCTTCTTCCTCCTTGCCTTCCTCTTCCGCGTCGCTCTGCTGAGTACTTTCCTTCTTTTCTAATTCCTGAAGCTTCGATTCTACGTTGACGTTCTTCCGTTTCTTCTCAGGCTTCTTCACCGTCGTTCCTTTACGCTTTCGTGGCAGAGGCTTCAACTCCGCGGGCAGTCTACTCCAATCGTACCTGGATTCGTAACTGGTTTTGTCGGTTATTAAATCTTGGTACAGATCCGAATACCGATCTATATCTTTTTTAATCACAAGGTGCAGAACATTGTTGGGGGACTCTCGCATGTACTCCGCATATTCTCTCTTCAGTTCTAACAAGTAACTCATTTCGTTCGTAATAGTTGAAGATAACGGTTTGTACTCTAAAATTGGATATTTCGGCGGGGGTTGTAAAGTAGGCGGTGGCAATGCTTCTCCCTTGGCAAATCCCAGCTGCTCCGCGCTGAATGACATGCCACCGGGCTTCCCCCTTCCTCTACCGCGTGCCGCCATAGTGCTTATACACTTTCTCTTCCAAAAATATCAAAAAGTATATGTTACACGTTCAACATTTCCAGCGCATGTACACTAAATTTTAAACATAACCTAACTCACCTCAAGCCTTCTGAGCCACTAGTTCTTTCTCTTCGCTTCTTACAAGCTCTTCCTGTTTAGCTGCAAACGCTTCCTTCTCGTAAATAACTTTAATCACTAACGAACAAGAAGGACATGTGGCCTCATCTTCTCCAGCAGCCAACTCGGATTTAGATATTTGAAACTGATCGCCGCAAGGACACGGATAATAATATATCTCCTCGTCCTCGTCGTACTCGAAATCTTCAATTTCTACTTCATCGTGATACACGGACATAGTTTCAAACGTACATAAATGATAAACACGCGTGGTTTGAGGTTAAGAGGTTAAATGTAATAGGTTAGCAACGCATGATCAACAAACTCGGTGACCATAACAACGTCAATGCGCAGAATATAGATGGCAAACAACATAAAGTAGATTAACCAGTATTTAAAAAATGTTAATAAAGCCTGGAAATCAAATTAAACAAATAAAAACACAATTCTATAACAAATTACGTTGGCTGATATATCCATTAATGTATCAAAAATTCTCGAAGAATTATAAATTTAATTTTTCCTGATATAAAAAGATACTTATCTACAAGTTCTTCCGCGCTAATGAAAAATAATATATGTACATGAAATTAATTACTTATCAATCAGGATTATAAATAATACAATATACAATATACAGTTCACAAAATGATTGCTTTCTGCCACGTTAATTTCATACCTTTATTCCACTCTAATATCATTTTTAAGTCATAAGAATGATTTAAATATAATAGGCAATGTAATAGGACGAAAAGGAAGAACCAATTGAATAGTCTGAAAGTTTTTATGAGAATAAAATAAAAACTGAATGATAAATATAAATGAAATTTCATAAAATAATCTCTATTCCGTTTAAAATCGAATTGTAAATGATTTATTGTATTATATATGACGATGTTCGCTTTACGGAACCTCAGTTGTTTACTATCAGGTGATTTTGACATTCTTATCTAGTTTCAGATTAAATGAAATCATCTGTTACAACATCGTTCACATCACACGCCTGGTCTGACACGAGAGTTTATACTTCCATAGAACTCATGCACTGGAGTGATTACTGGCATAGACGGCTGTGATACAGCCCTTTAATAACTTTTCCATTTAACCCACGAAACAGAAACATCAATGCATTTTTCTTGATAAATAAGAACGTAAAGGTGGGTCGTCGTTATTACGCGACGGGTTTAAATAAACGAACACTTCGAGCACGGACGCCAGCTCTGAAAATTCCATGAAATTGTTTACAAAACGTCACGTCAGGACGCTACGTTTACATTTTTGTGTACAAAATATTTTGACACAGTGCACGCACCATTGTCCTTTAAATATTTCCGAATATCATTTTCTTTTTCTATGTATAAACTGATTACGAAGGGATTCTACAAATCGTTCCAAGTGGAAAAAATTCTAGCGATTTATCGTTTTTTGTACAGTTACCCGAGGCTTCTGTTTTTTCAATCTTTGTTTCACGCTGCATTTTTCAGTGAATTATTAACTTAATTTTGTATCGTTCAAACATTGTTGTTCCCTCTTGGTATACCGTGTCCCTGTTACGACTGAATAAAAGTGGAGGTTATGAGGTTATGAAAGATTAACACACGTCGTGTGTATATGCATGTAATATTTCATACGTTAAACGAGCTTTTGTAAATAAAATGTCTAATTAAAAATATATTTCCACGTAATGAAACCTGAATCTTTGTGACACAGATGTCGAGCAAAGAGTATGACAGCGAAATGGATTACTCCGATTCAGACTGCGGAGATCCAGGCTACGAAGACTATTATAATGTTCAGCCATGGGGCGGCGAAGTCGACAATGACATAGATCCTGATCAAAACAGAAGAGATCCAGAATACGCTGTATATGATTGTTTGAGAGTAGAGGAAGTGGAAAGACTTTTGAACGAAAATGTAGAAGTGTTAAGTAATAGTCTTCACATAACGCCGTCGTTAGCCAAAGTTTTATTACATGTGCACAATTGGGCATTACAAGATATCATCACAAAATACCGTACCAATGCTTCCAGTTTATTAATTAATTCAAAAGTAAAGCCAATGCCTCCATTGGAGTCAGTGCCAGGGTTAAAAGGTCAAAGAAGCGGAGTGTGTTCAGTTTGCATTACAATTTATCCGGTCGATAAGTTTTCTACGCTAGTAACATGTGGGCACTCATTTTGTAAAGACTGTTGGTGCATGCATTTTGAAGTACAAATAACTCAAGGTATTTCTACAGGTAAGACCATTCGTGCGTAGACAGGGTATCCAATACCTTTCCTGTTAATGTTTCAATTGCGTTCTATCGAATGAAATATTGTTGAACGCTCTGTACAAAGGGAGACCTGATGTATTAACAAGATATTTTAAATTGGACTTGTAACAGGAATAAGCTGCATGGCACAGGAATGCGACGTATTAGTTCCAGAAGATTTTGTTTTGTCCTTACTCACTAAACCTAATATGAGGGAAAGGTATCAACAATTTGCTTTCTGCGATTATGTGAAATCTCATCCGCAATTAAGATTCTGTCCTGGCCCCAATTGCCAAATAGTTATGCGTTCTAAAGAACAACGGGCAAAACGAGTTATATGTACAACCTGTAAAACTATATTTTGGTAAATATTAAAAATTTAGTAAAGCGTATAGGACTTTACTATGTTTTAATTAAAAATTGTGAAACTCTAGCTTCCGATGCGGTATGGATTACCATGCACCCACTGATTGCAATACAATTAGAAAGTGGCTAACTAAATGTGCGGATGATTCAGAGACAGCTAATTATATCAGTGCTCACACCAAAGACGTCAGTAACTTAAATACTGTACATTTTTAACACGTATATTACGATCTGTTATTAAACGAATTATTATTCGCAGTGTCCAAAATGTCACATTTGCATAGAAAAAAACGGTGGTTGCAATCATATGCAATGTTATAATTGCAAGCACGATTTTTGTTGGATGTGCCTTGGAGATTGGAAAGCACATGGAACTGAATATTACGAATGTTCACGTTATAAGGAAAATCCCAACATTGCTCATGAAAGTGTTCACGCACAAGCACGAGAAGCTCTCAAGAAGTATCTCCATTACTACGAAAGGGTAATTTGTTTCATTCAAAATTCATTCCATCGTAATATGAATGTACGTTGAATGCAACTTGGTCAAAACTTGATTTTCAGTGGGAGAACCATAGTAAATCATTAAAGTTAGAAGAACAGACTTTGGAGGGCATAAAAATGCGAATAAATAAAAAAGTAATGAACGCTAGCGGAACGTGGATCGACTGGCAGCATTTGTACGAAGCTGCGTCACTTTTAGCACGCTGTCGTTATACTTTACAGTACACTTATCCTTACGCTTATTACATGGAACCCGGACCGCGCAAAGAATTGGTAAAACTTTACTCGAATAACAAAGTACTGTCGATACAAGTAGAAATGACGAGTCGCTTTTATTTTTAAGTTTGAATATCAACAAGCTCAGTTGGAAGCTGAAATAGAGAATCTCTCTTGGAAAATAGAACGAGCAGAGACAACAGACCGTGGAGATTTAGAGAATCAAATGGACATTGCCGAAAAGCGTCGCGTTATTTTGCTAAAGGACTTCCTCGAGGTGTAAGCACTAACAGAACATGAATCGTGTTCTACAATCACTACAATCTCTCTTACAGTCGGGCCAAACTTATAAAACGACTATAGTTTAATTTTTGAAACGACTACCCGTATATTCCAAGAAGTAATATTTTCTATATAGTACGTGTTAGTTAATTATTCGCCATTAAGAAATGCTCGGGGCAGTACAGAGAACCATTTTGGTTGACAAAGTATTAGAGGATAGAAAAAGGGAAACCGGGAAATATTCAACGAGCGATTATCGAGAACAAAAATCTCCTAGACACGCTAATAAACTTTAGCTGAAAAAAAAATAATGTTCTCCCTAGTTAAATCCTTTCTTTTTCTTTAAATTAATAGTATTTAATAGGAATTTTTTGTATTTCTGTTATGGGTGATATTTGCAGAGAGAAGAACGGAAATTCCAATGTTCTAAAATAAGATTCGGTAAGCTGAGTTATGTAATCATACATAATGAAGAATTCCATAGGTGTGCGAAGAGAAGTGAGCACCGAAAAAAAAAAAAAAAAAGAAAAGAAGAAGAGTAGGAAAGTATTAATTGTATCGACTGATTGTTAAAATTTTCTATAGAGTGTACATTAATTTCCTAGTCTAAGAGTATTTCCAGAAATATCGTACGACGCAGCGCTTTCTTCGAAATTGAATATTTAGGAATTATTTTTATTGATGCTTACCCGCACACACCAACCAGAAGACGCAATAACAATGTGAATTACGTAAATACATCAATAGTACGTATTGTCAAACAAATATCAATGCGAGGCATTGTTGTTCGATGGACTCTACAACATTTTCTTTCAAGTATTACTACTATTTAAGATACGTTTTAGTACCAACCGTCTTAAAAAAGAAAGCAGGTAGCCTAACAAATAATTAGGTGCCAATGAATGGTACCTCGCCGTGTAAATACTATGGTAATGTAAAAGAACGTGACGTTTTCTATAATTAGAATGTAAGGTGTATGCAACGATCAAAGACATCTGTGACGAACATAGCCGTAATCGAACATACATTCTTTGTAAACTATTTAAACATGAAACGCTAGAATAGAGATGATATTCTGCGAAGAAGACCATTTGTCGAAGGATCCTGTTACAAGTAATGGCCATTGTGCAAAAATGAATGTAACAACTACTGTGTCACTAAGAGAAATAAAACTTTATCGCAACAATCGTATTTTTTCAAAGATAATGCTATCGCGATGCGACCACAAACTTTAGGAAACAAAAAGAGCTGTATAATTTTGAAATATTACCTCGACAAGAACAGTCTATTTTTCATTTTCGAGATAAACGCCTATTTTGTATACTTTTGTTTATTAATTAGAAACGAATATCAATGTACTTTACTTTACTGATATTGCATAGAATTTTTTACCTTGGAACGATTTGTAAAATGATATTAATTAAAATGGACCATTGTATGCATCCATTGAGTCATTAAAATTTTTGAAATCATGGTACAAGTAAAGAATTGCCGATAAATTACTTTGAACTGTTCAAAAACTCACCGATCGTTGTTTTTTATCCGGTTGAACAAATTGTATGGTCTCCGATGTCGTAGTAGATATGTTGCAAATTGAAATCGAAGCAGCTATCTTTTCCATCTCCGTTTCTTGCAACCCCGCGATTGATCGTTCATATTTCAGTTTGTATTCGTTCACTATGCACTGCATTATACGATTTTAACAATAAGAATCAAAAAACTTATAAATTAATCATATAAATTATTGATAAATTACCTGCAGCGAGCCTCGACATTCGAACATTCGAACTTTCGAATTCCAATATGGCGTAACGACTTTTTTCCGTGCGCCATGACTTGTAGACCCCGCGCCAAATTCCAAGGCACGCCTGAAAAAAATTACTATTTTGTTCTTTTTAGCTAAATGAACAAAACTTTGCATTAATTTCTGCTAAAAATTTCGAATAAGAAAAATGCGATGTATAAAAATCATGTCTAGGCAACAACATTGAATTTCGATTCGTAATAATTTAATTACGAGTACTATTGTCAAGAATATTTTTTAAAATATTAACCATTAATTGCCCCTTTCGGTAAATATCAACATTAATGTACAGACGTACTTATTCTTTTATTAAAAATTCAGTGAAATAATAATGATGTAATGTAATATTTGAAATAAAATGTAGTACCTTGAACAGATTGTTCTTCTCGGAGTACTATCCTCAACAACATCGATTTATTGGCTCGATCGTTTGTAGAATGCGGTCTAAACGATTGGCAATTAGTTAGAATATACTAAATACATTATTATTATTAGAGGAATAGTTTTAAATGTAAGAAACTTTACCTTCCAAGATGCAGCGTAAAAGTACGTGACTTTTCGCTTGGCAAATGTACATCCGGTTCCACTACGTGAATCAAACTGTTTATTCCTTGTATGCTTTTTTTAACGTTGAATTATTTATGTAAAAGATTAACGAAAAAGAGAATTTGTTAAAATCGTGGAAATTTTCAATGCGTTTATTAAACAAAAATATACTTCTATAATCTTGTTATTAACATAAAGTTGCTCAAAAAATTGATCATTCGTTTGGGTTGGTAGTACAAATTGGCGGGAGAATAAAAAGGCAATACATATTTATAACAAAAATATTTAAAAGAAATTAAAATAATATTAAATATTTATTTACGTCTACCTAAAAATGTATTTATTAATAGGTAACAAAAAGTAATTTTTTAGTTTCTTAGCAATTACATATCGAGAAACATTTCGCGGGAATTTCACTTGACTAGCGTGGTCATGTAAACCTAATCCAGACCCGCGAAATTTGAAAAGTTCATTATGCGTATACTCAATTGTACGACTGTAAAATAATTCTATTTCAACATTTTCCAGTTAGATATAAACAAATACTCGATGTTGTTTAAATTTTTTTATTAATCGTCCACTGAACTATACGAATAAATATATATATGTTTTTATCGAGTCTTCAGCCAATTTTTACTATCAACATAAGCGTATGCTTAATTTCGCGAGTAACTGTATAATATTGTTAATAATTTACCATTTATTTTGTTGCAAAAGATATGTAAAAATCTAACTGCGAATTTGTTCTTCGTCATAGATGAAAATCATATTTTTAATACTATTGTAATTCGTGTGTTGTACAAGATCAAGAAGAGATTTTTGCGTAGTTTGATCGATGAAATTTCCGCGACAATTTTGGTTTTAAGGGTCCGTTTTTGCTTTTAAAATCTCGCCGAGGCTTGTGGCGCGAGATCGTTGCACGTTTACGTTTTTAAAATTTCAAAATGGCGCGTACGATCGATTGTTACGGTTAGCAAGCAGCCCATCGGGTAGACTCCGTGGAATTGCGATGCATATATCGCGAAAATATCGAGGTGTCGACGAAACGACGAGAAGAGCACTGCTCCCCTCCGTGATCTGTTAGAGAAAAGTGTATTATTGTCAGTGGTTGACAAATGAAGTGTTCTGTCGGCACAGAGAAACCATTACGATTAGGGTAATCACGCTGCCCCGTATGACAGACAGGCTGTCATATTCCGCCAGAGTCTACCTTTATTCCCGAAATCTTCGAAGACATTAGTGCAACAATGGCGATGGGCAAAGGGTTTCGCGTCTACGATAAGCTAAAACCACCTAGTCCTCATTCCGTCATACTAGAACAACGAAATCGAAAGGAAACTGTTCTGTTCGAGTCGCAAGCCGTCGCTGTACTCTGTAAGTGTTCCGTAATTGTTAATAACAATTTATCCCCAAATACCATAGAATCCTTGATCCTTCCTTTAACATACACAAACCGGTACCTGTCAAATACGTATCGTCAATTGTTTATGTCAATTGTTAATATAATTCTACAATAATTTCTGTGTTACCGCCCCTTATTTTGTTCTAAATCTTACTTTGTAGCTGCGGAAGAGACAGAATCTCTAAAGGGGAAATATACAAAGTTATTAGATGCGTATGGTTGCTTAGGTGTTTTACAATTAAATGCTGGAGAGAATACGCTGTTGTACCTTGTTCTTGTTACCGGATGCTTCTCAGTCGGCAAGATAGGAGAATCAGAAGTGTTCAGAATTACGCAAACACATTTTGTTCCTCTCTATTATACGCAAGGCAACGGGGATCGAGTATCCGAAGTTAGAAAGGTTCTTAACTCGGGTACATTTTATTTCTCTTGGTCCGCCGGACATCAAGAGCTTCTCGATATCACTCTAAGTGCGCAGAGAAGATACAAGTCCACGACTACGGACAATAGATTTTTCTGGAATCGAATGTTACACATCCATTTATTGAGATATGGAGTGGACACAAGTTGTTGGTTACTTAAAGCTATGTGCGGTAGCGTAGAAATTCGAACCGTATACGTCGGCCACAGACAAGCTCGGGCTCTCCTTATATCCAGATTAAGCTGCGAACGTGCAGGCACCAGGTTCAATGTCAGAGGAACCAACGACGACGGCCATGTAGCAAATTTCGTAGAAACAGAGCAAGTGATATATTTAGATAACGAAGTAACTTCTTACGTTCAAACAAGAGGCTCGGTTCCTTTATTCTGGGAGCAACCTGGCATTCAAGTAGGCTCTCACAAAGTAAAAATATCCCGCGGTTTCGAAGCTGCTGGGCCAGCTTTCGATAGACATTTAAACATGATAAAACAAAGATATGGACAGCAAGTAATTGTTAATCTCCTCGGCTCCAGTGTCATGGGTAACAAAGAAGGTGAAGCAATGCTGAGTCATTTATTTCAAACTCATCACAATAGATCTGAACATACGGATGTGCCCCATATCCTATTCGATTACCACCAAGAATGCAGAGGTGGAAATATGAAAAATCTTTCGAAATTGAAAGCAAAAGTAGACAAATATTTAGAATCCTTTTCATTGTTTTACGCCGCTAACAATAGCGTTATTTTTGAACAAACCGGAACTATTAGAACAAATTGTCTCGATTGCTTAGATAGAACGAATTGCGTACAAACGTTCTTTGCGTTGGAAATACTTGGTAAACAGCTTGGGTTGTTAAAACTGCTCGAGAAACAACAGATGGTATCAAGGTTCGAAGAAGTGTTTAGGCAAATGTGGATCAACAATGGTAACGAAGTAAGTAAAATATATGCTGGTACAGGAGCGATTCAGGGAAGTTCGAAATTAATGGATGGCGCGCGATCTGCAGCTAGAACGATACAAAATAATTTATTAGACTCCAGTAAACAAGAAGCTATCGATATCTTGTTATTGGGATCAACTTTGAACACGGAACTAGCAGACAGAGCACGATTACTCTTGCCTTCTAATATGCTACACGCTCCTCCAAGCGTACTAAGAGAAATGTGTAAAAGATATAACGAGTATGTTACACCGATGAATCTTAGAGTAAGTGTCGGTACTTATAATGTAAATGGTGGGAAACATTTTCGAAACAAAGATATCACCCTTTCTGACTGGTTATTAGATGCTCCGCTCAAATCACCATGTGAGTATAATCTAAACATTATTTCAATGTCATTTAAAATCATTATTTACTATATCATGTTTTTCGTTATAGCTCTAGTATCGGTTGAATATGACAATGTTCCTGTAGATATATTTGCGATAGGATTTGAAGAGATTGTTGATTTAAATGCTAGTAATATAATGGCTGCTAGTACCGATAACGCGAAAGCCTGGGCAGAGGAACTGCAGAAAGTACTTTCCCGAGATACTGAATACGTTTTGATCACGTACCAACAATTAGTCGGTGTCTGCCTTTATTTATTTATACGACCTGCGCATGCTCCTTACTTAAGAGACGTAGCTGTAGATTGTGTAAAAACTGGATTAGGCGGTGCAACGGGTAACAAAGGAGCCGCAGCTATCAGATGTGTGTTGTATTCTACATCATTTTGTTTCGTTTGCGCGCACTTTGCTGCTGGACAGTCCCAAGTTAACGAGCGTAATGCAGATTACGCTGAAATCACGCGGAAAATTACTTTTCCTATGGGAAGAACATTGAACACTCACGATTATGTGTTCTGGTGTGGGGATTTTAACTATAGAGTCGATATGGACAAAGAAGAAATGAAAGAAATGATCAAAAGGAACGAACTTGATCAGATATTACAAAATGATCAATTAAAAGTAAGTATTATAACATATAATGTATATGTTAGAAAATTGCCTCATTGGATTTTTTTATTTAGGTTCAACAGGATCAAGGAAATGTTTTCAAGAATTTCTTGGAAGGTCCTATCACGTTCGCGCCAACATATAAATACGATATTTTTTCTGACGAGTACGACACTAGCGAGAAATGTCGTCAACCTGCGTGGACAGACAGAGTGTTGTGGAAACGCAGAAAACAAGTACCTGATATCGGTTAGTGTCATGCCAATAATTGTATTTCCTTTTTACTAAACGCATCTATTAAATGTGTCGTTGTTTTAGATTCACCGGCAGATTGGAATCCAGGAAAATTAATTCATTACGGTAGAGTAGAATTGAAACAAAGCGATCACAGACCCGTGATCGCGATTGTTGATATAGACATTCATTGCGTCGAACCTGAGAAACGGGAACACGTATTTAGAGAAGTTATTCAAGATTTAGGACCGCCGGATGGCACTATAGTAGTAAAAGCGGTGGAGGAGTTCGACGACATAGATAGCGTGTTCGATCAAAATTTCATGATGGCTCTGTTGCAAGATTTTTCTCACATCGGCGAGGTGATACTCGTCAGATTTGTCGGAGAGACGATTTGGGTGACGTTCAGAGACGGACAGTGTGCTCTGTCGGCGGCTAGGAAAGGCATGACTCAGGTCTGCGGTCAGACTCTGAAGTTGTCCTTGAAGTCACCAAACTGGGTGCAACTTATTGAAAAGGAAATAGAGCTTTGCAGCAACACCACTGTCGCGCAATTCACTTCAAGTTCCCCAGTGAGGAGCCCTATGCAAAGGTTAGAGCAATTGGAGATAACGGAACGGTCTTCTCCGAGCAGAGGGAGCCCAAACGGAGTTGTGCCGCCACCTAGACCAGCTCCTCCGGGTCGACCGTCTCAGCCACCTAAGAGCCCGATGCAAGAACGAAAACAAGGACCGCGCGCTGGCGTATTTAGTGTATTACCCAATCAATTCCCAGCGCCATTGTCCAGAGAAAGGGTGGAATCTGAACAGAGTGAAAGACTGTCGCCGGAGTCTGCAATTTACGAGGAGATAATGGATGGATCTCCTAGTTATCCCATACCAAACCGTCCACCACCGCCATTACCTCGTACAGATACCTCGCAAGAGTCATCCAGTAGACCACCTAACTCCAAACCACCTCCTCTGCCGCAAAGACAAGCCCCGCCTCCACCTCAACACCCTCCGCCTAGTTTACCCGCGTCAAACGTTCCGCCACCCATACCGGCAAGAACATCAGGCGGGCCACCTATCCCAGCTAGAAATCCACATTAAATAATGGTACATTCCAATGTAAGTCGAATCATTAAGCGTCATTGTGTAGCTAATTATTTATGAATGTTGATAGAAATTATAAGTGAAATAGATCGCTTCCAAGTAATGTTGTACAGCTGTGTAGCTTACCATAAACCTCAAGTCTATTCTGTGATTAGTCAGACTCTGTTTCCGTGCACTCTTGAGAATTTATGCTTCCTGTCGCGCACTTTCATATATTATTATTAGGTCGTCTCGCAAGCTCCTGCCGTTTAAAATAATATTTAAATATCATAAAAGAATTTAATCGCTCTCGTTCCACGACTTTTCCCCCATTTCTGCCCATTAAACTGTTTGTATCGAAATAGGTGGCAATCCCCGATGGGGTAATGACCGGAAAGTATGGCGGATGTGGTAATATTTTTTTTTTTTTGGCACACTGCGTCACGTAAAATCTTGCCATGTCATGCTGAAATGAAAAATCACATTGTCCCGATTCGAGAGCCTCGAACAATTTTTCGCTACTTGTTTTTGTAAAGGTCGTTGCCACACGGTGAAGACGATGATTAATTTTTGGTTAAAACACACGTAAATCCTTTCACGGCCAGAACTTTGGTGACGACTTAATACTTTACATGTAATCGAGTTCGTTATATACCTCAAAGATTTGATCATATACATAAATAGAACAAATATGCAATTTAGTAAGTGCATGTAGTTGAAAGGCTTCTTAATAATCGTTGAGACTAATGAAACAATAATTATGTTAACGAATTCTATGCTGTTAAAAAATGTCATACGAAAAATTTATAATAGCAAAATGTTAAGAAGTAAATATTATTGTTGTATATCCTACAATCTGATCGAATAAGTCACGAAACAGTTATATTCCCCACAGTAGGATTAACTTATTTATGATCAACGTGAAAAAGTGTTTATTAACTGTGTCTGTTCCTTGTTCCTTACCATATTTTTCTAAAAATAAAAGGCAAAATCGATGGTTAACATAATTTTCGGGAATTAAAGAAAAATGTGACTTAAGTTTACTACTGGTTATAATAATAAGGAAAAATAATACTCAGATAACAGTATTCTTATAAAATACTTTCCATATATGTATTGTATGTATAAAATATATACAATCGTTGACCAATTAATGTTCTTTTTAAGTTAATAGTAATACAGTAAATAGTAGCAAATATAAGAGATTGTTATGATAGCATAAAAACAATCAATAAACTTCCAATTGAAAACACTGTTAGAAAGAACAAAAGCAATACTATATTTATTTTGTAGCTTCATGTATTGTATTATTGTACATATACATATAAAAAAAATCAATACAAGATAGAAGAGTAAAAACGAGATTCTACATTTACACAACGAAGAAAGCATTCTTAATTACTTTGCAAGATTCGGAATAATAAGTACGTGTAACGCGCGTGTTATTCTTTATGGGATATTTCTCTTCTGGAAGGAAACATAATTTTGCAAAAAAAAAGATTATATTACAAGATATGCAAGATGTTCGATTTTACGAGAACAGTGGAAATACATGATCTTAAGAATATTTGTAATTGAATTGTGTATTAAATTCAAAACAGAATGTAAATAGAGATGGCTTTAGTAAAAAAATGTCTTGTAATTGATGCATGTTTTCCAAATGTACACCGGAATGATAGTAGTCGTCTTATTGCTATTTTCGAAACTTCAACTTAACTAGGAATTTCATAACGAAATAGTTTTACATACATTTCACAATAACACGAAGCATAGGAATGTAAAAAAATATTGACTCTTATAAAAATGTTTTGTTTATTTATCTCAGCGGTATAATGAGACTGATCTCTAAATCTGTAACTAATTCTATCATTGTCATTTTGTTTGGCAGGGTAGAGCAATAATGACAGCCCTTTAAACATTATCTAATAATACATATAAAAAGGTTTTACAAAAATGTTTTATCAAATTTAATCTGTGTATATGTATATACACTGTGAACACGGCGGACCGTGTCTGTTATTAAAGTATGAACATTTGCAAGAGAAACGAATGGCTTCGAGCACGAGCATGGAAATTATTTCCATTCAACAAAGACATAGTCCTTTTAGCAAATAAATTATATACAAAAAGGTATCACTAAATTAATAGCTAACTAGTTTCTGGTTAATATACTAAATACAATCAGCAGAAACCAAGTATCCTTGCGTTTGCAAATAGTATCCGCTTTCATTTTAAAAGAATACTAAATATAAATTTTCCGATTCTTGGATTGTTTTTATCGTTTCAATTTAATATCAATTACTGTTCGAAACGGACCAATAAGTTAACAGCTAGCCTATAGCAGTAAAATGTCATGAAGTTTTACGTAGAAGAAAATATTTAATTAAGAAGTATAGGGACCTAGTAAATTATTGCGTAACGCTAAACAAAAATATTGTGAACATCTATAGGATGTCAAAGTGAAAACATTACGCGATTCCCGCGTACATGTTAATAGACACAGGACATTTATGTTTCTAACAATTATTGTTCAGTCTCACGTGTATCCTTTGTGCTTTCACATAGGTTCAGAAACCCGAGATATCTATCCTTTCAGATCCGATAGAACCGTTTAACTTAATAACCCGCAATTGCTCAAGTTATTTTTGATAATGACATCGGTTACAGCATCGAATACGAACTGTATATTAGACGTGTCCGTGGCGCACGTGAAATGCGTGTAAATTTGTTTCTGATCTTTCCTTTTATTCAAGTTCTCGAATTTCATTTGAATGTAGGAAGCGCATTCCTCGTACGTGTTCGCACCTTTATATTCTGGGAAACAAATAGTCAACGGGCTCCTCGTGATCTTCTCCTCGAAGAGATCTTTTTTGTTTAAGAATAAAATGATCGATGTTTCGACAAACCATTTACTATTGCAGATAGAATCGAACAGTTTCATCGACTCTATCATTCTGTTCATTTCTTCGTCCTCCGCTAGAACCAGGTCGTAACCGCTCAATGCGACGCAAAATATAATAGCGGTAACACCTTCGAAGCAGTGTATCCATTTTTTTCTCTCCGATCGTTGACCGCCGACGTCAAACATTCTGACAAAACAGACAAATAAATCCTTAGAAAATTCGGTACGGCGTAAAGTTTGCGGGCAGATTATTCCGATCACTTACTTAAAATGTAAACCTTTAAAAGAAAAGTGCGTTTCTACTATTCCTGTCGTTTTAACGCGCGTTCTGAGAACATCTTGTTGCGTAGGGATGTAATTAAGTTGCGCTATACGATCTAAAGCGTTAAGATAGTATGCCGCAGAGTCATTCAGTTGATATTCTCTACTACGCGTGAAACAAAGTTGTACTCCTGCATCCTGCCATAATCGTTTCATTAATAGCACCAGTTCCCCGGTTAGCTCACCCTCCTCTGCTGCAGAAGCTAGGGTAAAGAATTGGCGCGCTATGTCCTACAACATAATTAGATCTTGCTAACACCAATGAAATGTGCATTGTAAATATAATAAAATAAAAGGATTATAAAACATATATCGTTTTATTTTAAACTGTAATATATTTACCGCTTTATTGGGGTCTGCAAAATCGATTCTAAGCTGTCCCATAGCTCTAATTATTGTCATTAAACTTTGAATCGTGTTACTATATACCACAGGTTTATACTGTTCGCATTCCTCTTTGCTATAACCAGTTTCGTGTATTATTTTCATTTGTTTCACTATTGTAGATTTCCCGGACTCTCCCGCTCCTTGAAATAAAAAATATGAAAAAAAACCGCTATAACGTGCAATGATTTTCTATTTTTTTCCCCCCGAGTGAGAAAATCGTAGAAAATCGCGGAACGCAGGTGCGATCATATACGAGGAAATCCAACGCATTATCGAAATGAATCACGCAAAGGACGGGATGATTCAAGATTTCGGAAAATCACCCGCGCTGCGTTTCCGCGATTGCGCAAAACCGATAATTGATCAAATTACGGGGGGGGCGACTGGTGCGAGTAGAAGAAAAGGACGGGAATTTGAAAATCGTCGAAAATGTTCCGCGAGAGGATCGAGGGGAAAAAAGATACGTTTCTACTTGGCGATCGAGTCCGCCCAGCGCGACGAAATCGGATCACCGAGTAACCGAGACTTTGCATTTGACGCGGTGACAGCGGGTACGCCGATTTTACGGAATGAAATCGTAACGTTGGCGACGAGAAGACACGAAGAAATTACCGAGCAGGAGGAGTTTGACCTCGCTGGCTGCCCGCTCGCCATCGGCTCTGAGATCCTTGTCGATCTTCTTGGACCTCTCCGCGGCTTCTTTCTCGCCGGTGGTGCTTACGGCGCAGCCCATCCTCGCCGGTGGTCCTTTCTCTGTCCGGGTAATGGAAAATGGAGCACCATGCACGGGTTCTCTATCACGTTACCTCGAAACAGACGGTTTTGTTCGGTCGCGCTCCCGTGTAATGACACTTGTTGCACGGACGTGTGGGAACCGCCCGCACGCGGTTGCCCTCGCATACACGCACCGATCGGACACGCACCCGCGCACACTGGCACGCAGTTTCTTCTGTCGACGCGCGTTATTATCGTGCGATACGTGCATACGCGCGATCTATTTCGCGAGAGATCGTTCCCCGCTTTCCCGTCAAAGACGATGACAATGGCACGAAACTGCTGCACACCACACGAGCCTCGACATACGTGCCGGCGACGACTTTTACGTATAATACCATAACTCCGTACGGCGCTCGGATCCGGTCAGGATTCGCAGAAATCTCTCGATCGCGATCCACGGGCCAATCCGTGCGACGATCGCCAATCGTTTCCACCCAATAGAGGCCACCCCTCTGTACTGCCCTAATTCGGCCTTGCAGCGCCATCTGGCGCGCGTGCCGCGAACTCGACGATCGGTTTTCGAACTGGAGGACTCGCCTCTTGAGGCTCGTTTTTCTCCGTGACTGTGTATCATTCTGGGCCAGTGGACCCAATTCGGTGGTTTCCATGTAGGAGTTCCGGTTCACGAGGGGCCCTGTTTGAATTCTGGACGGTAAAATGCACCGTACGTACTAACGATTGGGTTTTTTAACCACCTCGAGAGTCGACGAAACCCATGACGCCTTCTATGATCAAAAGACTCAAAATCTTTTGATGTTTCCAACGTCTGAAACGTTTTGAATATAATCGGATGATCGATAGGAAAAGTGGTAAGATTATTCCAAGGAATGCAGCTGTTGTGGCCACATAAATGATACATTGTATCTCATGTATAATTTCATCGAATATACATAAAAATAAAACGATCAACAGATTAGTTTTTGTAGTTTTCATTTTATTTCAGGTCTCATTGAAAACCCCATTGCTTGTAGGAAAGTCCGTAGACAACAACACGATACATGTTGTTAAGAATTATTTATTGTCTTTTTTAAAAAAGATACCGCGTGACTATTGATGAACAATCTACGTTACGAACTTGATTATTCAAAACCGAAAGATCCGAATTTAGTAAATAGCCGTTACTCGTTTGTATATAAACAAACGTAGTCGAGGGCTCGTGATCGCAGTTCAGGATCAATCGAATCAATAGGTTTCTCGCTGGCGGATGAATCGGTACCCCGGAATGGGATCCTTAACGATTCTCGTGTTGCAATTTTTGTTCGGTTGCGTTGGCGTAAACGTTTTATCACTGGCTTCGATAGACGATCACTTGGACGAGAGATTGAGGCAAACGAAAATCGAGATAGCCAAGCTCCACTTTCGAGAGGAACCACCAGGTAAACAAAGCAAGTTTGCCAGTAAAGGACGAAGCATAAATCGAGGTTCTAATCGACAATTTACAATTCCAGTTCAAAGAAAACTGTACAACGTGCAATGGAACCAACTGTGGGAAAAAGACTTTGGTGAACAAAGACCGTTCGTGGTGAACGCGTTTAACAAGGCTCTCGTCGTCCATGGGGATCGCGTCGTAGCGTTTCCCATCGACGCAGAATCGAACCAGACCGCGTTTCAAGAAGTCCCTTTAACGCGAACCGATGGCCCCATTAAGTTCGTCAGGGTGAGCAAAACGGATGAAATTACTAATTTCTATAATTTATTAATTAATTAACCGTGTTGCAGAGCATTGTCTGGAAGACCATGATGTATCTGCTGGTTTGCTACGAGACTGGGTCGTGCAGTCTCTACACGTGCACGGTTGATTTTCAGTTGAGGCACCGGCAAACCATGCGACACAGGGGATACCCCATGGACGCCATCTTCTTCGTCCGCGTCAACCGACTCTATCTCGTGGTGGCTGATAATTCCGGCCGATTTACCATGCCATCTTTGTAAATAACTCGATGGAACTTATTATTATTATTATTATTCATTTATTAACGGGATTAAACCCTTTGGTACAAAGAACTACAGATGACAAAATAAATTAAGTTAGGTCTGGGTTAGGTCTGGGTTATGTCTGGGTTATGTCTGGGTTAGATCTGGGTTATGTCTATCCTATCCTTACAATATGTATTGTATGTTTATCCTTGCAATATGTTCTATAATTCTAGACTTATGTAACGAGCTAGCGTAGTAGATACTGTACACCGTTTAATTGTCCGTTTAGGATCTATCATTGGAGAGGTACATACATGGACGTGGTGACGGAGGTGATGACCACGGCTGCCGTGTCGGTGACCGCGTTCAAGCACAAACAGTCGACCATCATAGTGTTCGCTCAGAACGATAAAAGCCTCCCTGGCATCGGCTCGATGGTGTACGAGTTCAAGGAGACCAGCCCAGACAGAATACAGTTCCTGTCGACCTACGACCCGGTGTTCGTCCACCATTACAACCACGCTGGCAACAGTTTCATCTTTTTGTCGAACGAATACGGTCCTAGCAGCTTGTTTTGGTGGGATGGTCCGGTTCTCTCTTCCATCGTCTCTTTCCTCGCTGCTGATTTGGACTAAATTTGCTTTTCTTTACAGGGCTAGAGTTGCTGAGATGGCAGCAAATACCTGAAATCGAGGCGCCCAGTTTGATCTCCGTGATCAACGCAAACGACGACACGTTCTTCGTCGTGGGCCGCCATGTAAGCGTGAATCTTCATTACCTCTTCTCTCGTAATCAAGTAACTGACGTGTTAAAGCGTTAATCTCGTCGTAGGACACTCTGCAACTGTACAAGTTCGAGAACGCATCGGATTGCACCCTATTGAGCTCCACCAAAGTGCTAAACACCGAGACCGTGGTCGACGTACAGGCCGAAATTGGGAGATCTAAGATGGTGCTGGTCACCAGGAACCTGGACAACGTTTACAGCGTCAGATTATGGGATTTGCAGATCAAGGAGCTTCCTTCCGGTTGAGTATCCTGTCTGAAGCCTCTGCTAGGTCTCTAAATTCATCTTGCCTCTCTTCTAACGCAATTTCGCTTTATAGAACACTCGACCGTGGAGACGGATGTCCTGGTGAGACACTTGTCGAAGCTCGTCGAAGCGTTGCAACGAAGAAGACCGTTCGTGGAGGAGGCTGAGTCCTCGTGGCCGGCTCTGCTCCCAGCAAACGAAGATTTAACGTTGTCGGAGCCCCTGGTGCTGCCAGGTTTGGTACTGGAATCGGGAACCTTGGGGAACATCGACGTCTTCGTGGCGGAAGACGTAATTCCTCCGCAGGAGCTTGAACGAAACTTGGACGCTTTGATTCGCGATGTTGACGACATTTTCGAGACGTCGAAGAACCTTCTAACGTCGGATAATGTAAATTCCTTGGTCGGAGATATCGTCGTCCAGGGCGATGCATCTGTCCAAAGGCTAGAAATCGACAAGATGGACGTGAATTTTCTTAACAACGTTGACATTCGACCAAAGGATGATTGGAACCAGAGCTCAGATCATTTGACCATTTGGCCTCTGCGCGGGGAAAATATCACCGTGCATAATCTCGAAATCGACTCTCTTTGCGGAATCCCGTTTCAATGTGAGTCAAACATACCCTAATAAAACTGTACAAAAATCTTTGTAAATCTGTGCTTCAGATTGGGCGACCAGTAACGATACATCAAAAATGGAAATAAACCTGGATGCAACTAAGATCGAATTTTCGAACGACACTATACTTCTACATTCAAACGTTTCGTTAACAAAACTGACCACCAAAACATTAAATGGCGTAGATGTCAACAAATTCCTCGGCGAGCTGTTTCTTTTGAATAAAAATCAGACAATTCAAGGTAGATTCTACGTAAAATTATCCTTGACTTATTTCATTTGAAATGCAATTTTTCAGGGAATATTACGTACAACGGTGCATTAGAAATCTACAATCTTACCACGCAAACTTTGAATGGAAAACCATGGGAGAGCTATATGAACACGAAAACTGAGCAGAACTTCGACAACTTCTCCATAAACTCTCTTCGTGTGGATAACTTGCACGCTGATTCGATCCATGGGGTTCTGGTGTCAGAGGCTGCTCGAGTATCCCGTGAAAATACCATAAAAGGTACTCGATACAGCAAATTTATTTTCCAGAGCTATCTGAACGCATTGTTTTTCAGGAAAAGTGAATATTGCAAGCTTGCATGTAACGGAGAAGCTCTCAGGGGAGTCTGGTCACATACTTCCGGAAACCAGAACAGTCGTTTACTCCAACGTCACCGTTCTAGGCGATTTGAACGTTAAAGTTCTCAATTTGGACAGAAACTCGAAGATACTTCTGAACGGCGACGAAATACATCTTCACGACATCGTTGAGAACTTCTGGACGAAATCGACCGATCAGATATTCGATAACGATGTTACGTTTGAGAGTAACTTGATCATCGATCGGCTGCAAACGAGATACTTGAACGGATTTTCTGAAGATGAATTCCTGTACACGACCGGGACGGTAATTCCAGAAAATTTCGTGAACTTGCACTTCGAGAACGTTCTCATCGACAACGCGTTTTTCACGGAAGGAAAGAACGACAGTCTCTTCGACGTCTCTCCTGGATCATTAACGATCCACGAAAGATTGCACTTGAAGCATCTACGTGGAAACGAATTGCACGTGGACGTCTACAACGGACTCCTCGTGTCGGATATCCTGAACGGAAGTCAGCTACCCGATTTCTCAAAGGACATGAGCTTCTCGATGGTTCGAGCTAAGCAAGTAGACGTGGATCGGTTTGATTTTCTCTCGGAAAATGGCGTGGATAGCGTCACGTTCTTGGAAAACGCAGGAGGCGCTTGGAAGGAGCAAGAGAATTTAAAAAATATCACAGTGTTTCGCGTGGAGAATCTTGAGGTCGAGAGGATCAACGATATCGAGATGAAGAAGCTAGCTTCGCTGAGGGATATGAGGGACTTGAAGAACCTGGTGATAAACGGTGACCTGACGGTGAAGGGTGACTTGAGAATCGAGAGGATCGACGACAGACCAACGGAGATTTATCTGAAGAACATGGCTAAAGGGGACATCGTGATCGACACTGAAGAGACCATCGAGGAACTGATCGTCCAGGACGCGAGGATCAGGTCTCTGCAGGGCCACGATGTGGACAGCTTCTTCGAAGGTGTTCTGTCCAAATCGAGGGAGCAAATTATTTCTGGGAAGTTCTCCTTTTACAAAGTTACCAGTAACAATGTTTTAACCAAGTTCATCGACGATGAAGATACTTCAAAATTGAAGTGGATCGACGAGCCTCTGTTCCTCACAGGGAACGTTACGTTCGACGATCTGCTCGTGGACGACGTCCTAACGAACACTTTAAATGGCCACGCGGTCGAGGAAGTATGGTTCAAATTACACAGAGTATCCTTACAGTCTCTAATTATTTCCATTTCAGTTGTACGAGAGCTTGCTGGAGGTACCAGTGACGAAGATCAAGGATTTAAAAGTGGATGGAAGTATCTCTTGGACCATAGATTCCTCGCATCCTGGCTCGTTTACGTCCCTGCTCGAAAACGCGGTGAGCAAGATCAAGGATCAAGTCATCCACGGCGACACCATCTTTGAAAATGGCGTGTGGATGTCGACGGTAGCTGGACAATGGGAAGAATTCGACGAAATACACAGCATCGTAGCTGACGCGGTCATCGACGATGGAAGCGTCTTGGAAGTGTTTGGGGAGAAGATCTTCAAGGAGAACCTATCCATAGATACTTTATCCGTAACCAATAATATAGAAATTCCTGTGATCAATAACGTAGATGTCCTGGAGTTCAACAGTTCCGTGGTCAGGAAGGATCAGGATGAAACGGTAACCGGGCCTGTAACCTTCCTCGAAGAAGTCGCGATCAACGAAATGATAGCTGACGACGACGTTCACGGTCTACCCTTGAAGAACTTTGCTTTGGCGAGCGATATGCTACCACCCAGGGTGTCCTTTAGAAATCTGATGGTGTTGGGAGACGTGTACCTGAAAAATCTGGACGGCATAGACTTCGACAGGTTCATGAAAGATCGTGTGACCATCGACGGGGACCACGACGTGTTCGACAACGTGCAATTCAACGGGATCGTTGAGATAACAGGTCTTGGGCTTATTTTATGCTTTCATCTTGCCTGGTTGCTAATATTGTTCGTTGGTTTTTAGGACACGCGAACGTGACAAGAATCAATGGAATAGATCCTTCAGATTTGGTCCTCGACGGGACGGAAGAAACGCAACTCGTGTACGGCGCGAAGGTCTTCGAAGAAAGTGTCGTGGTGGCTGGTAACATCAACGCACCTTTGCTCAATGGAGTAAACGTATCCTCTGAGTATTCGAACGGTGTGCAGAGCGACGAAGACGTGGAGATTGTCGGAGACCTGGTGAGATCGTTGACTAGTTTCTTTTTCCAAAACACATCAACGTTTTCATCGGTTTCAGATCTTCGAGTCGGAAGTCGACGTCCCGGAGAACGTGTCAGTTTCTGGACTGGTGAACGGAATGAACCTTGACAACGTTCTCGACGACCTGAAAACAGTGGAGAACGAAACCCTACGAGCGTTCAAGAGTAACGAAACAGAAATGGAGAACACCGTCGTGCAGTCCTTGCTGATCTCTGAGACGTTGAGGAATGTTTTCTTTGGCCTAGAGGCGGAAGAGACGCTGAAGATTCAAGTACCCAACATCAAAACCGTGGATGTCGTGTATTATGAGAAGACAACGAAGCTGAACATGCACGGGGAAGAACCGGGACCTGCTTGTGGACTACCCCGCCATTGTTTCTGCCCGACAGAGTACGTGGCTGAATTGACGGAGAATGATTGTCGCGTGAGGAGAACAAACGGGTTCACAACAGCGAGGAACTATCACGAATTGGACAATACATTTGGCATAAACGTAATCACGAACACCGTCTCGTATAGTCCCCAATGTACCTTAAACGGAAGCGCGAACGAGTTCACGACGGTCTCCTGGGTGAATTCCGAAACGTCGAAAATAAAAGAAGCTAATTACAAGATCAGAGGATTCGTGAAGGATGCGGCCTTCGTGGCACACGACAATGGAGCTTTCGTGATACTGGCAATATATTACGATGCATCGCAGGCGACCCACCGTACAGATTCTCTGATCTATAACATCGATTTAAAAACTAATATTTTATCGTTGCATCAAAAACTTCCCACCGACGGTGTCTGGGACATTGAAGTCTTTCAAACAAACCATCACGATATATATTTACTTTTAGGTTGCTTCGAAAATTCTGAGAAATCTTTCTTGTACAGGTTGGACGTAACCACGTCCAAGGTGAGCGAATTTAACTGTCTCGCGTCGCAAATATATTTACGATAATAACGATAAACTTTTTAGTTCGTGATGCTGAGAACATTCGGGGGTAAAACGCGATACGCGAAGAGTCTGGTACAAGAAGAGGATCGCTTCGTTTTGCTGGACGACTTCGATACAAACGCAGTAAACATTTTCCACTATGATCCAGAGTTCGATAACTTTCACAATTACCAAAGTCTCTTTCACGATTCGAGAGTGAATGGAATCGAATGTTTCTACGCGGACGGTAAGATAGATGCGTTGCAATAGTAAAATGATATTCAACTGTTTTTCCGTCGTACGTTTTAGAGTTTGGCAAAAGCGATTCTTTTCTCGCTGTGGCGACAGAGAACGACCAGTTTTACATATACGAATACATGTTCGCCCAGGTAGGTTTCGTACACCTTTCGAATATTAAATGTGTATTTTGCTTTGATTCCATTCCCGATTTTAGAAGTTCCAAATACGTGTACGTCACCGGATGGATGATCTACGAACGATGAAACCGTTCTATTATTCCGGAAATCGTTATATCTTTATGGGTACGAGCAGAAATAGCACAATACTGCGAATCGTGCAGCAAGGGCCGCGTTAAAATTTTTATGATACTATATTTATATTATATTTATTTATAAAACGAAATTCGTTGAAATTTTTTTGTTTGTAACTTAATATATGTACAATATACAAATTCTAAACAATTTCGTTACCCTAATGAGATAACTCGGTCAAGCAATTTGGACAATTACATTTATAGCGGACAAAAGGGTGAGAAAATTAAAGGCGGTGAGGTGTTTATTCGACTACCTTCAACAGAACACCTCCTATCTATTAAACCTAAACACCCGTCGCCCAATTGCGACGATCGCCCCAATGATCGCTTAAAGAAGCAGGTTTGGTATCGGTTGAATTGCGCCAGCGCAATTCTGGCAGGACGACTGGACTTTAATTCGTTCATTTTGTGTAAAGTAGATCGAAGGAGTGAACAGATGGCATAATAAAATAACCGCGAACAATTACGAGTTATTGAATCCCTCGATAGCAAACAGCACCCAGGACAGATATTTAACCAAAGTCAAACGAACCACTGAGATCTGGCTTTTCACGAAGTGGAAACCATCGAAATACATCGAAGTAACTCGTTGTTGCTGTGCTACGCTACACTGAGTTTTAAGGTACATCGAAACACGAACGTGTTTTTATCTCGTAAAGCGTTGGAAATAGTAGGGAGTTGATGGCCGAAGTTGTGATTGTCAGTGCATCGTTCTGTCGAATTGGACACCTTTTTTTTCTGTCCTTTTGCTAGTCACGAATAACATTCGTAATTGTTAATATAATTTAACGTATTCAATACAATCGAGGTAGACGAAATATACTTATTAACGTGAAACTATCAATGTATAACTAATGAAATCTGATCGCTTATTACTTCATCCGGCATGTTTTATTGGTTATGTTAACGCACGATGAATTAGCATAATAAATATTTGATCATTCGTTAGCAAGATATCGGCAATGTTGTTTCGAACGACGTTGTTTAAACAGTAGTTATTCATTTACTTCAACCAAACCGCTTGGTCGTCAAAAATATTGTTTGCACTCAAGAGACTACTTTGAGGTTATGACACGTATCGGAAAATGTTTTATTCCGAAGTTTTCTATGTTCTATATCAACGTTATGGTTCAGAACTAAATATAAAGTAGTACGTAGTGTAATATTTTTGTTTTAGACCTAACGGTTCCTTCGAGGCAGTGATGGCTATCAAGGGGCTGATAGCTGCAATTGTTCAGTTTTTAACTCACCAATTAGAAGAGGGTGGTGACATTACGGAGGACTCTAGGGAGAGTCTCGAAGTGGCAATACAGTGTTTAGGGAGTGCTTATAACCTACAAGCATCCGATACTCCGGCGAATTTTAATTTATACCAAGTGTATGCATCCTTTCTGAAAACTGCAAGACCTCAAACATCTTCGGAAACTACAGCCGAAGCTATACCAGAAGCTACGCCCGAAGCAAAAGCTACGGCCGAAAGATTAAAGAACGAAGGAAACGCTCTTATGAAGGCTGGAAAGCACCACGAAGCGATTGCCAACTACACAAAGTATAGAATTTATATTTAAGCGTACGCAAATATATTTCTCTGAATCTAATTTTTGACAATGTAACGTTATTTGTTTAGAGCGATCGAATTAGATAGTCGCAATGCGGTATTTTATTGCAATCGGGCAGCAGCGTACAGCAAAATTGGCAATCACGAACAAGCGATTAAGGATTGCCAAACTACATTATCGATCGATCCCTCTTATTGTAAAGCGTACGGTCGATTGGGTTTAGCATACTCCAGTTTGGACAGGCATAAAGAAGCTAAAAAAAGCTACGAGAAAGCTTTGGAAATGGAGCCTGATAACGAAAGTTATAAAAATAATTTGCAAGTGTCAATAGAGAAATTAGCGCAGCAGGACACGACGGGGTCAGGCGCATTACCAGGTATGGACCTCAGTGCAATTTTGAACACTCCTGCTCTCGTGAACATGGCAAGTCAAATATTGTTCAATCCAGTTATGCAAAGCATAATGAATTCACTTGTGAACGATGATGCAGGGCGGGAAGTACTTCTAGAAACGTAAGTATTGTTTATAAGAGTTATTTTTTCCCCCATTATATTTAAGGTGAAACGTACTTTGTAGTACTGCCGAAACAGAGGAGATCCTTTGTGTAAAAATAAAATTGAAAATAGCTCGTTGGATCGCAAACTTGTACATTTTTAAATTATGCGATGCTCTGTATGGTGGTTCGTACAAGTACATTGTGTTTAATAAATTTTTAGCGGCCAGCGATTAACGGAACAGATTCAAAATGCTAACCCAGAAGTAGTTCAATCCTTAAGACAGCAAATGGGAGGAAATCAAAATGATCCGGAACCACCGCAACAGAACTAAGAGGAACTGTGATCGTGAATTATTATAAAGATCCTGCGAAAATGGAAAACAACTAAATTTAATTGAACCATAGAATAGTCACAGGGCAATGTTTGTCATTTTTTAATATGCTAAGGAAAAATTATGTCTCAAATTAACTTACATTACCATGGTGTTAAAGTAATATTCATACATATATAACATAGAAACTTTCCTATAACTTACTTACTGAATAAACATAACAACTTGTTTTTTTTTGAACCTGTGTTCGCAGTATTTGGTACGCAAAAGCTAGATAAATATCACAATATGATGAATATTTTGTTAACAGGATGAACGTCCGAACGCATGTTAATTGCTATAATTCTTATGTTGTACAACATATCTCTTTGAGTCTATTTTAATTATTACTGATTTGTACAGTGTAATAATATATATATCCTTACTTATTTTAGCAGTAATTGTATGTATGGATAAAACATCATATACTGAAAATCAAGAAGTTAAAGGATAAATAATTTTTTATCCTGTTCCTTCCATAATATGTGCATATTTTGTAATTTTAAATCGATCATGAAAATCAAAACTCTGGATCTTTAATAACACATGCACATAAGTAAAAAAAAAAAAAAACGTTCCTGGTATACAAGAAATCGATCGGTTCGTTCAATTGGAACTTTTGTGTACTTTTTTTATATGGTTTTTTCCCCGAAATATTTAAATTCACATCCTGTTGAAACAAGGACGTACAAAAATTCGAATCTCACGCTCGGCATATCCTTTTAAACCGATGGGTAGCACGCGACGCCAATTCTGCGTGCGTCATACAGTGACATCATTCTTATTTGGCACGTTACAAAGCCTGTGTGTAAACACACGGGGGACATTTTTATGTTTCGTGCTCTAATTTGTTTCCGGCGTGTGTGCGTGAATACGTATTTACAAGTAGCTGTAAAAGCCATACACCTTCGATTAGTCTTTCTTAGCTATACCATAACAAATGTCTGCTACTGAATTCCGATAAAACCATCGAGTTACTCGTAAACCATACATGCATAAAAGAACAATCTAAACGAATTTATGATACAAAAGGTATATTTTTTTTCTTCTCCGCGTCGGCTAAATTTAATTTTTCAGACGCATTTGCATTGTCCGTGCAATCCCCCTAAACGTTTGTTAACTATACTGATCGATAGAGGAAAATATACATTATATTTATCGCGTCCAGTATACATACGATATATGTATATGGTTCAACGTGTTTGTCTCTCAAAAAAGATAACGTTTATTTTATCAAAGACGTAACGGTCATAAAAAAAGTATTCGTCTTTTTTTTTTCTTTTTTAATCGTACAAACGATGCATGGAAAGTTTCGTTCGTTCGTGATCGTACGATCAGTATCGTGACTTTTACGTGTTATGTACCAGGGGCGCTGATCAACGAAACCGCGATGCAGGCATTATTTACATATTTTCCAACCCTTTCCGTCATCCACCCACAAATACATCCGAGAAACATGATGCGTGCGCAAAGTCCCTCCACAGGTTCGGGACGTGCGCGGGTGGCGCATGATTCGCCGGTTTCGGAGTTCCGCCCAGGAGCGTACCGTTAACCGGTGCACGAACAAAGTAATTTTTCATTGAATGTAAAATATGTAATCGTGTTTGTATTTACTTTAATCGTACAAACTTCGACATTATTGTCGATTCAATTTAAGTAACTGCGATACCATAACGTTTCCATCGTATTCGAAGACTTGCAACGGGAAATTGAAACTAACAGAATACATGTTGCTTCTATCTTGTTAGGATCCACGATAGATTACAACTGTCAGAAAATTGGCAATGTTCGAAGAAAACTCGACAATACGTGCGAAATCTCAAGGAGTTATTTAATGGACACTAGATTTTTCAATTTTGTACCGTGACCTTCGCACGGTTGTGTATTAACAGCGATAAATGGTATCAATTTTTTTCTTCGATATTGCTACTTCAATCCCAATAATCATATTTTATCGTAGATAAAACAATACTTTCCGATGTTCGGTTTATCTCATAAATCCTCTGCTCTTCACTGCTTATTGTGTATTATCTGATCGATAGGATAAATATCGGATCGTGAAATTTACACAAAAGATTCGAAGAACCCGGAATGAGTTCTGGGAAACGGGCGGATGGTGCTCGTAGGTATCGATACGCTCCTGAATATAGTGTTCCCCCACTACTCGATTGCCGCACACTCAACAGATTGAGGTGTGGCCATCGAGGGCAGCCATTTTCTTGACTTTCTGTCGCTTAACATTTCAGGTAAATACGCAATTATTTCTTAAGTAATACTGGTTGGAGTGGTGCGAGGGTGTGCTGTGCTGTGTGCCCGGGTGTTCTAAGCGTGCCGCGTGATCGGTTTGTTAACGCCGCGACCAAGAACACTGTGTGTGTCAAGGAGGGAAAAAAAAAAAAAAAAACCTCTCCTCCTCCCATGATAGAGAGAGGGCCGAGGGAGTGCCATGCGTTACGAATCCACGGCATCTTCGAACGACGACTGTTTAGTTTAGCATAGAAGAAGCCACGCGCTGTCCACTCGCGGCTGAATTCGATCGCTGATTTGGAAATGCTCGTATGAGCCTTCCGATACGACGACCTGGGTTTTAGTTCAGTAAGTAAATCGTCTCCCAGGCTCTAGACCCCTGCGTCGCTATCCTGTCGCACCCCCAGCGCCCCCATCCTCCCCTCTGGGACCCCGTCTTCCCTCACCCCCTCACCCCTCTTACCCCGTTACGCGGCAATGCACTTCCGGCTGTGCAAAATTCGGCAAAAAGCTCTCCGGTTCTCTCCTTTGGAAACTTGAGTAAAGATCTGTGTTACGGGTCCGTCGTGACATTCCTCCGTACTATCGTCCTCGCCGTCGTCGTCGTCGTCGTCGTCGTTTTCCATCCCGTCAACTACGTCTCGGATCTACGATAAACAAAAGGTCGGTACGTTCTTTGACACGGTAGGAGTCGCATTTCTGTCCATTCCGACCAGTATTCCGTGTACACTCTGTTGCTCCTGCTTTCGTTTCTTCGCCTCTCGAGATGATTTCATCGGAATTTCCGTTCCGCTGTAACAGAAATGCCAATCAAACGTCGATTCTCCATGAACGATCGACCTTTGTATATTTAGAACAGATTCACGAGTTATACACTGTTTACAAAAAGTTTATGCGCTCAGGCGAACAAAAGTTTAAGGAACTTATCTGTGGCAAAACAGTTCTTGCGATTATCATCTATGCGGAGTCTAATGTTTGTACAAGTTGCCGTAACATTAATAATACGTAACCCTTCTTACTTAATCGACACGTACGGTCTTCTGTTCGTTTGCATTGCTTTTGCGTACTAGGCGTTATTCGTTGCTAAGATCCTTGCTTTCCAATGCGAAATATTACTAAGCGCTTCTTTTAATTTCCATTACACGGAACAATAATCTGAATAACTTGTAAGGAACGAGTCATTTGTGCTTATGTCTATCGGAAATTTTATGAGCTAGAAGTAATTACTGTGTTTCCTTAGTTATTAACAACTATAATTTATGTAAAATACGTGTAACAAATAGCCGAGAGTATGAAAAGTGCATTATAATCGAAGCATTAAGACACGAAAATCCTGTGCCAAAGAAGCTGCAATGCCAACTTATAACATTTTATATTTTTGTGGATATAGACATATTTCGTTATAAGTGTGATTGTTTGTTGATAAGTATCCGATAATTATGAAACTTTATAAAGCATCTTATTTCTGTACAATGTGAATGTACTTGCCTACTGCATTTAATTTATGCTTCCCAAAAATAATGTTTAATGGGTTTTACACACTTCTTACTAGTGCATGTTTAATACAAGGAAATATTGATCTTATATGTTCATGCATGTTCTTTGGAGACATTGTTATTTTGCTCTAAGGCATAAGGTATAGTCTTACACGAGCGTCTCGACACGTAACTATAAAGATTTCACTTAGTACGCGACTCGATCGTTGTTCTAGGGATCAAAGTTTAAAGATTAAATTTTGATCCGATATGAAAAAAGTAAGATCTGGTATTACTTAAATAACAGTGAAAATGCATAGTCTTTTATCTAGGATTATTGGTACAAAGGCCCTACCTTATGCGAATAAAAATTGTGTCAACTTTGATATAAATGTGTACACAAGGTCATTGATTATGACAACATTAAACTCACATTATATTTAGTCTTCGAGAGATTTGCAAAGCCTTGTAGTATACACATTTTCACATATCGGAAGGAAAGAGTTAAGAATCAAAATTCAAAGGCATCATACATCGAATCATCATAGATTGTATTTAATACTTTTACAGATGTTTAAGTACGTAGCTATGACAAAAACAAGATATATGCATATATATTTACATTTATGATAACTGCGTGGTACATACAATTATCTCGCAGCCTCCTATCCGTTCTAACATATAAAATGTCCACTTAAAACAGAGAAGCTGAAAGAACTAAAAACATGGGATGCAATGCGGGCCGATGCCTCGGTCCAGACGATACGGGGTACCCTGGATCAGGTACGACCCAGTCACTATCCTTTAAATCTTCAGCCCTCGTAGGTCGCTTTCTAAATAGTACTAAAGTAGATATCAGACATAGAAAGAAGGAAATATATTACCTACAATACCCACTATATCAGTAGCTGGCAGTAATCGAATTAGACACAACTTTTAGTAATGTAAATTTAAGTAAAAGAGGGCTTTAGGGAGTGTATGTTATTATACACACGTGTAATGCTAATTCCAATATAGTATAATACTTTATTAAAAAATGAGTGACTACAGTACTTTTAGGGAAAAGAAATTTTTATACCCTACGAGGTTTGAATCCGAGTCGTTGTTTATAGCATTGTCAGAAAGCAAATCTAATGTGAACAATTTCAAAAGATTACCCTGACTTCTTCCTAACTCTATCCTGAAGAATGCTTTTTCTCAGTCTCTTTCATTGTTTCTTTTGTATCTCTTACGCTCTCGGATCTATCTATTTAAAATTGCTTTTAACTTGTTTCTGCCTCATCAGGGTGCAGGAGAAGTAACTTCCTTTTAACGGTGACATTAATTCCATTTTTTCAGCACTTCTTGTGTTTCCTATTAAGTTGTGATTACCTTATGTGTACTATGTGCTCACTTGCTGCATGCTCTTAGTTGAAATAATTTTTGGTGGTGTTTCCCAGACGATATTACTTTTGTTGATTTAGATTCATTATCATTAGAATTTCAATAGTTTTTAAGATACTCGTCACATCTGTACTATGTAAAAGTGCAGCATAGAAATTTTTAATACATAGAATATCATTTTCCTCGTTAGTATTTGCAATCTAAAAACTTATGCATATAGACACATATGTATATGTATATGCGTATATAGGATAAAAGCATTAGAAATTATAAATGCACATTTTTTCCTATTTTACACGTATATAAGAAAGTTAGGTGTACACTCTGTACATACTGGTCATTTTTGGCAAAAAGTATATAGTATGAGAAGTACTTCATTGAAATTGAATAAGTGGAATATACTGTGACTACATACGTTGTAAAGAATTTATAATATTATTCGTACATAGGTAAGTTATTAGGACAATACTATAAAAATTTATATATATTCTACGTAATTGGCATAACAATTTCTAAAAATTTATAAATTGTCTAAGCAAAAAATCGTCACTAATGTGTAACATTTGTGTATTTCTTGCTTTTGTGTTAATGGATATTTTTTAAAAAGTCAGAGTTAAGTGCATAAAATTACATAATTTAATGGTAAAAAATTATACAGGAGCAGTAGTAAATGAATGTATAATTGTTATAATTTTAGAATTCATGGCAGCCATTAGGAAGAAATTGGTTATCGTGGGTGATGGTGCTTGTGGTAAAACATGCTTACTCATAGTCTTCAGCAAAGACCAGTTTCCTGAAGTGTACGTACCCACAGTATTTGAAAACTATGTCGCGGATATCGAAGTCGACGGTAAACAGGTGCGTCTTTAGAAAAATTACTTATTCTACTTGATTATTTGCCTCCTTGTTCTCAAGCGTGTATGTAAAACTTCCCCAAAAAAAACATGCTCCGTAACAGGTGGAACTGGCTCTTTGGGACACGGCTGGGCAAGAAGATTATGATAGGTTGCGTCCACTGTCGTATCCTGACACAGACGTAATCCTAATGTGTTTCTCCATCGATAGTCCCGATTCCCTGGAGAACATTCCCGAGAAGTGGACACCAGAGGTGAAGCACTTTTGCCCAAATGTGCCCATCATCCTTGTCGGAAACAAAAAAGACTTGCGCAATGATCCTAATACCATCAAGGAGCTAAGCAAGATGAAACAGGAACCGGTTAAACCAGAAGAAGGTAGAGCCATGGCCGAGAAAATCAACGCTTTTGCTTATCTTGAATGTTCTGCTAAAAGTAAGGAAGGTATTAGGGAAGTATTTGAAACGGCCACCCGCGCTGCGCTACAAGTAGGTGTTGTTTGCCATAAAGTTTCTTACGCCAAGTTTATTTCGATGGGATTCCTCTTCTAATAGTTCTCCAAATTTTTAGGTAAAAAAGAAGAAGAAGGGAAGATGTTGGCTTCTTTAAGTAAAATGCCAAGTAAGCCCGATAGCGGGCTAAATAATGGAATTGCGGAGCTAGCTGCAATGAAGCTAGTTGTTATGCAGGAGGCCCCCAGCGGAAACCATAATATAACAACAACTTATCTTTATTTTACACAATAAAACAAATCTATATATATGTATATATATATATATACACACACACACATATATGTATATATATATGTATATTAAAAAAAAAAAAAAGAAAAGCAACCACGAAACATGCCCGCAATATAAAGAACTGTCGTTGATGAAACTGGAGACTTAAAACGTTGACTAAATTCAATACAAGTATATGTGCTATATATGAGAAACCATAATGTATATTGTAATGACTACTTGATTGTATTTTTTAATGGTAAAGAATTGTGCTTCGAGTTTAAACAATTAAACAATTGTCATACCAACTATTTACATTTACGGTACATAATTATCTATATCATTGTAGTAATTGTTACTATTATTATTAGTATTTCATTACTATTGTATGCATTCTACATCTTTTTTTTTTTTTTAAACGTAGTGGCTGTTTATTTTTGGTAATAAAAAAAAAAAAAATATGTGGAAGAAACGAACGACAGAGTTGGGGGAATTCGTAACAGAGTATAAAAGGAGAACGGGGGGGAGAGTGGAAACGTAATACGCAATGCAAAGTCATAGAAAGCAATGTAAGAGTTTAAAGCAAAACGTTGAAAAAAAATTCCAAATATTGCGTCGCTATTTTATTGAACCATCGCATTATCGATATTTCTTAAACGAAAAAAAAAAAAAAAAAGTAACAAACATTATATTATAATTATAAAAAATGCGTAAGTAGACCAGCGGATCACTTTGATCTATAAGAATACCAACTAGGCTAAATGTATTATTATTATAATTATTATTAATTATTATTATTAATTATTTTTATTATTGTAATACGATGACACTAACATTACGGATTATAACAGCGGCTATATTATATTTATATATTTCGACAACAACATCCCTTGTACCCAACCATTGCAAAACAAATTATGCCCTGATTTAAGTTTTATTACGCAATAGTTTTCAAATTCATTCGATACGATTAATGTATTCGCAGAATATTTCTAGGCGACTCTTTTCATTCAGAGCGAACGAATTTCACGGGCCATTAATTTTCGATCGAAAGTAATGTTTGTTCTTCGGAATCGTTGATCAATTTACGAGTTTCAAGGTTTATCGTGTAAAGAATGATTATCGGAGCCTATTGAATCATCCTGTGCTTTCCTCCCTCGTAGTTTTTTTTTTTTTTTTTTTTTTCACCCCCCCGTTAAATTGTAGACATACTATTCTAAACTCTTGAACTTACTCGTCTTCTATTAAAACTAATCTATAAGGTAGTTGTTTCTTGCAAGAACTATTGAATTAACGGCTGCAATGCAGTCTTGGCCATTGATTCAATGAATGACTGTGGAATTGTGTTCAACAAACTTTTTTTTACAATTAGCATAACTACCGTTGAATTACGCTTTTAACCGGAACTCCAGCGACCAGAAATTTTGTTTGCTAACGATTAACGAGATGGTTGATTAACTCTTTGGGGCACAAAGTTTAGCGGGAAATTTTTTATAATCCTCGAATAAGAGATGCTATTCGCATTTTGGAAATTGATTGTCAAAGGGTTAATGAACAAACGACTAGCAAGAACAGTCCTGAGATTCGAAAACTTTCATCGTTTGAATTCGACGTTCGTCGCAGAGTTTACCAAGTGTTCTTTTATAATAATTTCTGAAGGAATATACTGTTAATTGCGACTGTATGGGGTAATCCTTTATGGACCGTGTCTCTAACGCTGCAATAAATGCAATTTCAGACTAATCCGTTAACAAAATTTGTACAAACTCTACTGCAATTTTTATAACAAAATGATGACCTTACTATCACCTTGGTTGTCATAAAAAAAAATATTTTAATGGGAGATACTAGAGGTCAAAATAAGACGAAAATCAAGAATACCAATTTGTTGATTTTCGTCTGATTTTGGCCACTAGAATCCCCCATTAAAATTTTTCCAAATTGGTCCATATGGGATTATAGATTGTATATAAATTTTCATCGTTCTTGGAATAGACGAAATAATGCCTCGACGAATTTCTTGTATGATTTTTTCTTTCTAGCATTTTGTCTCTTGTAAAGAGAGCAATAAAAAATAGTTTTCTCCTTTTCTTGTAATAATTGTCGCGAGCAATATATGTAGCGTTGTACCGTGTCGTTTTGATTTGGGGCGTAAAAAGTACTGTACGCAAGAGAAAAAAAGGAAAGGAAATGTCTTCTGTTCTCCGCAGTCCTATAAAAATTATCTAATCTTACGACGACGTTGTAATTAGTCGTGCAGCTAACTAATATAAGAAGTTACGTGAGCGAGAACTTTATAGTAATTCGTACATAGTATTCCTTCAGTGATACAGAAGTGAAAATTATTTTTTATGATTGTCAGGGAAATGAATTCAAGTGAGGTTTTTCAGTTTTAACAAAAAATCAGTCTATTAATTAATTAGCTTTTATATGTAAGAAGGTATTTAATCCACGATTGCTATAATAATAAATTGTAATTAACAATAAAACTTATCAATATTTGTAAATTGCTACTATCGGGATGATTCACTGTGCGCAAAAATTTCAAATAATAAGAACTCGGATGGTAGATAGACCAACATTCATCAAATCATTCGCTTAACACAATAATCTTTTTTTTTTTATTTCTCATATTATCAGTCAATACGAATTCAAATGGAATCTGCGATCGTGCAAAACATATTCCAGGCATACTGAAAATTTTTATTTACAAATTTTATTGAACAAAATTTCCTTAGTTCCTAAATGTTGCATATACCGGGAAGTTTCAAAAAGTATAATTACTTTTCAACGATGAATATTGTTAGTTGCAATCCATACAATTTTTATTTTTTCGTATAAAGAAATATTTAAATGTAGTAACTTCAACGTAGCATAGCGAAATGCGAAAAATGGAATGGAAAATCGTTTCTTAGACGTAGCTCATCGAACTGGAAAACATTGCCACGATAATTCTAAATCAGTTCTGCATAGTTTTACGCGATACCATAATGTTACCTAATATATGTAGAGAATCCTATGCTAATTACATTTCACTTCGCATTCAAATACTTTGTAAAATAAGTGCAGCACGTGTTATCGAAAAGTTCTTTCCCTTTTTCACTCAGACCCGTCTCTGGAACTAGAAAAATGATTAGATCTTACGTTTAATTAATCGTATCCCACTCTTGTCACACTTCGCAAAGTCCCACAAGGAAAATTTCATTCCACGTTTTGCTGACGAGACGTTATATAAAAAATGTAATATAAACATATCACTTATATTTTTACGAAAAGAAATTTATAATTCGTCGCTCTTCGGCTTCGCGGGTTTGCCTTTACGATCGAATCCTTTAAGCTCGTTAGTTGCGTGCTTGGCAATGTATTTAATAAAGTCATCGAGCTGTCGACCACCCTCGTACTTAACAGGCTTGTCCTTTGAATCTTTAGGTGCCCAGAACAGTGTTGGGAATCCTTTCACTTCGTATGGTGCTGGAACATCGTTAGCAGTCGCATCGAACTTAACGATCTCCACATCCTCGTTAGCAAGCTTGTCACCTAGCTCGTCGAAGACAGGTGATAATTTTTTGCAGTGACCGCACCATGGTGCATAAAATTCGACCAGCGTGTCTTTGTCGTTATTTGTGACGACCTCGTCGAAGTTTTGAGCCACCGCGATTTTAACATTTCCGGCGTTATCCTCGGGGATTGGCTCCGACTTCATATACGGTTCCAAAACATCCTCTTCCAGATCCTTCAGGAATGCTTCGAACGCGTCGATCGTGAATTCACCTTTCATGACAAATTTCTGATTATTAGCATTCTTTGCTAGAATAACTGGCTTGTCGCCCGAGACGAAATCGAGCCCGAAATCGTTCAATTCGTGTTGGAAGTCGTCTTTGGAAGAGATCGCGAAATTGAAGTTAGGGAAGTCTTTGGCGACCTTGATGATCCGGTTGCGCCAGTAATTTGTGCCTTTTGGATTTTTTACGTAATCCACGGCATAGTAAGCGACGATCAGTGGATTTTTGAAATCTCCAGAATTTTCTCGCGTACGAACACCAGCGATGCCAAAGCTAAAAAAAAAAATTACAATTACAATAAATATTTATCAAAAATCTACCGTATTCTTGAAACATACTAATTTTTGTCAATGAATTCCTGCACGTCGCCGGCCGAATTTCCATCCTCGAGTTTCACAGAGTCGGATTCAAATTTGTTTTGCAATATTTTTGGCCGGTACAGTACGATAGCATTCCTGGAATTAAAATATAGTAACGTTCATGTTCGATTCGCACTTTGCGGGATACTTTTAACAAACAAATTATTTACTTATGCCCTTCTTTCTCCAAAAGTGCTTCTGCGGATGTGTGAGCAAATCTGATCTTTTCTTTTAATTTTTTAGCGACTGTCTGGAAGGATGTTGCCAAAGGAGAATCATCCTTTTCGAAGAAACCTACGACACCCACTTCGTCGGAGTCCAAGAACGATTTCAAACAGCTGTCAGAGGTCAGTTCTTTGGACGCTGGACCGACTTGCACCTGGAACATCGAAAATACAGGTACAAACGATGTTTATACAATTTCTATGTTACAACATATCGCGCATACTTTCATGTATTTAGCAATGCCCGCTGCTTCTCTAGGCCCGTTGTAATCGCTAACAACGTCGCCTTTGAAGAAGATTTTCAATGTCGGATAGCCGTTTACAGAATATTTATTACAAGTTTCTTTTCCGCTTTCTGTACAGTCCACCTTGGCGAGAGTGATCGGCTGATCGCTGCCTAAGAGCAGTTTAGCAGCTTTCTCATATTCTGGCTTCAATCGCTTGCAATGACCGCACCTGAAAGCAACAGAAAATTGCTAGTTACTGGAATTAAGAAAGAACAGCAATTAACCCAAGGTTTTTTTATTTAAAAAAAAAGGTCAGACGTGTCGCGAGCCGGCACATATCGTTATCGAAACCGGAACTTTAAACATAATTTCGTTTCCTCCCTTATCTCAGTAATCGTACTATTAATGAAACGGTAATAGAGAGAGGAATATATGGAGGATTTTGGATATCTATAATCACCATATGAAAGTTTCTTACCATGGTGCGTAAAACATAACAAGCGTGTACTCCTGACGCTCTAATGTGCCGCTGAAGTTTTCGTCGGTGAGCTCTTGTACATCTTTGTCCTCCGCTAAGACGGTGACGAAAACCAGGAACAAAAGGCTAAGATATTTAGGCACCATTTTGGATCACGGTGCACGTTTGCTAAATCGAATACGACCCGCACTCTTTCTTCAAAAGACAGTGTCCGTCTAAGAGGTGGGCTTTTGCAAGACGTTAGCCAGCAGTACACGATACCCCGCGCAGTGCTGTCGTCTTCCGATTGGCTGCTCTTTCTCTGTGCATACATGTATGCGTGTTCCTGTGGCCACGTACACACAAAGGGTGTTCCTAAATTGTTTGACGAAACTTTCGCAGCCCGTGCATGGACGTCGTCTTATCCGCTACGTTCATTCGCTGTCGAAACCTGATGAAAAATTCACGACATCGAGGATCGTGCATCGGGGACCAGCATCATGACCGGGAGAAATCTTTCGAAGGAATCGGAAGGTAAACATTTTAGGAACACCCTATGTAAATGCATATAAAAGACGACAAAATTCTACGCCGAGACGACCACCAACGAAAAGGTACAGTTTCTTGTCGGTGTTTCGACTCGGTGGGAGAAATGGCAAAAGAGTTTTTAACGGTATTTATAAAAAAAACAATTTCCCTCGCTACTTTATCCTCCGTGCTAACCGGCCTCCGACGCCCTCTGTAGTAATTAAAACGAACCACGAACATTATTCCCGCGTTTTATCGCGTTCCCATAGAAACAGGTATGAAGAAACGTGAATTTGATCGATGGTAAATATAGCAGATCGAAATTGTTGGCTTGAAACGAAGCTTGACCTTAACATGTTCCAGGATATTCGAGTATCCTAGAAATCTTGTCAAAACGATTCCCGGTAGATCGAGGGTAAGGACACAATAATATTTAACCATTGTTATATGTCTCCATCAAGGATAGGGGTTTATTATTCGAGTGTAATCATTAAATTCTTGTCTGGTTTTATTACGTTAGTCACAAGCTAGACTTGGTCGTTACATTGTTTCAGGTTAATATTATCAGTTGTTAGGCAACGAATGTATATTTGATTGTTTTCGATTAATTGTGTTTGTTCTGAATCTAATTTTCGTGGCATATGTTAATTATATGTACACGAGAACGATCGTCGAGCGATTTAATGCGAAATAGCTCGCGCGTTTGTGATCTTGTTCTATGATTGCCAGAAGCGCCATCTATAGACGTAATAATTATTGATCGAACTAACATCCTGTGTACGAAACTCGGGGAATTCCGGCGTGCGTATGTCTTGAACGAGTTGTGGCTGTAATGGAACGCGAAATGAATTATAATGTAGTCGTGAGTTTGCAGAAATAGGGAAAAAGTGTAATGTAACCCGTAACAAACAAGATTCGATTTTAGTCGCGACGACGCGACGCTGTGCCATCGTTTACAACGGACTGCAAGAACGAACATCTGATATCGTTGTCGGTCGAACAACTTTACGAAGATATTCCTTAATATTATGGTGAGTAAAATTAAGAATACTATAAATACGTAAATTAGAATTAATTCAAAATGTTATAATAATCGATCATTTTATTAGAAACGATGGAATCGAGTAAGCTAGATGCAAATTTGAATCGTGCCTTAGACCTCGATACCGCCAAAATTTTTCAAGTTATACCTCATCAAATGTATTCCGTTTTTAGATTTTATTCGGTGACGAATCAAGTACCATGCAGTGATCTTTTTACTATCATTGGAAAGAGTAAAGTTTTAACTTTATTTTCGAAGAAAATTGCCTGCTTATACGTACGAAGATACGCAACAAGTGGATATCAGGTTTCGAGAATTTTATTAGCCTTTGAATGGGTGCGCCGTGTTAATACTTTAATACAATCGAATACGCCCATTTATTTATAACATTTGCGGCACGTGTCATCATTTTTATGACTGCTAATATTTTATGATTATTATTTTTTTTAAATTGTAACGTCCGTTAGTCTTTTTACGATACTTTTGTAACAACTATTGTTGAAACTATTCAACTAGTTGATGTTTTGGTTTTTTTTCTACGTTTATACAGCGTTCCCCTGAGAAAAATTTTAATGGAGGATTCTGTAGGCCAAAATGAGACGAAAATCAAGAATACTAATTTGTTGATGGAGGCTTTGTTAAAAAGTTATTAATGTTTAAGGTTCCGCCAATATTGAATTTTTTTCTCGAAAATGCACAGGATTTCTGGGGTATGTCTGTTCACCAAAAATGATTGTAATTGACCCCCGCAACCGAAAATAATTTCTTCAAAATGATTCAAAATTTTTTAATTTCGAAATTAATTTCTCCCACTCGAATTTTTTTCTCGAAAATGCGTAGGATTTCGAGGGTATGTCTGTTCACCAAAAATGATTGTAATTGACCCCCGCAACCGAAAATAATTTTTCCAAAACGATTTGAAATTTTTTTTTTCCCGTCGAAAAATTTGTCTTTCTCGAATTTTTTTCTAGAAAACACGTAGGATTTCGAGGGTATGTCTATTCACCAAAAACGTTTGTAATTGACCCCCGCAATCGAAAATAATTTTTCCAGAACGATTTGAAATTGTTTAATTTAATTGTTAATAACTTTTTAACGAAGCCTCAAACGAAAAATTGATATTCTTGATTTTCGTCTTATTTTGGCGTCTAGTATCTCACATTAAAATTTTTCCCAGGGTTGGCGGAACATCCCTGTATTTGAATCGTCGATCGTACTTGCTTTATTTTTATGGCCCCTTAAGTGTTCCCTTGCATGTCTCGCGCTTAAGTACGTAATCCCGTGATATCGATGTGCGTCAATAACGATCGCCGCACAGGAAATGAATTAACAATGATACCGATGGTCAAATTGATTATTCATCGAGATAGAACTCTGTAAAACGATCGTTACGTAAATATTCAAATAAGGAGAAAGATTGAGAATCCACTATTGACACTGAATTTAAAATTAGAAATGAGTACTTGCATACGCATCGTTACCCTTTTACGTTTTCCACAAAAGTGGAAGCATTGTTCAATTAAATATTTATTATTCTACTTGCACAATTCGCAATATCGATAATTTCAACTTGTCTTAACAATTTGTTCTACTTGTCTTAACAATTTCACGAAATGTCAGTAACGATTATGACAGTCCTACCAACGGGAGACCTTGCTTACCTAATAGACACATAATCAAAGAGATCAATAGTTGGATCAATACCGGGAAAACCAGTTATGCAAATGAAAATTCTATTTCTAGTATTGTCGCTTGTAACTATGCGGAATTTTCAATTGCAACCGTGATCAAATTTTAATGTGTTTTTTAAAAAAAAAAAAGTGGTATGCATGAAATCGATTATTGGCGTAAAAGTTAATAAAAAACGGCGAATGGAAATGAGGTCACGCACGGCTGTGCTGTTCGACCTCCTCGATCGAATACATTTTCATGTTCACCGGTTCGCGATAATATCAACTTAAAGGAAAAGTCGTTGACGTTGTGCAACTCGAGTAGACGCTAAAACATGCTTTCGAAATTTGTTTTTCATTATAATACTTTCCTGTTACCCGCGTATACGTGGGTCGGAAAGTATGCTCGGATAGTCGAGACTTGAAATCGTATGCCGGTTGACGCTAAGTCGGATTTTAGCTGTTCCAAGAGCGAGAAGGAAAGGCTCTAGTCTGCCTTCTCTCTCTCCCGGCCGAAGTTGGCCGAACGCGAGCCGAGCGGTCGCGTCATGCGCGAGTGTGGGTAGCGGAGGGGGTAAATCCGAGCCCGGGAACCCGATTGTTCACTACTCACTACGATCGATCTGGTCAGATACGCTCAGTCGTGGCCCGACTGTCAAAGTAATAAGTTGACCAAACGTCTTTCTTTATCTCTTAATTCTTCTAAGTTAAATTAGTTCATTTGGCCACCAGCCACGCGCTAGTATTTGCGTAATACCGATACTCAACAGCATCTGTTTTCCATTTTTCAGTTCGTTCGACAGAGCATCAATTACATTAACGCTAATTTCTCGCCGCACGCTGCAAAAGGTAAGTGATTTTCATTCTTTAAACGTTATGTCATCATGATTTGCCGTTTTATTTTCTCTTTTAGTCACTAGCCGCATCGCTTTCTATACAATTGACCCCGATTTCTCGTCTACGACAGGTTTGCAACAAACGGATCCCCGTTATCGTTTTTAAACGTACACGATATTATTTTTAACAACGATTATCGAGGATAATCAAGAACCGTCGTTACTGATTCTGATCTTGTCTGTTTCAGGAAATCAAAAAATCATGCCGTGCCCGTTCCTAACACGTCTGTCGGCGAATTACGTCCGGAATTATGGATCATCGGTGGTAATGAGTTATCGTCAATTTTGCCCAATTATGTCTATGTTCTGTAGCACTCAGGCTGAATCTGTCGAGGCGTCGCAGATCCAAGACGCCACAGAGAATCAGAGTCCATTTCTGGCTAAAGAGCATATTGCTATGAAAGCAGCTGGCCACGTGGACGAAGTGAACGTTGTTAACGTCGAACCGCCTAAATTGAAAGTAGAACCGAGCTTCCCGTACGAAGAATTCTTCGACGAGCAAATCATGAAAAAGAAGAAAGACCATTCATACAGGGTCTTTAAAAAAGTAAATCGGCTGGCCGAGAACTTCCCATCTGCGATGGAGTATACACGAGAACCGAAACCTATTACCGTATGGTGTTCCAACGATTATTTGGGGATGTCGCGTCACCCCGAAGTGACGAGTTCCGTTCGAAAAGCGTTGGATAAATATGGCGCGGGAGCTGGAGGAACGCGAAACATATCTGGTAATACAATAGGCCACGAAATGTTGGAGAAGAGACTTGCTTCTTTGCATCAGAAAGAAGCAGGTTTATTGTTCACCTCTTGCTTTGTTGCCAATGATTCCACACTGTACACGTTAGCGAAACTTCTGCCAGATTGCCATATCTTCTCCGATGCTGGTAATCATGCTTCCATGATCCAGGGTATAAGAAATAGTGGAGTACCGAAACACATATTTAGGCACAACGACGTGCAACATCTCGAAAAGCTTCTTTCTAATGTAGATAAAAGAATACCGAAAATTGTAGCATTCGAAACTGTACATTCTATGACCGGCGATACGTGCCCTTTGGAAGAGTTGTGTAATGTCGCGCATAAATACGGTGCTTTGACGTTCGTGGACGAGGTCCATGCTGTTGGTTTATACGGTTATTCGGGCGCTGGTATCGGAGAGAGAGATTGGGTACTTCACAAAATGGATATTATTTCTGGTACCCTAGGCAAAGCATTTGGTAACGTTGGTGGCTACATCGTTGGTTCCGCAAAATTAATAGATATGATCCGAAGTTACGCTGCAGGATTCATTTTTACAACTTCGTTGCCACCGACCGTATTATATGGCGCTTTGGCCGCTGTTGAAATTTTAGCCTCGGATGAAGGACGAATGTTAAGAGCTAGTCATCAGGAAAATGTAGCTTATATGAAGTCTATTTTGAATACCGCGGGTCTTCCAGTAGAACCCTCGTCCTCGCATATTATTCCTATAAAAGTAAATTAATTTATTCGTGCTATGATTTCCCACGCGTTTCCAATTACGTTCCTATTTCATTAGGGTCGTTTTTTCAGATTGGAGATCCGTTGCTATCCAGCCAAATAGCCGACTCGTTGTTAAAAGAGAAGGGCCATTATGTTCAAGCGATCAATTATCCAACGGTACCAAAAGGTGAAGAAAAATTAAGGCTGGCTCCTACTCCAAAGCATACCAAATCCATGATGGACCAATTTGTTAAAGACACTTTGGATACGTTTGATCGTTTGAAAATACCGAAAACTGAAAATAGACGTTAAGTGATAAAATAGATATTAAATGTATTTGATAAAAGATAAATGTAAACATTGTACGACACACAAATATGAACACTTTCCTGGTGAAATGTTTAAGAATAATCAAAATTGTCTATTTCAAATTATCTATTGCCGTTTAATTTACCCGGTGATTTATATTAAAATTGAAATTTTTATCAGTATCTTTTGATATAATTTCTAATTAGTAATTTAGAAAATTACTTTTATTACGATTATTCAAATTGAAAATGTACGGTTCCACTGTTGACAGGCATTGCGCATGCGCGTCATTCACGTCCAACAATGGCGTCTGTGTCTTCGGTGCTTTAAAGTACGTCTTATGCAAATACTCTTATTTAATGTTAATTTGTGCTTTTAAAATCGTGAAATGATACTTTGAACTGTATCGAAGTCATCGTTGGTGTCAACAAATGAGTGTCTCTCTTCGAACTAAACGTAACCTACCTACTTCACGGAGATGGTGATCGAGTGTTGAAACTTAAGGTTAGGATGAGAAGCATCGTTAATATTTTGAAGATGTTCGTTGCATTTTTTTATGATTATGCACGCGGATTATCTTACACAATCACCACGATTCTGGTTCTGGGTTACTGCCTACATCCAGCCAGATTCGCCTCGCATTACACATTTATAAAGACGCAAGACATCTACGATGAAATGGAAAGATCCTATCCAGCGAAGGACAACTCCTGCACGATTACAATCAATCACAGGAGATCACAGTTGCTCTATCCCGAAGAACATCCGCGTGAGGATCCTGTGGCAATGGCACGACGTTTAGGAATACTACCCGGTGGCCAGTGGAAGCCCCTCAACTGCCATCCTCTTTTCAACGTAGCCATTATATTACCATACCGAAACCGACAAACGCAACTTACCATTTTCATGAATTACATCCATCCTTTCCTGCAAGCTCAAAACCTCGATTACAGAATATTTGTGATAGAGCAAAGTCCTATGCGCGAGTTCAATCGTGCCAAGCTTTTCAATGTTGGATACACGGAGGCGACCAAAGCGAACGATTTTCATTGTTTCATCTTTCAAGACATAGATTTAATACCTCAAAATCCTGACAATATTTACGCTTGCACCAAAATGCCCAGGCATATGAGCTCGAGCGTAAATACATTCCGTTACAATCTACCTTATACCGGTTTATTCGGGGGTGCGATCGCATTAACTCGTAAACAGTTTGAAAGAGTTAACGGATTTTCCAATGTTTTCTACGGATGGGGGGGAGAAGACGACGATTTTTATAGTCGTCTTCAATCGCGAGGCTTTCAAGTAAGTTGATCGTTGTTACGCAAAAATGATCGAGTACATTTTGACGTGCATAATACATAAATTTATTTTGGATTTCAGGTCACCCGCTTCGGACCGAGTATTGCCCAATATTATATGCTAACGCATAAGAAAGAACCTCCGAGTAGCGCGAGATTCGAGAATTTAGAAACTAGTGCTAGAAGATACGAGACTGATGGTATTAGCAATTTAGAATACAGGGTTTTAAATCATCAATTAAGGCCGTTATATTCTTGGATCTTAGCAGATGTTTAGTCTTTGTTTAGTTTCCATTTCCTGTTTCTAGTCTCTGTTAATTTATAAACAAATATGGCTGTTTAACTGTTCGTCGTAATTTCAGTTAATAATAACGAAGCTCATATATAGAAGAATTAAATAACGCAACATTACGGAAAGATAAATTTTGTAGAGATTTCCTAGAAATTTATTTCCGTGAAACTGAGAAAAGGTGGCCATTGAATTTGTTACGATGATAGAACATGTTCAATGACATTCTGTGCAATACAGGGAAATATACATTTTATATTTCTCTATCGAATGGTATATGCTAGTACGTCAAAGATAATACCACGTATAATTGTTTGGGGGGTATAACTGCAGAAATATAATATCGATAAACATTGTCTCACCATAATATTGAGATTTGTTTTATGGCGCCATATAATAATCTGTTTCAAAGTAACTGAATTAAACATCAAGTTACATTCGAGTCAAAGATCTCGTACATATAAGACACGTGTCTCCTACATTCCGTTTTCGTTCGATGCAGTATTTTACAAAAGTCAGTTCTTCGAGCAAGCGCAGGTTTAATAGTACAAAACTTCTTTATACATACAAAGGATTGTAGTTTGTTCCTCTAGTGATACGCCTAAAAATCAAAGTGTTTATATAATCAAGTCAATTTTTTCCCAAACATATTTTTAACTTAGTTTAATGCTCGATATTTTTTAGCGTTATATTTATATCGACTGAAACGAAGAAATATAGTATTGTAATTACATTACTTATTGTTTTATAATTATAGTGTCACTGGTAACGTACGACACGGTAAATTATCGAATTAGAATAAACACGCGTAATATATTAACGTTTTGAATTTGTATTACTAGTCATAAATGAGCCCAGGTATTCTAGGGAGCTGATAGGTTTACAAGCGGGACAAAAGAGGGAGCGAGAGGTTTTCTATTAGTTCCAATTATCCCCACCACCGGATCATCCGCCATTGCGTTAACGGGGGCTCTAGAACGTAGACCATAACCAACGGGGCCCCGTGTACTTTGTGCTTCGAAAATTTATCAGCTTTACAATACTTTTAACGAAGTTTCAAAGCTTGTAATTGTGTGCAGTTTGTGAATAATTCAATTTCGAAATGTAGAAAGCTCAAAGTTCAAATCATCGAAACTACTTCACTATATGTAAGTACAAGCGTCTCGATACAAATGAAAATGTACGTATAAGGAGTTTGAAAGAGAAATGTGTAACGATAAAATTGTTGCAAATCGCGTTTATTATTTTATTAAGAAGATTTGAAACCTCGTAACTGTCGTTTGTTTAGATATGTGTACAATAGATAATTCGCGGTACGTGACATTTTAAGTTTCGCTTGAAAAAAGAAGCGACGTACTTGCTTTAGGTAAATATTTTATTTCGATTGAAAAATAACACCGATGGAGAAAAGATTCGATTCTTTAAAAACGAACACGAGTGTATTGCAAGCAATAATGCCGCGTGTATTTTTATTATCATCTTTTAACCTATAACTTATTACATGGGTTTTGGATGTGTAATTAAAAAAATAACGATAAAGCGTCAGAATGACTGTAGAAATGTGTATGTATAGCGAAGAATGATCTCAAAAAGTACGATGCAAAGTATAATAATTAATAAAAGAAGGATCGACGTGTAAATGTTCGAGTATAAATATAATTCTCTCTCTATATATATAGATGTGTAGTGTGTGTGGTGAATCTGACATAATTCTATTATAAAATTAATTATGAAATTCATCGCGAATTGTTACAGTATAATAAATATACGATGCACCAGTGATGAGTTTAGTCGCACTGGATTCATAAGTAATAGTAGATTGATTTTTTCTTTCTCCAAGCATCATGAAATTCGCTGGAAACTGTGTAAATTAAAATACGCGACGGTAATTAATATTACTGTTTCGCGTTGCCGGAGATATTTCACAATGCTTCGATAATATACTTCGTTCACGAAATACGTAAAAGTACTGTATTGTGCACAAAATTGTTAGACGAGAATTGCTTGATGTGATAATCTTGTTTGAACTATTTCGCTACTGGTACTTGTACATAGTACATTCTTGGGCAAGCACTGTACGGGTCGTAAATAGTGAAACAAATATAGTTTTCCTTAAACGAACAAGCATAGTTTTTTTTGCTTAAAGCGAAGCCGAATAACTATCGCGCGAACAGTATCAAGACAATACGAGCATATTTTTAAATAGTATCACATAAAAGGACGTACTAAAATCTAATGAGAAAAAAAAAAGAAAAAAAAAAAATTTACAGCGAGTTCAAAAAACTAACGTTACCAATGTATTATTACCTAAGAATCTTAGAATAGAGAAGTAATGTAATATTGTGAAAACGTATAGGAAAGATATAAAAAAATGTAACGTATTCCCAAGAATGGATTATCACCGTTCTCAATTACCAGTACACAGACCAGTATATACTATCCGGATAATACGCGCCACATACCTATCCGTTTATGGAAAAAATTGAGTACAAGTACTTGTGTATGTATACATAAAACCTATGTACAACGATACTCGACATATTATGAGTCGGACAGTTCCTGATAACGCGCGTACATCATCTTCTTCACACAATCTTTGTACGTGTCCCCGGGTAATGCACTATACGACGACGACTTCGCTCCCAAACCGGCCGTAGGTACTCTTCTCTCCGCTTCGATGATACTAGTCCTACCTTGATTCGATTTGCCAAGTCCCATTCCTTCGCTCCACCCCATTTTTTGTAACAATTTATTGCCAACGTTGTCCGAACCGATACCGGCTCTCGTCGGCTCCTCGTAAGACACTGATATATCCTCGACTCTCGTTTTTAAGTATTTCTCTTTAAGTTTGTTCGGCTGTGGTGGTTCCGGTTCACCGTACTTCGCTCTTCTCTCTTTAGCACGATCCCGATATTTATTATTCCTCTGCTGTGGGTCGTTCGGGTCCAAACCGCGCACTTGGTACCAATTCTCCAGATTCTGTTTATGAAGATCGGACAACTGTTGATGTCGAAGCAACGCTTCTTTGCTAGGGAACTGTCGTTTGCACAACAAGCAAGCCAGCTTGGTCCAGTCCGTGTGTTGTCTTTCTTCCTGTTGCACGTCCTCTATCTCTTCTTCCGTGTCGCTGCCGCCTCCATAGGCAGCGACCAACCCATTGTTTCCACCTTGATCCTCGTCCTCGTGGTAAGAGGTAGCCAGAGACTTCTTCTCCAATATGGCGTACCCAGCATCCGCTGCTCCACTCCCGACTCCCTGATTCCCATCGACACCAGCGAACTCCGAGTTCCAGTTGCTCTTTGCGTTCTCTTTCTTCTGGTTCAACGTCTTTGCCCAGCGTTCCATATCCTTGGCTATCTTCTTCGCTACTTTCACTTTGTCCTGCTTGCTGTCTTTCTTTTTACTCTCATCCTCCCTCGACAACTCTTGAGCAGCGCTAGTTACCGTAGAAGTTGTCGCCTGATTGGTGATCGTGTTGGTCGAGTCGGTGCTGCTAGCAGTGGCAGTTATTGTAGTCCCACTGGTGGTGGTTCCTGTTGCTTGCGTAACGGTCGTAGCAGTCTACACAAAACACCCACCGGATTATTCCCACGCGTCTAAAATTTCGTTAACGCAAAACGTGCAAATCCGACTTACCTTTGCTGGTTGATATGAGAATGATTCGGCGTCCCAATATAGGAATTGTTGCGTGTGACTATTATAATAATATTGCGAGTTGGGATCATAATACAATCCTGTACTGGGATCGTAGTAGTAGCCCGATGATTCGTCGTAGTGATAGGTACTGACATCCGGTACAGCTAAAATTGCAAGGAATTAGTAGATCGGTGAAAACCTTTCAAAGCAAAATAAAAATAATTTGCTCCGTTGTTATAAAACTTACAGTATACTTTACCATCACTCGCGTGCGCAGGCACTCTTCCGCTCGCCAACGACGTGCTGGTTGGCGCCGATGGCATTGGTCTGTTCTTCATTTCATCCGCGTCCCCTAACTTTCTCGACGCTTGCAGTTGTTGTATAGCTGACTGCGCCACCGCTGCCGCAGCGTTCACTCTGTCGGTCTGATTCAGAGACGGTAACGTGATCGCGGACCCTTGCATTATTTGATTCTGATAATATTGCGTGTAATACTGAAGATAGTGAGCTTTCTGCGCAGGCGTCTTAGCGTACAGGTTCGCGCTGTACTCTGCCAATTGAGCAACGTCGTCCAACGTGTATCTCTGCGGTTGACTGTCGTTCGCTTTCCAGGTGTTGGTATTATTTATTTGGTGGAGTTTGCAATACGTGATCTCCACTTTTCTCCCGTCCACCACCAACCCTTGCTTCGTGAGGGCCGTGTGCAAGTACATTGCATCCACCACGTTCCCCATTTCCAGATAACAGACGCCCCTTGATGTGTTGGTCAGAGAATCGCGTCCAATGCGGATACTCCGTATTGGCATCGACGAAAGGTTTTTCATTGCTTGCAATACGGAATCCTCCGTCGTTAGCACGTCCAATCCTCGAAGGAGGACGGTGTTCGTAGGATGAGGGCTGATCTCATCGCTACCCTCTCCGCCTTCTTCGCTCTCTGCCCGCGAGGCCGAACATTTAAAACACGTTTCGCGCCTCTTGAAATTGTGTGCTCCACACTTGAATAGAAAATCATTATCAATAATTAATTAATAATAATTGAATTATATAATTAAATTTGAAGAGTTTTAATGGTAAGCATACCTTGACGCAATGCCAATCCTGAGTGTTCTTTGCTGGCGGCTTATCCACATGGCAATCTTTCGGTATACTGTACTGCATCAAGGCACGGTATTGGTCCTGTAGCATCAGTACTCCCTGAAACAGAGAATTTCAGTGTTATCCCGTCCAACATCCTCCCAAAGCCTCTGTTTATCCCGTAAACTTCCTTCTTGGTTGACGAAATTATAGTTTTCTACTTCATAGCTTTCCGTCTCGAACGAACAGTAAAGAAAATGTCGTGGGCTTATTATAATTGTGGGCCATTCCACACGGCTTGCGGACCGACTCTCTATGTACATGCGCGACAACTTTTTCTTTTCGTTTTTGGTTCGATCAAATTGGACTTTAACTCGTGGAAAAAACAAGCAAACGTACAATGAATCGCTTGCGTAAAAAAATTTTTCTTTTTTTTTTATATATGTGAACAAGAAAGTCGTGCACAAATAATTTGTTCATTCATTTAAAATGCTCAACTGGTAATTGCGGTCGAGAACAAAGTTAAATGGTAGAAGCAGACTTAAATGACGTAATTAAAAAATAAGCATCTCGTATCGAATGAGTATAGCAAATGTGTGTGAAACTCGTACAAATAAATCATCATGCCGGATACTATATATGCACTGTACGCAAAAAGATAAGACGATTGGAATGACCCTCCTCCGATCTTCATTGTTAGTCCACAAACTTTTATGATAGATAGAGGATAGGTAAAAAGCACGCGGCGCGGCCTTTTTTTTTTCTTTTATATATGTATATATAACTTTAATCCAATAGACGGAATTTGCGAGCGAGTTAAGAAAAGTCTGCAAAGTATGTGGGGACTCCTAGATAAGTAATTAGGTACGGTAGGTTGAAGTAGCCTTTTTGATAGGTGCACAGCCATGGCCATGGGGAAGGCCAGGGGGCTGCGTTACCGTGCCTTGCCGCCACGGGGCGTCGGTGGCACGCGTACAACGCATCGGTTGGGAATCTGGACTGAACTTCTTTCTACCTGTTTCATCTCCATCCACCGTGCGGCCTCCTGAGTCGCGTTAAACTCGACGAATGCAAAACCTCGCGAAGCACCTATACAGAGCAAATACACACATATCCAAAGTTAATCCACGTTTTGCCTGGGTGTCTCTACTCTGAGAGGGCAGGCAATCACAGCACCAACCATTGACAGACTGAGTTTCGAACGAAGTATTTCTTCGCTTCGTCGCTTGCTTTCATTTCCATTTGCCTAAAGCTCAGCAGAACAAATTCTATACGGATGAAAGACGATCTTTTTTTCTATCGTACTTAGTCTTTTTCTTTTTTTTTTTTTTTTTTTTTTCACGCGAATTATCATTTACTCTAATGTCAGGACCTACCGAAATCTTGGCCTCCGTATATCTTTTTTTCTTTTACTATTTATAGATTGAAGGAATGATAGTCGAAATCGTACAAAAATGTCTCTTCCAAATTCGTCAAGATAAGAACTTGTCAAAGATAATTGTGTATGCGCAACGTACAATGAAGCATTAGAATTTGTCACAGAAATTTTAGATGTTACTTAGACAGCCGAACAACCGAGTAAACTTGGTTGGCAAAAAATATACATTTCGCTTATTCTAAGTATAAGATATAAACTTCTTAATAAATATTTTACGCCACCCTTGCTAGATGAATAATGATGATCTGATTTTCCTCAAAATATTCTTCCTGCGTATAGAACTTACCTTATTCCAAGAGTAGAGAATGAATTAATGATTCTTATTCAATCGATAGTCATTATATTCATTATACTGCTTGAATAATTTTTGGGTATGCATGATTGGTACTAGGGAAGAGATTTTAACCAAATATGACAAAAAATTGTTTGAAACCTTAACCGTTCGTGACGTTAATAAATGAGCAAAAGTTTCCAACAATTTTTTTTCCCCCGATGATCATTAAAAAATTGCAATAATAACTTAAACCTACACAAGTCTAATGCGACCTGCCGATGTGAAAAGCAGTTCACTTGTGTACACATTAGGTTGCGGGGAAGTTTTAAGTTACGAAAATGAAGATAATTACCTGTGTCCTTTTTACGAATCAGCCTGATGTCCTTTGGCATGAGACCACAGTTGAGGATGTCTTGCCGCACCTGTGATACACACATCATAATGATAACAGAGATGTACGCGTGCAAACGCTCGCTCATGAGTGGCCAATTATGTCGGGCCACTAAGTTGACAACCTACGTCATTTTCAGTAATGTGCTGAGCAAGCCCACGAATCATTATGGTGTTGTTCGGAGATTGAGATTTGTAGTGGATGCCTTCCATGGACGAACCGTAAGTACGTCCATGGTCGTGCTCAAAGTCCATACTTTCACGGCTATGATCGTCATCCCGATCACGATCTCTGTCCTCCCGCTTCCCTCTACGATCCCTATCCCTATCTCTATCTCTGTCTCTTCTAGAGCGATCTCTATCTCTGTCGCGATCGCGATCCCTGTCTCTGTCTCTTTCTACAGAGTCTCTGTCTCTTTGTCTAGCGTAACGATCCTCTCTGTCCCTGTAGCTACGGTCTCTGTCGTCTCTGCTGCGATCCCTTCTGTCTCTCGAACGGTCCCTTTCGCGGTCTCTGTCCCTTCCACGATGATTTCTGTATTCGGGACTACGGTGGTCCCTGTCGCGATGATCATTGTCGCGGTGCTCGGCGTAATCCGGTGACCTACTGCTTCCATAATCATTACGATAGTCATAGTCAGAATTATGTCCCCTTCTCTCAGGCCCGTAACCTGGCTCCCACGGGTCAATATTGTTACTGTACATGTTGTCCATACATTTAACTTGTTCCTGAAATAATTAAAATTATTTCAATACCGATAAAATTATTTCAATTAGTTTCTTTAAAATAAACCTCCTGATAAAAAGACACAAAACATAAGAAAATTAATAAATTTCTCTGCTACTCTGCAAATTAGAATATTAGGGATACTCGATGAAATTAGAAGCAATGGGCATTTAAAATTCAATTACAGCGGCAAAGAAATCACTTTATTTAATTAACACGTTTCACGTTACGCAGACCTAGATAACAGAGCATAAAGCAACAGCTCATTGAATAAAATGCAACATAAATATAACACCAAGTCGGCGTTAATATCATTAAGCGTATTAACTGCTTCGAGTATAATTCACTATTTCGATTCCACTTAAACTCTAACGTTTACACGGAAACAGTGTGATTTAAAGGTACTTTCATAAAAAATGCCGCATACTTTTCGCGAACATTTCAAATTACTTGACAGATTTCGTCGAAATTTTTAAACGCGATCCTGCGGTCAATAAAGGCAATAGTAAAGACTCACGTTCCATTAGAAGTTTTATTAACGTTATGAACTCGAGAAATGGTTAAAGGACATTGTGATGTTAAAAAAAATTCAGTAGAAATCGAGCAATACAAAAGAATTGAATATAAAATCATGAACCGCTAAGCGAACGACCATCGTGGCGTTGATTAATAGTCCGTCGTACCCGATGTTATTGCGATCCCCAGTCTTCTTTACAATGCACCAAATTCTCGAGAAAATGATCTTCGTGTCGTGGCGAATCCGTACGTGCTTAATTTCCACTTACTTTACTCTTTCTTCGTACGATCAGATGAGAAATAGCGTGATGCGCACAATGGCGTGGTTACGCCTCTCGTTCCTTCCTTACAATATGGCGGCGTCAGTGGAGGAAGGACCCATTACGTGTCCATGATCAAATGATGTTAGAAATATTTCCGAGATGGCGCTTCGACGCATTTCATGATTTCATTAATTTTTTTCAATCATTCAGAAACTGATCGAACTTCTTATTTTTATCTCGCTGAAATTTTTTTAAAAATACATCTTTTTATACACGCATTGGCATCCCTAGTTATTTTCATTGGGCGTAAATCTCGTTGACGAATCGATTCGAGGAATTGGTGACAACTTTTCTAGAAATATGATTCAACACGAGAACACGAGATAAGTAATTTTATCGCAGACATTATTATTACATTTATCTACGGTATTGCAATTTGAAATTTACAAAGCTAGTGAATGGTTAGGCATAAAATTCACAAAGAGGGAGTTTTTAAGAGAAAGAACGCAAGGTGGCAGCACTGTGTCAATTGATCTCCCGCGTCGTCACGTTAGAATTGAAACGACTGTGTAACAACGTGCCCAAACTTTCGTTTATCTTTTAAAACTCGATTGTTGATAATTACGATAAATATATTGCCCATAAAAAAGGGTATAACGTCTTAACAAAAAGGTAGCTTCTTCGGTTCGATCTATGGGCTGTCTTACAAATTGGTTTCCCTATTTAAAAGTGAATCGTTTCGTTTGTTGACCGTTGTAACCGTTGTAACATAACACGAGACACTTTACAGAAATTAGTTTTTACGTGTACTGTGTCGCGTGATGTTTATTCTCAGAAGGCACGTTGTTTTCGTTTGTCGAAAAGTATCGAAAACAACGGATGACCGCTGGGAGGACGATATTAATAATAATGTGTTATTATATACGGGTACAGTCATCTTTCGATACCTTTGACGTTCATTTTCGTCGAGCAAATGCGAGATAGCATATTTAAGACATTTATTTAAATCGAATTTTGTATTTTAAACGTTGCAATGAACAACCGTTGTGTAGTACAAAGTGTAAATAGCCGTTTCGTGTATAACCTCAAATTGTACGTCGAAAACATTGATAGTCAGTGCATTGGTACGGTATACCAATTATTATTGTTACAATCGATCGAACAGACAGTGAAAAAGTGTTGAAGTCATTAACCTATCTTCTACATTAGAAGTAATCTACATATTCCGATGCAAGGAAATGTATCGCGTGGCTGTATTTCGTAAGTGCATAATTGTTTACTTTATTTATTTATAAGTCGAGCGATTAAAATACAAAGACACATTCTTTTCGCTCGTGGACAACAATTAGTCGTCTAGCATTGTTACGAACAATGACTACGTCATGAAAATGCATCGCTAGAATCAAGGACGAAGTTTCAGTTCTTCGCTAATCGTTTATTTCAGTCTCGATTGTTATAAAGGCGAGATAAACGCTTTGTAAAGCTGAAACGATTAACCGTTACGAAATTAATAAATTCCAAGTGTATCGATACAACGACTGCACGAAATACAATGCTAGATAAGTTATTTTCGATTCGTAGGAATAATTTTCTTGATGTCAGGAAACTCGTACGAAAAAAATGCAATTTCTAGAAACATTTTCCCTGTATAACAAGTGTCCGTGGAGGGGATCGAGCCCGGGTAACCGGGGTCGGTCTCCACCCACCACGTCGTACCTACTCGGTTCGTGCAAATTCGTCAAGTTTCGGGTTCACTCGGGCTCCTAGGTGGTCGTCGGTGGTCGGTGGCCGCTACATAGGATATCTGGTTACGAGCATCAGCTGGATAAAGGGCATTTCGACCCCTTTCTCCATCCCATAAATTCAATCCTGGCTGTCGCGAGGTTGAAATTATTTTTCGTGTAATATTCGAATCTCGTAAACATTTTTATATTTGAGAATCGCAAGCCTAGCAGGTACGACGTTGCATACACTCGATTGCTACTTTAAATCGAGCATCTTCGTCGATATTCGAGAATTACAGACATTCTTATTACATCCGCGGGTATTTTTCAAATATTATTGGTACCTGATTTGTTATAATATCTAGCAGGGCTACATTTTCGATACCCTGCAAGTAAGTTATCAAAGAGACTCGTAGTCATCGATCGTTTCGAGTACTTGACTTTGCCGTATAGATGGCGGTCGTGTTGGAATGCCAAATTTCCGAACAATGTTGTAACGGTGTAAATTAGTGTAATTGGCGTGACGAAAGAAAGATTCGGGTTTTAAGGATAACAGGTCGTGATAAACGGTTTATTAGAGACGCGAGGAAATTGCTTCCTGTATCGTATCAGGAAAGAAGGTTCGTTCGCAGGGGGGCTGTCTTGACCCAAGCACACGATTCTAGGGTTAGTTCGTAGCTGGTGCACGAGCCGTGCATGTTTATTCGGCTTTGTAGAGGTCGCTAGCTCTACCTGGGGGGCACGTTCGCGGTTGAAGGAGCACGACACGCGAGAGGGAACAGGGAGGTTAGAGCGCGTGCGAGGTAGAGGGCGCCAAGATGGAGGAAACGAACGGGAAAACGGATACGCGAACGGAACGTAGGTAGAAACGTTACGAATGGCGGTCGGATATAACGAGAGAACCGTAAGAGTAAGAGAAATATAACAGTACGACGGAATAGCGAGAGGAGGGATGGGAAACTCAGAGGGGAATAGCGATATACAGAGAACGGGCGAGAGGGTGGCGGGAACGGGGGAAAAAAAGTGAAACGGGCGCGAACACAATGAACACGGGAGAGAGACAGAAATTCTAAGATAGGTTAGGGCGGAGGGGTTGAAATAACAAGAGAGACCAAAGAGAAAAACAGTAGGGAGAAGGACATATAGTACCAAGAGAAGGAAAAATCGAGGGGGTGCGAGAGGCAAACTGCGCGAAGGGGTCGCGGTCGGGTACATAGCGCGAAAGAGAAAGAAAGGTAGAGGCGTTCGTGCGCAACCGGTACGACGCAGACAGCTCGTCTATATACTTGGTTCAACGACCACCGCCCTAGTCTCATCCAACCCCGAAGTACCGGGCGGTTCGGAGGCCGCGCGTTGCCATTGCGGGGTGTGGGGAGTGAACGAGGGGGATGAAAGGAAGCAGTGGATGCAGGGTGGTTAGTGGGGGCGTGGAAGAGTTGGAGGGGGGGAGGGTAGTGCCGTGGCGGTGTCGAGCGGAACGGGCCACGGGCCAGTTCAGTCTCGAGTCCAGGAGTAGAAGAGCTACTGGCCGCTTGTCTGCTCCCTTCTTTCGCTATAGTTTCATTTCTTTCCGTTTTAGTTCATTCTTCAGTTCCGATTGATTGACACATTGTACACACACACACACACATACACACATATCCACGACCACACATACATACACATGCACGTACACGTATATACATACATACACGTATACGCACACGTTCACGCATATGTACAACACGTATAAACGCCCCGCGATACGTTACACATCGCGGGTTCGTATACGCGCAACGTATACATCGGGCTGACTCTGTTACGCGTCCCACACAACACACACGTACACGTATCGAGGCAGGACATAGAGGCGCGATCGCGTAACGCCGGACGTCTTCTGATATTTCGTGTCACGCGCAACATACACAGAAAACGTACGCGATACATCCGTTCGTTGTTGGTTAATCGTTTTTGGTGAATATCGACGACGACGACGACGACGCCGTTTCGCCACGCTCGATATACGTATCCCCGTGTATCGGCGATCCGCGTCCGTCACGTTTGTGTACGATCCGATGCACGGACACACCCGCGACAGCACCGCGTATCTGTAGCACCCGTAATCGGTCAGGTGTTTACCCGCGTAGTACCTGCGTCCTCTGTCCATCCGATGCACGTGCAACAGAGCCCGCGGATTGATTGAGTTTTAGGAAACGTAATTGTCGCAGGTACGTGGAACAAAGTATGCTTCATTTATGCGCGTGACGATCTTCGTTGCGACGCACCCCAGCGATCGGGGGGCGGGCTGGCGATCATGGAAATTATCCTTTGGTCGTGGGATTTTTCTAAGCTTAAAAATTTGTGATCGTAGAAAATTATGGAAATTTTTATATAATTTTTCCATCGCGATGTTTATGTTTTTTTTTACGCGAGTTTGTAAAAGGATAATTTTCTATCGCGGTGTTCCTGAACGCGAGAGAAGTCGATCAAACGATTGATTTTTACGCTCGTTACTTCTCTCGCGTTTATTTTGTCGATCTCGTTACATCGTGCGTTGTGCGCGACGATGTAATTATTAACCCTCGTCGGGGGACTCCCGGGGCCATTTGCACCTGTGCAAACTGTATAATTTAGAGTCGTGAAATTTTCATTTTCAACTTGTTTAATTAACGATATTGATAAAGGAGGAATTTTTAAATACGATAATGCGAAAATTCGATTGGGTCAAATTTGACCCGTGAGTCGTGAAATTTTCATTTTTATTCATAAAATTAACTTTTAAATTCGAGTAGAAATCTTGTATTGTATCGGGGTCAAAATTGAGCCGTGTAAATTATATCTTTAAGAGTCGTGAAATTTTCATTTTTATTCATAAAATTAACGACAGTAATGAATTTTGAAACTCGATTGGAAAGCTTGTATTAAGTTTTGGGTAAAAATAGACCCGGAGTCCGCCGTTCGGTCGCCGAGGGTTAAATCGACAAAGTGTAAATAAAGATTGTTTATAAAAATTCTTTTCAGCGTACTTGTTATATATTTTATATAAATTACAACATGGAATTTTAACGATTACGCGATCCGAAAAAAATTTGATAGCAATATCCCCCACCCCAGTCTCGTATGATTAATTACCGTCTGCCGCGACTTTGATGTCCCCGGTTCCGTTGGTAGCCCTGAATCGCTGTAACCGAAGGGGGTAAATCGTGTGAACTGAGCCGTGGAGAACAGTCCCGGGGCTTCTTTCGTGAGTCGTGTTTTTACCTGTCGACGATTGGTCAGAGACGTCCTTGTAGCTACCTCTTGGACTTGGCGCGTTTGTGGGTGACCTTTGCCCTGTTCTTGCCGGTAGCCAGCTCCAAACCGCCCCTTGTCAGCTGATTGAAATCGATAATGGTGAGCCTAGGCTCGGCGGGATGTCTCGACGGCGGCTGTACCCTGTCGAGCGGTGCCCCGGGGCTCCGGAACCTGTAGCTCCGGTTCCTGCACCCGCCTACGCCCGTTCCACTTCCACTTCCGGTCCCTAGCTGGCTCATCCGCGTGCCGCTCATCGATCGGTAACCGCCGCTCGCCGGCGGCTCTGCCTCCTCTTGGAAGTACCTACCGATCGAACCAGTCGGGGGATTCAGACCTAACCAACGACAGAAAAACACCATCATTCCGTGTATCCAATTACTCGTGAATGTTGGCCAGATGCATGGGAGCCGGTGTCCTGGAGATCCTTGCTTTGGGTTGCTTCAGAGTACGGTGCCTGGGTCGCGACTGACGATTCTTCTTAGTCGATGGCTGATCAGGCAGTCCAGCTGGTATCAGGCCCATCAGCTTGTAGTATTCGAGAAAAACTCTCGCCAGATTGCGTCCCAGCCTGTAATCTGTGAGTTGTATAGTCAAGATTCTTTCGCCATCTATATGCAGACTAGGCAAACTTTGTTTTCCAATCTCAGTACGCTATGAATTATTCAATGCCTCCGTTTGGTCCGACCAAATCGTAATTGAACGACGAACTTTGTCGAGTCAGGCTCGATCGATCGTGTTTTAAAGGATACATCCTTCCTCCGTGTAGGGGAATATGCCAGGCGTCGTCTTTCTATTGTATCCGTGCATCGATACCTCGATGCTGTAGCAGTTGACGTGCTCCTTCAGAATCGAGCACAGATAACGTCGCGCGGTCCCGGACTTGTGTGGGTCCTGATTGTACATCGTGTTCCCAATCTCGTAGTCCTCGGCGTGTTGCGCCAGCAACTTCGGCAGAACGATGTGTCTCTCGTACCTGAAAGGCTGGCAGCCATTTGGTTAGATAGTGCCGTGGCATGGAAATCTCTTTTTCGCTACTCCAGGTGTTTCTCAACATTTTCTCGCGTCTAGTTTCTAACTAAACTGTGACAGGGCCCTGCTAGAGGAATCCGTCAGTCCTGGGGACTCCACCTCCTCAGAGACTCGCCACCAGAGGGCCACGCTCTCTCGTAAGCGATCGACTGACTACCCAATATGTCCCAAGCGTCTGAGGCGGTAGTAAGGCTCTACTAGCAGCCAGACTCTGCCTCAGACGCTGGGAGGGGTCAGTGACAAGCGCTTGTGAGAGAGACCAAGAGCTTTCAGGCCCTCTGGTGGCGAGTCTCTGAGGAGGTGACCTCTTGTGCACTTTGCCTACGTTAAGTTATCGAAACCATACATCGAAGGTGTAAAGTAAGCTTTTACCTGTACACATCGTCATAAGTGTTCCCATAAACAAACACCCCCGTTGCGTTGCTGTGCGCGTGTAGATCGAGGACGCAATCCAGAGGGGTCCTGGTGTTCTTGTCCAGGTTCTTCAGCATCGGTTTAACAGCTACCAAGGCTGGATGAAGCCAGTCCGAGACTTTGTTCCACGAACGATTCAGGTCCGCCCCTATCGACGTGGATCTTTGGAACCAAATCGATTACCAAGTTGGGATCGTTTTGTAAGGTCGAATTGTTGGCTACTTACCTGTAATTGCCGAGAAAGACACCGTCAGGGTTGAGCATGGGTATTATTTTAAAGACGACGTAGTTCCTGAGGACTTGGGCGATGGGGTGGCAGCTGACCAGGAAGTCCATGAGACCCTGGCAGACGAAGGAAGAGGGCGATTCACCCGGGTGAACCCTGGCGAGGACGACCACCACTCTTCTAGGGTACTCTTGAGCGTCGTCCAAGTTGGACGTTATGGTGACCAGCTCGATCTTCCTCTTTTGAATGGAAGTGGTCAGGGTCTCTCGTCTGGTGCAGGTCAACCTGGTGCAAAGGTTGTCCAGGTGGGCCAGGTAGCGGCTGTAGGAGTATGGGTAGCTCAGGGCGAACTGGTAGACGTCCTCCTCGCGATCGAAGGCGAACGCGAAGCTCAGAACGTAGTGGTTTTGGTGCTGAGCCGATCTATAGTAGAACACCTAGGGGAACATGCACACTAGTATGGTTATTCGATCATCATTCGTGGTAAATTGTTAATTAACTTGGTCCTTGGGGATCCTCTGCCACTTGGGCTTGGTGCTGCTCTTCACCAGCGGTGTCATTCCATTCCTAAACAGACTGGCGCTCTTGGACACGTTGACGATGTTGAAGACCACTCTCTGGTCTGCTTTCACGTTGTCCACGGTGAAGTTGAACCACAGACGCAGTCGAGGGTTGCAGGTGTCGGGTCGTATGAAAAGATCGTACTCGAACTCCGAGATGAGCTCCACTCTGCCCAGGTTGCCAGTCTCGAAAGAGGCGTCGAAGCAGATGTGTCCTTTCTTCGCCTTTCCGCTGTGACCAGGCGGTCGCATTATCATCTTGTTCACGTTACCCAGTCCACCCTCCGTGTCACTGTCCTCACTCTCTGCAACAGTTTCGTTCGTTGATCGTTCTTAGTTTCTAAGATGTTCCTAACGTCCCCTCTCAATTCAAAGATCGATTTTGAGCAACGCAAATGGCTCGAGCAGAGGAACGAACCGGCTCTTTGATAGAGACTGGTGTGCTCCAAAGGGTCGCGACCCTCCCCCAGCGCCATCCTCTCTCTGTCGAGCAAAGACACACGCTGATCCACCGGGCAGAAGTCGCGAGAGCAGACTGACTACCTTCCACGGTTGCTCTAACGCCGCGGGCGTGGGTGTACGTTTGCCCACCTACGCGATAAAGTTGAAATCGTGCACGTTACGGTTAATTCCCGTGTCGGTTCTCGTGCAAGGAATCTCTCGCCGCGGCGTTCGTGATTTCGCGCGGTTCGAATACCCGGTGGAATCGGGTTGGCGGGAATTCGCGTGGCTGCCACGCGTCAGAGATCCACCGCGGCGCCGACAGCGGGTTTGGAAATCGTTTGCGGTCACGACCAGCGCCGTTCGATCGAAATCTAAATGAGAGAAGGGTGGTGGTGGGTCCAGCCAGACGGACTTACGACTTTTCCCCATCCTAATCTAGCCCCCGATCACGTGGGAACCGCTCGAGCGCGGCTGGAGCTGTTGCTCCTCGTCACGAAACGATCGGAGTTAAAACTTCTGCAAACGAACTTTAGATTAGTATTCTCTCTTCCTTGCTCCCTTTAGTTGCTTTTGTTGAATGCAAGAAGTGAGAGAGATCGGTAAAGCCACGAAATTTAGTAGTCGACCGAGCGCTTGCGAGAAAGTCGAGATCGTGGCCCTCTGGCGGCGGGGGTGCTAGAGGACGCTGTTAAATGTTTCGAGGGATGAAACTAGAAGGCCCACGTGGCTCGTACAGAGAACGGGGCAAGCGCGAACAGACACGTCACGTTTGTTCCGCGAACTCGTGACTTCTAGCTGCCTGCCCCCCTACACTGTTTCTCTATTCTCTGTGAAAGAAACATAGTCTCCCGCGGATCTAAATCGAGATCGATCGATGTCTATTTCCATTCGCGGATTCCCGTCGGACTTAAATGACGCATAAAAGTAAGTTTCGCGACTATAGCCGGCCGACGAAGAAACGAAACGAACGAAGAAAGGAGAGATCGTGCACGGTCGTAGGCTACGCGGGTCGTTTTGCGTCAAGATTCCACGGTTCTGTTATCAATGATTCATTGCTGCGAGGGGTTGAAAGCAGCAACGTGTTACACCACACGTGAACTTTGCGTAGCCAGTCAATGTTAGTGACCGACAGTGACTCGTTCTCCATGCGTTCCAATCGTTCGACTATGGGAAAAATGGGAAATTTCTGTGGTGTATTTCAGCTGGTCTCATGACAGAGGGTCAGGAATGTTGTTCCACCCGTTAGATCTCGAAAAACTACTTTTGATTAGGGGGTAAACTTAGTGACCAACAGTGACGCAATTCACTTGCGGTTGGGAAATTGATCTCCTGCGGGAAAATTGAACATTCTTATGGAGAGTTTGGGCTGTTATTCTCATGACAAAGGTCTAGCAATATTGCTCTACCCGTTAGATCGTGAAAAACTACCAGCAATAACACGTTTTGATTAGGGGGAGCCAACTTGGTGACCAACAGTGATTTTGCATGCGTTGGGAAATTGATCTTTTGTGGGAAAATTGAACATTCTTATGGAGAGTTTGGGCTGTTATTCTCATGACAAAGGTCCAGCAATATTGCTCTACCCGTTAGATCCTGAAAAACTACCAGCAATAACTCATTTTGACTAGGGGGAGCCAACTTGGTGACCAACAGTGACTTTGCTTGCGGTTGGGAAGTTGATCTCCTGCGGGAAAATTGAACATTCTTATGGAGAGTTTGGGCTGCTATTCTCATAATAAAGGCCCAGCACTATTGCTCGACCCGTTAGATCTTGAAAAACTACCAGCAATAACGCGTTTTGACTAGGGGGTCCAACTTGGTGACCAACAGTGACTTTGCTTGCGGTTGGGAAATTGATCTCCCACGGGAAAATTGAACATTCTTATGGAGAGTTTGGGCTGTTAGTCTCATGACAAAGGTCCAGCACTATTGCTCGACCCGTTAGATCTTGAAAAACTACCAGCAATAACGCGTTTTGACTAGGAGGCGCGATATACGATCGAACACTAGTAGCGTCTGACCATACATCACCTTTTCTACTTGCAGCAAAGTTCAAGTCTCTATTTCCTACAAATTTCCAATGTCGATCGCCTCGAAAGATATTATAGTCACCTTCTGCTGGTCCACTCTTGTATAATCGAAGAGGGGGGTGGCAAAACATCAGTGGCAAACACCTTGTCCGCAACGGGACAGGCGTTCCAGCCTCCCAGGAAGTGACTTTTCACAATTTGCCCGGGCAAATGTCCGCGGCGTGTTGTTTCGTCGCGATTACCGCGAGGTGGGTGGAGGGGGGTGGTCGGGGGGTGAAAAAGGAAGATACTCGGAAAATTGGAGGGGAAAAAAAGGTCTGAGGATGCTCTGGAACCGACGGTTAGGAAGAGCAATTAAAAGTGGGACAAAGAGCCCCGGAGAAGAGAAGAGCCGCGAACAATTACTGGAACAGAGAGGGAACGAGTGGGGGCGGCGGAGGGGGGAGGGGGGTAGGACACACAATAATACGCGCCACTGAACTCGCGCTAAATCTTTAACAATTCCGGGCTACGTGCTCCCCGAGGCACAAAAACGGAAGCTTCGATCGTTACTTCCGAACAATTTTGCTCATCAAATTAGATGAATTTCACCATCGTCGAGTCGATTTAAAAATCCTACCTCTTCTCTGTTCGTGATCACTCTGATACCCCGATTCCCTTCTGTCGTCGATACCCTGGCCCGGAAGTCGGAAGTAATAACGAAGAACACGGAATGGGATTTCGCGGTGCGAGAATGATCATCGTAACGTTTGTCAGGTCGCAGTTAAGATTCTCGCGTGACTTACCGCTGGATTCGATCGGCTTGACGGATCACAGAGGAGATCCATCGGAAACGGACGTCGAGATATAGGGGGAAACACGCGGTTGGCAGGTCTGTGTAGGTGCGGGATCGCCGTAGGCGGGGGAGAGAGATCCACGGTAACGTGTTAACGTGCTCGGCGTTTCAGTCACGGAACGGGGTTTCCACCCCGTGCTTGTTACGAACTCTCGAAGACGTATCGAGCGTGTACGTACCAGTCTCCTCGGTGTCGGACATATCGAGAGCGCCGGTTCTGATTTCTGACTTGTCCCGGGGACTTGGTCCACGCGAACCTCCAACTTCGCAGACTGGACGACACTGGGGCGGCGGGTTCACGCCAGGTTTCCTTGGTTCTGTTGAATCGATACGTGTCCCTGTGTCTTCTTTTCCTCCTGTTTTCGTCCTTCGTGCACCCGGGGGGTAACTTGCCCTCCCAGGTTCATCGCACCCGTGCCAACCCCTGACGACTCTCTTTGTCGAACAAACAACTCAAATTCAAACGTTCTGAGAGACTGATAGACCTGGTACCACTGGTTCACAGTGGGTTACATTTGGGGACATCCTGGGGGGCATGTGCATTAAATGCTTTGCGGTGTTGATATCGGTTTTTTTGTTTATTTATTTATTTGTTGATTAGAGATGGAAAAGGACTCATCAGACGCTGGGACATTGGGTAGTTGATTCAGGAGTTTATATATATGTAGGAACGAAGGGTTAGGCGAGCGCTTGCGAGAGAGTCAAGGCCGTGGCCCTCTGGCGGCGAGCACGCGACCTGACGCCACAACACCAAAGAAACTAAAACGACAGATACCTAAAGAAACGTACAATGCAATGTCGTTTCATTCCCTCTCAGAAAATTGTTGCAAATTTTCAAAAATTACCACTTCTTTTGCAACGACTAGTAACAATTGTTTCGTTGTACCATTGTAACTACCCTTGCGTGGAGGGGTTTAATACACTATGAGGGGGCTGGGGGTGAAGCAGGAACACCAGCTCACGGATAATTATTGCAAATTCTCAAAAATTGAGTCGGGTATCAACATTGATCAGAGATTACTTCATTTGAAACGACCAGTAACAATTGTTTCGTTGTACCATTGTAACTACCATTGCGTGTAGGGGTTTAATACACTATGAGGGGGCTGGGGGTGAAGCAGGAACACCACCTCGCGGATAATTATTGCAAATTCTCAAAAATTGAGTGGGGTATCAATATTGATGAGAGATAACGACTAGTAACGATTGTTTCGTTGTACCATTGTAACTGCCCCTGCGTGTAAGGGTTTAATTCGATTCGAGGTGGGGGGGTAAGCACGGAATTTCGGGGCGAAAACAGCTCTAACGAGGTCGGCATGGATTTAATACGCGTGAGCGCGGGAACCGCGTAATCCGCGCGCGTAACGACCCCGGGTCGATGGCGTTGTGGGGGAGGGGGGGTGCAGAGCAGGCGGTGCACCGGGGTGCAGCCTCGTTCCGCGGGTCCACGCGACGTTCCGTGCAACGGAGGGAACGCGCGAAACGAGCCTGAGTCGCGCATATCTATCTTTGGCCAGGCTCCGGGGATCCCGGATGAGCAGGCGCAGCTATGGCGCGGCCCCGCGAGAAGGGGATGGAATTATGGAAACTTGGTTGCAGGGGGACGTCCGGAGGATACTTTCCCGGATAGTTCTACCCCCCGTACTGGGTACGCGTAACCGTGTTAACCGACGTCGGTTGATCGATGAACCTGCATAATTCCCACAGACCTGAGCCTCCCGCTGAACTTTCCTGGGTTCCACGAACTTCTCCGTGCAATTTTCGTAACGAGTACGACTTACGGTCTACCTGGTAGGTTTGGAAACCCCGTTCGAGGCTCTCTGGTTTGTTTATTTTAGCACTGGGGAAGGGTGGTCAAAATGATCCTCAATCTCTGATGAAAATTGACTTTTTGAAAATTAAACATTTATTTCTAGTGCATTACAACCCTTAAATTCTTGTTTAAAATTGGCTTGTTAGTGACCTCAGGTACCCCCCTCCCCCAAAGGTTGGGCAGATGTAATTAGGGACAAAAATCGTGTCCTCCAAAACAGTTTTCCAATCCACCCTCAACCATCTATTACCCTCGAGGGCCTTTTAGAAGTTTAAACTAATAATTGTTTAAATTGGCTATTAGTTTGTTATTTTTTAAATGCTTTAAGGGGAAGTTGCTTTCCATTTATCAGTT